GCGCAACAAAGGGGGCGTGGCCTGCCGAATTTTCTCCCAAGTTTCGCGCGCGCATGTTTGAGGCCATGTACCGAGGTCCACAAATGAAGTACCATACTCAAATTGATTTACTTTATGTAATCGACCATGCTGAATCCAATGAACAACTCAGTTTCCCGTGAAAACGCACCGTTTTTCTAAAAAACGGCGAAAACGAAAATGGAACTCAGTCTGAGAGCTCGTGTGGCCGGAGTTTGTGCAACACGCGGCTAATTTTTGGCTAATTTACAGTTTAAGTGATGGGGAATCCGTTTTTGAAATAAAAATCAGATTTCGTCTTCTCCGTTTTTTTTTATAGGCCCTCAAACTGGCACAAAAAGTTGTGAAAAAATTTCAGCGATGACCATACTTTTTTATTTTCGGAATCTATAGATAAACTGTCTGGGAACTCAAATATAAATTTTCAGAGCCCTAGACCCCCTGGGAGCACTTTTGTGTTCATTTGAGTGGAGCCGGTTTCGCCGAAATTTCAGTTTTCGGGGGATTTAGCCGTCACAGGTACCTGACACGCGGCTAATTTTTACAAAATCGGATTCAGCATCCAATTTCCGATCGATTCATGCTAAAATTTTCAATTTTCTAATTCTCCGTTTTTTTTTAAGTGACTCTGAACAGTTACAGTTTTGGATTTGTGTGTTAAAAACCACTGATGTCACACCTAGAAGGGGGCCGCGCAAACCGACGTTCTCATTGCCATTGGTGGTCGGCGCGCCCCCGCCCGTTTGGCGCAGTGGCAGAGTGCTCACTCGGCAGTCTGGAGGTGTCGAGTTCAAAACTTTTGACCTTGAAAGATGTTTTGCTTTTTTAGAACATCTTTTTTATTCAATTTATATGTTGCCTCTTTGGTTTCAGCCACCAAACAGAGGCGAAAAACGCGTGCGGCGGACTTGCAGGCGAGACTCCGCCCCCTCCTCTGCCGCCGACCGGGGAGAAAACAGGCCAACTTTGAATGGGTGTAACTCGGGATGTACCGAAAATTTTGGAAAAAAAAATTGGGAGCGTACTCATATAGAATAGGGGAACACATTCCAACAAGAATTTTGTGGAAATTCGGAGTTTTGCGAAACCCGTTGCGGTCCCTATCTATGATCCCCAAGAAGATCACCGTTTCATCAGATTCACAATTGTCAGCAAAAATCAGCAAAAAACTATGCGTCCTCGTGAGATTTTCGAAAAAGCTTTTATCGTACACTAAACACTGAGCAAACGCGGCATTTCGGAGTGTCGTTATGGGGCTATTCAGCGTATGTTTGTTTTCCGTTTTATTTTTCGTTTTTTTACATCGCTGAATTGGATTTTTTGACCTACAAAAACGAAAAAAACGGAAAACAATCATTTTTTTCACAGCCTGAATAACCCCATTACAGAAATGTGCTTTTTTCCAATTTTCCTGGACAAAGAAGTCAAAACTAATGTATTTGTGCGAAAACCTCAAGGCTTCGTCAGTTTTGAGCATCACTTTCGAGCTGTAAATGCTCCATTTGGCTTGATAATAGGCGACATATTTCGAATGATGCAAACGCGCTCCATTGGTAACTCGCTTCGGACGTGTGGCGTGCTGAAACAGATCGAAAAAACAGTTCCGTTTGCACACAAAGAGAAGCGATGAAACTACGCCGCATGCAATAAACCGTACCCATTTTCGTCTATAAAAGGCGCGCTACCGCACCGCACATTCGTTTAAGACCATCTTCCAACCTCCGCGAAACGCAAAACCTCCTGTGGAACATGGCCAAACTTCTTCTCCTCCTTTCCGCCACTTTTCTGACCGTCACGGCGACCGAAAACCCGTTCGGATCCGACGATTGTCAAGAGGGAGAGCCGAAATGCCCGCCCGGATACAAGTTCTTCGAAAGAGCCGACGATCGCGCGTGGTGCCTTAAGGTAAGTGTATCTTCTACGCCCTGGGCAGACGCTTGAAAGTGTGGCCGCGTGGCGCAATGGATAACGCGTCTGCCTACGGAGCAGAAGATTGCAGGTTCGAATCCTGCCGTGGTCGAAACGCTTTTTGCATTTTCTCTTTTCTTTTCAGTACTTTGCCGGCAACTACACATTCTTCGAGGCGGAACAGGTTTGCAGATGCCAGGGAGGAGCCACTCTTTCGGGAGTCGACAATACCAATGAGCTTTTGTGGATTGAAGGTGGGTTATCAAGTTTTCCATCGAGAAAAACGCGGTTTTTTGTTCAGATCAAGCCACGCAATCGTTCGAACAGCTCGGAATTAAAAACGGAGGAGTGTGGGTTGGTGCGTACCGCCGTCACGACTGTATGGGACCGGTGGAGAAGTGGATCAACAAGACCGAGTGCTCGAAAGTCTATCAATTCCAATGGACCGACCGAAACACTGTCAAGACGTACATGTGGGAGAAGATGTGGATGGAGGGATCACCGCACAACAACATTGTCGGGTAAGGCAACGAGAACTATAATATCCAATTTTTTTTGTTCCAGAAACCACTCTGAAAACTGTGTCCAACTGCAAATCAGCCTCGAAGAGCAGGGAACTGCCAACCGAAAACTCCACGGAACTTTCGACAACAGAATGTAAGCGCTGGCCGGTCTTTTAGAAAATCGACTATTGTAAACTTGCAGCTGTGTGCACCGCAACGAGAGCAGCACCTTCCACACCGAAGGTTTCGTGTGCGGACGTCCGCCAAAGTACCCGGGAGGTGGTCACGGATACTCCGGAGGCGACGGACAAATCCTCATTATCGGAGCGGGAAAGCCGACGAAGAAGCCCTAATGCTGACTTGAATTCGATTGTTGCAACGAGAAAATATTTTTATTGCTCGTCTTCTTCAGAGGACTCACTCAAACTGCTGGCGAATTGCACAATTTTGACAGTGAACTTTACAGTTTTTCGAACATCTTTACGATAGACAATCATTGTGACGAGGAGAGCAGTCAGAAAGATGAGCAACAGCCAGCGGCATCGATAGACGATCACTGAAATTTCTCGATTGAATCGTCGGGAATGTGTGGAACAGACCACAGCGACAACAGAGAAAGGAGTATTTGAGGGTTCTGAAACAGCAAACACCTCCTTTTTGAAGCCATCGTTTATGTTTTCCGGCAGAAGAAGACACCTTCTTCTCCACGTCGACATCGTTCGGAAGAAGACAGTCGTCACTTGGCGGAACGTCTTCAGGACAACACGACATTTGGAGCTCTGCAACTGTTTACTAGAAAATGTGTACGCCAAAAACATGTATTTTATTATGGACAGACAGGTGATATGCAAGACAAAAACGGCGAGAACCACTCAAGCGTATGTTGATGTTACACGATTTAGGCCTGATTCGGAAAGTGATATGGATGTGGGGAGTGAGAGACAAAAGAATGATTATAAATCAAAAGTTGTGTTGTTTGGACGTCCGGGGACCTGAAAATTATGTTCTGAACGGTGTTTTGTGACTTGACACGAAGATCGTGCGCTTTTAATAAAACAAGTTGAAACAACATGTTGAAAAACAACATTGAGCACGTTTTCTCTGATTTTTGTGCTCAACGGCGATGGAAAATGATTGTTTGACATGAAAACACACTAATTCTCACAGAATTTATGACGTTTTGGCGCATTTTTCGCGGATTTCGCTTTTTCGAAATTTAGTTTTTTTTTTTTCCTAAAACCCGCACTTCACATTTTGCGCTTTCTTGGCCGTTTTCCGACAGAATTGGTTTTGAGAATGATAAATCACGTAAATACAAGCATTTTGAGCGCTCGAACCGCGAAAATTACCAAAAAGCAACTGAAATTCACGCAATTTTAGCGAAAAACCTTTAAACGGATAAATGTGATTTGCGACTTGACCAAATTTGACGCTTTTGCGCTTAAGAAATTCGTAATAACCTATAAAATCAGTCTATCGAGAGAAAAATGAGAAATTATCGGTTTTTCGTGGCGAATTTTGCTGTTAAAATTTGAATTTCGCGCCAACGTATCGCTCTATTGGGCGGGGCGCACTTGCGTCCATTGTCAGCTCTGGAGACCGTGCGGTGTATGAGGCAATAAGAGACAATTCAAACAGACACAAAAAATTTCACAAAAAAAATCAAAAAATTTGAGGATTCCCTGGTTTTTTAATAAAACACGTTGAAACAACAGTGAAAACACGAACGAGTAATGTTTTTTTTTTTTTTTTGATTAAAGCAATTCTGATTGACTAAAAACATGTTTGATATCATAAAATATTGTGCACATAACCAAATTACAATCTTACCACGGCTGGGCAATTGGTCGGCCCGGGCCCAAAGTTTTTGCAGGATTGTTGGGCTTGGATTGAGGGGCTGAAAAGTTTGGGGTCTGCAAGCTGTGCGCTCAACGTTTCAATGTAAACTCGCTAGAACAAACCTCAAGGTCCACACGCCAAACCCTGAACGGAAAGCGTGTTCGCAAAGTGTTTCATTGTTGGAATCACTCCGAAATAGTAGAGAGCGGCGAGTTCGATGGCTAACAACAAGATGAGCATGAGGCAGCGAAGAATGCACATTGAAGACAGACCTGAACACTAAAGAACATTGGAAAAACGAAGGATGACTTACAAATAAGGACCAATTGTTTTCGGTCGAGTAATGGATGTTCGACTCGGAAGCCGCACATGTCTTTGTGGGAAAACTGCCGGTAGCTGAGCATTGTTTTGTGCAGAGACTCGACGAACAAACCAACAATATTCTAGGGAGCAATTTTGAGCACCGCCCGGTTTTACATGAGTCAGTGGCAAATAACGGTGACAAACAACAAACTACAAAATGGTTCCGTCGCCGCGGTCACAAAAGTCTAGTCCACAGAAGTGTCTTTTTGAACTCGTGAAGGTTCCAGCTGGATAGAAGAAAGGTTCGAAGAAAAAATCCAACGTTATTGAGAGTTTACGAGAAAATGATAACACACGGTACTCGATGTACTGTTGGAATGTGGATCTCGAGGTGTAAGAAGTGCCGTTGTCGGAGGAAGTGAAGCTGAAAACATGCGTTTAGTTTCAATTTTTTCCGCTCTTTTACCTTCTATAAACCGCGTCTTTTCCACGCAAATCCTCCTCCAAGCTCACACTGATTCCCGTTCCGATATCAACGATTTCATAGTTCACAATGATATCGTGCGATTGTTCTGAACCATTTACGAACTAAACAAATAGAAAAGTCGTCCAAAATGTGTACCCGGTCCTTGAATCAGATAGTTTCTTTTATCATTTGTTCCGGGATACGGATAGAAATCCGACATAATGACACCTTTTTGGCCGACTTCGTGTCGAAAAGTTAGGCGATCTGAAGGTGCCCTTCAAAGTCGGATAGTTTTTGAAGAGACTTACACATATCCAATTTGAAGTACTGGAAAGTACCCCCGGACACTTGGTAAGTTCTGCATCTTCCGCGAATCTCAAGATCCGTATAGTTTTCAAAGTTGGTGGCGCTGAAATTTTTTGTGTGTGTACATTTTGAGCGGAAGAACTCACGGAAGAATTTTTATCTTTTTTAGAAAATTTTTTCATGAAATGTGATCAACTGACGAAATGTATAGCTAAGTGAGCTGTGCTCATAAAAAAATAATTGTAAATTTAGCTTTTCATACAAAAAAGTTATTCGAGTTGTTCCGTGAAAAAGGGGGCTAACGAATAACAACTCGAATAACTTTTTTGTATGAAACGCTAAATTTACAATTATTTTTCTATGAGCACAGTTCACTTTGCTCTACATTTCGTCAGTTGATCACATTTCATGAAAAAATTTTCTAAAAAAGATACAAAATTCTTCCGCTCAACTCTGGTTCTCACTCAATTTCTGCGATTTTCTTCGATTCGTCACCGGCGACGACACATCCTGCGTAGATTTTCACACTTCCCGATCCTTTCTGAAATCAATAACTTCAATAATTGACGGTGAAAGTACGACTTACAAATGTAGCCGTGGTCAGCAGTGTTGGGACACTTGTTCCCGAGTATTGATCGGTGATTTCATGGAATACAACTGAAGATGTGTCTTGAGACGAGTAAGAAACGGTGATGTTGGGTTGAGAGACCGGGTTGAGGGTAGGAACCGTTGAGAATCCTGCAAACTTGATGTTAACACCCAACCCTTGCATTGACGTCATACCGTACTCGGGCGTGACCAGAACTGCAAACCCTGGATACGCAACAGAATCGTCGTTCGTGATTGAAAACAGAGTTCCTTCCAAACCGCTGTTGTGTCCATTCAAAAGGACATCGTACAAACTGAACGTCTTGCTGCTGTTTCATTGTTAGTTCATGATGAGTCACCTTTCCCTATACACCCCGCCATCGCGAACTTTAAAGTGTCGGAGCTGTTCAGTTTTCAGCATCGAATTCTGGAACATCACCACTCTCAGCCGGTACTTTCCATGGTAGCCCGGATTTTCGGTCTGATAAAGAGTCGAGTTGCCCGGAAGACTATCAGAATCGAGGATTGTGCCGAGGTTGAGCGCGACGAAGAATGTCGAATCTGCTGGTGAGGAAGGAGGGAGAATGTGTTGAGAGTTATTGTTTGACGGATGTCCCTACCAGCTTGAAATGTCGGTGTTGAAAGTGTAAAAAAGAGGAGTAATGTGGCGAGAATGTGCATCATTGCGTCAAAAGTAAAGGAGTGAGAATGATGAAAGATAAGAGAGTAATGACAATTTTCATTCGTTCATTCTCACCCCGCAATTTTTATAAACCTTAAGGAAATGGCAAGAAACGCGAGTAGAAGATTGGCAGAGCACGCGGAGCTCATAACCGTATAGCGAACGAGCAGTCCTGCGGATCCTTTAGGCACCGAAAAATTGATGAGTTGCTAGTAGGTGGAGGAGGAGGTGTACGCGGCATCGGCTGAGCTCAGGCTGAAAATGATCGGTCTGATAGTGAGCAAAACGAATTTTGACAACAAACAAACCTTCTATAAGACTCTTTTCCAGCGCTAATATCCTCTTTTATCTGGAACGCCGAGTTGGAAGCGATTTCCGCCACTTCGTACTTGACAATTATGTTTTGCTTGTCATCTGAAACCGATAGCGTACATGTGTACTAACATTTGAAGTTCTTACTTGGCGCTTGAATCAAGTAATTTCTTGTGATGGTATCGTCATACGTATAGGGAAAATTGTCGCTCATAATGACACCTTGACGACCGATCTCGTGCTTGTAATCCGTAAAGTCTAGGAAACCGAAATTTGAGGTAATAAATACATACCGCAATTCTAAACTCACAAGTATCATACTTTGTCCATTGGAAGACTCCTTGAGTCAGCACATACGTCTTGCACCGTCCGAACATCATCAGCTTCTCATAATTGGCCGCGTTGGACGGTCTGAAGCGTTCTTTCTTTTTCGATTGTTTGAAAGAGTGATGTGTATCTTGACTCACGTGATTGTAGCGATCAGTTTCGACGAGTGTGGACCTGTCACACAACCCGCATACACATCCAGCTGCCCATTTCCTCTCTGAAAGTTGAATTGTGTTGACAGATCAAACTAAAAACCAACAAAAGCGATTTGTTGATAAATGGATGGTGTCACAATTCCCGCGTACGGGTTGGTGATCTCATGAAATACGGTGAGTCCGTTGGTGGCCGTACGTCTGAGTGGTGTTTCCGTCGGCGGCGGGCCGCACGAACACCCGCTCGTTCCAGTCTTGTACCGGTCCGTTGGTTGTCGAAATCAGAATCGAGTAGACTCCAATTGTGGCGCCGTTCGTGTTCACAATAGCGAATTGAGATCCGGCGCACGTTTGAGAACTGTTCTCAGCCACCAGGACGTCTAGCAAACTGCAACGGACTAGGGTGTTGCAGGCTACAAATACTAAAAACAAACACACGCGCACACGCAACTTACCTTCCTTTGTAGACGCCCAAATCATAGATATGAATGTTCTGGATCAGGTTGTACAAAAGAATGCCCTCGGTGAAAATGGCGACTTTGATGTTGAACGAGTCCTGCACGTGGAGAGCATCGAACATCTGAAGCAAGCTCGAGTTGCCCTGAACACTGTCCGAATCGATGATGGTGCTGAGCGTGTTGTCCACGAGGAATGTTCGACCGTTCACGGCAGGGGTTTCTGTAAAAGATTATGCATGTTCTGTGTGCATAAACGACGAAAATGACTCACTATCTTTGACCGAAATCAAAATAATGAAAGAGTCATTGGCTGATTTATCCGGAAGCGAAAGGTCTATCGTAAAGTTCACAGGTCCCAGAACCCATTGAGCATCGCTCACGAACTCGTAATTCTTATATCCGCCGTACTCGGAGTACTGTCTCGTCGTGATCTTGTTATTTCCCGTGAGCCTCAGGTCAACGGCTATTATCGTTGGCACAAAGTATTTTGGGACTGTGAACTGAAATTGAATTCGTTTCTTTTAACTTCACGGCGCACGGTCTCCAAAGCTGACAATGGGCGCAAGTGCGCCCCGCCCAATAGAGCGATACATTGGCGCGAAATTCAAATTTTAGCTGCAAAATTTTGTGTTTTTTGCCAGATTAGCCACGAAAAACCGATAATTTCTCATTTATCTCTCGATAGACCGATTGTATAGGCTATTACGAATTTTTTTAAGCGCAAGAGTGTTAAATTTGGTCAAGTTTGAAGGTTTTTGGCTAAAACTGCGTGAATTTCAGTTGCTTTTCGGTAGTTTTCTCGGTTCGAGCGCTCAAAATGCTTGTATTTACGTGATTTATCATTCTCGAAACCAATTCTGTCCCAAAACGGTCAAGAAGGCGCAAAATGAGAAGTGCGGTTTTTAGGGAAATAAAAACAACATTTCGAAAAAGCGAAATGCGCCAAAACGTCATTAATTCTGCGAATTAGTGTGTTTTCATGTCGAACATGCATTTTTCATCGCCGTTGACCACAAAAATCAGAGAAAACCTGCTCAATTCATGAAAACGCCATTTGGCCGCCGAGGCCACGCCCATATTGTCAGCTCTTGAGACCGTGCGGCGCTACATGGAAGTTCCATTCCGTGCGAGTTCTACTTTGTTGTAGCGCCAACTTCACAAGTCGGTTACCGTATATTTGCAAGTCTTCGCCGCCAAATCATTCGGATCCGAGGTGATCACAAAACTTGTGTAATTCTGCGTAAACGTCACCGCTTGATTTGTACAATCTAAAACGTTTTGTTTTGATCAAAACATTGTCCGAAATCGATGTTACCAATTTGATAAGAGTGCTCGACTAGAAAGAATAAGAGTGTGAAAACAGCGGGAAAATGTGTGAAACTATGCATTTTTTTTTGCGGCATGCGGAATGACAAGGACGGACACACCCGGACTGATTATAAAGAATGTTTGAAAGAGAGAGAGAGAGTTGAAATATTGATTACCGCACTGATAACCTCATCACTTTTTTAATCTTTCTCACTGTTTGTTCAGGCGTGATTCAGACGATGATCGTCCGGTTCTGTGTTCTTGGACAAACTGTCCGAGAGTATACGGATGAAACTATGAAACATGTAACCAGCATTTTGCAAGGGAAGCGACTTGTTTGCGGATGTTGTCGCAGTACAAACGAGTCTTATCACTGGTTGCAAAATGACCAGTTTGATAAGAAGAGCAGAGCATTCTCACTTGTCGACAATGTCCAACATGGTTTTCAACACCGTCACTTTTCATCAAATTCTACAACCGAACGGCGAGTATTTCACGGTGCCGAGGCGTTATGAAAATATTCAGCCGTTTCTGGCCGATAAACCGTTTGTGGCGTAAGCGAGCATTTCATGCAAGTCTTTAAGGTTCCCTAATTTTTATTTACAGTATGGCATACGACATGGCAACACGGCGACCCGTTGTCATTAAAAAAGTGGTGCTTCCCGACAACTTCAACGATCGGTAAGTGAATTCAAAAATTGGAGATAGGAGAAGCGAATTGTATTTTAGCCAAAACTGGAAGCGTGCTCAACGCGAACTCTACTGCATGTTGCTCATTGAGCACGAGAACATTGTCAGGATGCACAGTGTGTTCACGCCCGCCGAGAACATCAATGACATGACCGAGTTCTATATTGTCCGCGAGTATATGAGCGGAAACATGAAGATGGTAATTATCTTCTCTTTTTCAAACATTGGTTTCCTTTAGTTAACCAATCATGGCCAACATTCAACAATCAAGTCGATCTTCTTCGACATTTGTCGAGCTGTACAATACTTTCACAATGTGAATATTAGTTATCGCGTGAGCAGATGAAAAAAGCGAAATTTTCAAAGTGACTAGACTATTTTCAGGATCTGAAGCCTCAGAACATTTTGATTCAAGATTCCGAAGTGAGAATATGCGATTTTGGGCACGCGAACACGGAAGACCCGAATATGAACACTCCGTACATTGTGCAGAGGTACTACCGGGCTCCCGAGATCATTTGCGAAACTTGCGACAATAATAAGACTAGCGGTTAGTCACTTTTCAAATCGTTCTCGTTCTATATCGATTTCCAGTTGATATCTGGTCGCTGGGCTGTCTTTTCGCCGAGTTGCTCACCAATCACGTGCTGTTCCAGGGAGACGATCATATTGATCAATTTTTGAAGATTGTCCGTTACATGGGAAATCCGGCGCCGGTTTTCTATCAAACAATCGGCAATCAGTACGCCAAACACTTTTTGCAGCATATTCGATTGGATGAGTGAGTTTTTTGTTCGTTTGTTTAGACAGTGCTCGAGTTGCAAGTTCAGAATTCCGGAACCTCGGCCGATTCGTGAACGCTTCCCCGACAGCTGGTTCCAGCCGGGACTACAGACGGATCCGAGGCAATGCGAGCTGGCGCGTGACCTTCTTTTTAAGATGTTGGTGGTCAATCCCGATTTTCGAGTCAACATTCAAGAGATTCTCACGCATCCCTACCTGGCCGACGTGTGGCAGGACGAGGGAATGGAGATCGGCGATTTGGAGCCACCGCCGGCGCCCGCGTTCCTCAGACGATTCTTCGGAGCGCTTCCCTATTCGGACTCGGTTCAAATGCAAGCCGAGATCTTTCTGCGAATCAAAGAGTTCGAGAACAGCTGCGACATTTGTACGCAGTCCAAGAATTGAATTATATTCGTTTCGTTTAAAAAGCTGAAGATCTACTATTCTGAATAAATCTTTGAATTAGCAACAAGTACGGCGTCTAGCGCTCTCCCTCCTCTTCGCTTGCTCTCGTCTGTTCTTCGATGCGATGACGGACCGCTTCGGCTGCCGACGTGTCGCCGACGCTCCTGAAATTTTGATATCAGCATCTTAGGGGGTGTTTGGGGGGGTCTTACATGTAATATTGCAGCCATTGGGAGGAGTAGTCCGTGGTCGGCGCGGCCGAACTTTGTTTCGGTCCCCAGTTGGGCGTTTTCGGTTCGTCTGGCGAAGGAGTTGGCTGTAAAATCGAGTTCTTTCTCAACTTTTCAAAGCGACGATACCCAGGAACTCGAAGGTTCGGCGGGAGTTTGAAGTTGTTGTTCCGCCGCCGGGAACGACATCGCCGGCGCGATCTGATTCTGAAACCACCTTTGCACAGGATCAACGTTCGGCGGCGGATTGAACGGCGTGTTCGGCGGAATGTCGCCGACTTTCACGCAAATCAGATGCTTCGCGTGCTCCACCTGCAACTCGGTGCCTCGAATCACAACCGTTTTGGCGAGCGGATTCTGGTGCGGCTCGCGGGAGAGCTCGCAGTACGCGCCCGATTCCGTGTTGATCTGTTTGATCGTCTCTCCGCCGCGTCCGATCACTATGCCGCATTTCGAGGCCGGAATGTCCAGGTAGAAGACCTCAAAAATGTACTTTAGTAGTTATTATAGGGGCACCGCACAGAAATGACGCTCTATTGAGAAACTCTTTTTGCAGTGCAAATTGGGCGACCTCGGGGCCGAGTTTGAAAAGTTAGGCCACGTTTTCAGTGAAAAATTACTTCGCGGCCTAGAAATTCGGCCAGATTGCGAACAGCGCGCCCTTTCTGTCCGGTGCCCCTATAATAGTACGCATTTCGATAAATGTTCTCAAAATTGATCGAATATTGGCGCAAAAACGCAAAAGACGAAAATTACCGTCAAATGTTCCAGTTCACCCGCCTTTTGGTTCGTCTCGATCACCGTCTTCACCTTCTGCATCGCCCACGTGACATTAAGAGGCGTTCCGATGATCGCCAGCGTTCTTTCCAACATAAACGGATCGTCTTCGGGCAAAAACTGAATTTTGACGTTGCACTCGTCGGACGTGGCTCTGATGTTCGCGCCCTTCTTGCCCATCACCGCTCCGACGGCGGCTCGTGGCACTTTCACGTGCACCGTTGTCGTGTTGAAGTGCGAATTGGCGGGAAGCGACGACGCGTCCGTCACGGCGATAATTTCGTGAACCATGCGTTGCGCTCTCTCGACACCTTCGGCCGTGCCTCGGATTTGAAGCAGTTTCGGTTGGCTCGTGACTCCCGACGAGGTTTGCTGAAGGACAATGTGGCAATTTGTCGATTTCCGCAGCCGTTTCATGTTTTCGCCGCCTTTCCCGATGATCGCTCCGCACTTGTCCGCCGGAATTTCCATGTGCACCAGCACTTTTCCGTCGGCATTTGAGTTCGATTGCTCGAGTTTCGGTGAATCCGGCGCGCCGCTCGGTGGCTCTTCTTTTTTGCGACTAATCAGCACTGTGATGAGCACTTTCGCCAGCTCAATGGCGTCCTGAAAACGAAAAAATGGTGTGGCTAGATGGGCGTTCGGGAAAAGCGGGGGGCGATTTCCACCTGAAATCCCTCGATCTCGACCATTCGAATGCCCGGCACGGATTTGTCAGTCGAAACCTGCATCCGACATCCGGTCTGACGCGCGATCGACGCAATCTCCTGACCGTTTCGGCCGATCACGAGTCCCACAAAGTTCTCGGGAATGGGGAATTCGACTTTGCGCGATTCTTTCGGGCGTTTCGCCTCGAATTCGTCCTCGGGCGCCGCGTTGAACTGTCGTTTTCGGTCGTTATCGGCCATTCTGAAGGGGGTACGAAAAGTTTTGGAGAAAACAAGAGAATGAAACGAATGCGATAAAGAAGATGGAGGAGGATACCAAGGAGGTTCATAAGAAGGAATATTCGAAATTTCAGAATTTCAAAAGCAATGATCGGTATATATTCAACATAATAATCACAATCGAGAAATTCACAGTAGTTGTTTGTACGAGTTAGTAAAAATTATTCGGGAGCAAAGTCGGGGTCCATCTCCATATCGCTCACGACGCTCTCCTCTGGGTGGTCTGCAATTCACAATTTTTCAGGTTTTGAGCCTTTTTTTTGGTTTCCAACCGATTTCCACACTGTACCACGTTTCGATTTTGTTCACAAACGTCTGGCAGGCGACGACGAATTGCGGGCCGAACAGCCGCTTCGCCACCTTCCACGTGGCGTTGAACGGCTCGATGAGAGTGGAGGGAGCGCTCGATTCGAACGCTTCGACGGCCCGCTCGAGCGTCACTTCTCCGAAGAGTCCCTCGATGAGATGGCGGACGGAATTGTAGTGTTCTTTGCACAGCCGAATCGGCATATGGGTAATGTTGTTGAAGAGTGGGCGATCGACCACCAAATTACGGCAGTGGGCCACGAGCGGCGGGACCAGGATGAGCTTTTTGGTGAGATCTGTGATTTCATAGCGAGCCGGGAGACCGCCAGCACAGTTGAGCGAGCATTTGAGGTCTTGTCGGTGGAGGACAGCGCCTAGCGGGCTTTCTGAAAAAAAAAAACGTTTTCTAGAGGAATTAAAGTCAGGCCCATTCTTTTCGCAGACCTGAGGTTATGACCCACTTGCAATAACTCGATCGGATCCAAACTTTGAGGCTTCTTGGACGTGGATTGAAGCATATTTTGTCCAGGTTTCAGACCGATTATCTGGTCCGGAGATATTTACGCTTGTCTGAGAAATACCGGATTTCGGCAAAAATCTGTCTTTTTCCTCAAACCAGCAAGATCGGATCCATCAGAAACTTGGACACAATATACTTCAATTCAAGTGCAAGAAGCCTGCACAGTATGGGCCCAACCGGATTATTCCAAGTGAGTCAGAAATTCAGACTCCAACAAACCTCCGTTCACTTCGTTGACGTTCGCTCTGCACAACGAGATGAAGAGGCGGCGGAGGAACGGCTCGAACTCGTCGACGATCTTCTTCGACGTCTCCGCCGATATCAGCACGTCCTCCTGGAATTGGTATCCGAACAGGTCGCACAGCTTCTTCCGTCCTTTCGTCACGTGTCCCGGACACACATGGATGACCCGCGTGGCGAACGCGTCCGCCGGATCGCGCTTGTATTTTCGGAACAAACTCGAGCCGACGTGCCGCTGCAACATCTCGCACTCCTCGTGGCAAGCGACCAGAATGATCAACTTTTGCCATTCATCGCAAATCGGTCGTGTAACGAGTTGCGAGCCGCAGATGAAGCACGGCGTGGTGATGGACGAATAGTGGAGCGCCTTCGACAACTCGACCAAATGCCTGGGGATCGCTTCGCAGAACGGTAGATGGCGGAGACGTTTCGCGCCTTTCGGCACCCAAAACATCTCCCACAGATCGTCCCATTCGGATTCCGGCACTTCCGGAATCTCCACCGGCACGTTGGTCACTTGCACGACCGGGAGAATCCAGTGGAAGACGCTGCGGATGTGATCGGCGCACACACGCAGTCCTTTCCCCTCGTAAATCCGTGCCGCCGCGTTTCGGCTCATCTTGTCAAAGCTGATGCACGCGTTCATGATGAGCTGCTTCTGGACCGAGTTTGTGATTTTCACGCAGAGACGCGGCCTTTTGCAGATTCCGCAAGTGTCTACCACTGGCATCGGAGGCATCTCGTTTTGAAGAGGCATCTCGTTTTGAAGAGGCTCCACGAGCAGTTCTAGATCCGGTTGTTCTTCATCCGCGACCCACTCCGGCTCCCGCTTCTTCAATTTCCTGTTAGCTCTTCGCGGTCTCATTGTATCTGCAATTCGAGTTAAAACGTATCATCAGCGGGGAACTTTTAAAGATAAATGGCTGTAAAGACCACGTTTAAAAAAAAAAAGAAGCAAAGAATTCAGAACGTAAATACACTTCGAGATCTTCGCAAATTCAAAGAAAATAATTACAAGTTTACAATGTTAAATACTTGAGACAATTATGATAATAGTATACACGAATGCAGTAGGTTGAGCCTCAAAGGCGTGTTATTAGAAATAATCGCAAAATTTCAGCATATTAGTTATTCATATCCTTGTCCATTGGGAATGTGAGCCTTTCGGAGATGGATCGTTCGGATCCGATTTCCTTGTTCACAACACTCGACAATTTCCTCCTCATCTTTTCGTCAGACTTCGGAAGTGTGCTTATCAACGCGCCGAAGTACTGATTCACAATGTCTTCTATCACATCTTCGTACGAATCATCTGGAGAGGGACATTATTAATTGATCGACTGAATTCGGGGTTTACCTTTGCTCTTCCTTCTCTTCACTGTTCCGTCTTGTAGTATAAGCAAAAGCTCCTCACAAAATATGTGAAAACCTTTGAGGCTTACGAACGCCACCTGGCTCCAATGATGAATCACTTGTTCGTAAACCCGTCTGACAACGAATTCATTGTCCTCGATCTTCGGAATCTTTCCGTTCGCACAGCCGACACCGAACCAGTCGAGCAGCTCCCTTGCGATGAGTTTCGAGTGTTCCGCGCATAAATAAATGTCATCTTTGACGAGCTCGTCGGCGAATTCTCTTCGAAATCCGCCGCTGGTCAGGCACAGAGTGAGCAGGATTCGTTTGGGCGTGTCCGTGGTGACGGCGGTTGTCACTTCGCTGATCGGCCAGTTGTCACTGACACAGCAGCAGCATTTCGCCGACTCCCCCTCTTCGAGATCACATGAATCGGAATCTGAATCTGTACCCGAACTCAAATACATCCCCTCTTCCTCCGAAAATTCGTCGTCGATGCGGCAATTGTCCGGGCGAATCACATCGAATTGTCTCAAACATCCTCGGCGGAACCATCGGGACGCGTCTTCGCGAATTTCCGGTGAAAACTGCTTCTGCAGCGCACTCCACACCACACCGATAGTCTGGAGAAACGAGCGGTGGCCATCGTCGTGCTTCTCGAACTCTTCCCTCAGCCAATTCATGAGCATCGACTCGTCCGAGGAGCACAGATGTATCGAGGCGTGGCTGGTGAAGTGGCGCTCTTCTCGACAAAACACGGCAATGACCACCCGGTGAAATTGGTCGGCTCGGCGAAGCTCCCGTTGGCACCATTTGTCTTCGAAGAAGCATCTGGACGACGTATCTTCTGAATCGGAGCATTCAATTTGACGTTTTTTGAAAACGGTAAACTCACTGTTAATATCGCTCTTTTCTCGGCGCTCACTATCAGAGTTGGACGGCAGCATCCTGGAATACACTAACATTTTTGTGTTTGTACAACGTTTGCAATGAAAAAAGGTTTGAAAAGGTAAGAGGAACTGGAGGAAACCCAGAATTATCGGAAGTAAAAGCAAGAAAAAACGAGGCACAAATCGAGATTAGAACACAATTTCAGCAAAACGAGTTATTACATCGTCCAATATTAGAATTATTAAATAGAGTACATGAAACAAATAAATACACAAACAAATTATGTCTCCATCGCAGGCCGGAAGAATTCTTCGGTGAATCTGCGAGCACATTCGAGTATGTTCACCGGCAGCATGTCTTTCACTTCCATATCGAACGTCGACATTTGGCCCATGAGCAGTGTGACGTCTCGTTTTGAGGCGGTTCGAATCTGGTGCGGTTCCGAGGCGCCGAGCATTGTGAGCAGACTTCTGGCAGCCGTGTGAAGGTGTTCTTGGCACATTGGAAGCGTCTGGAAGGAAAAATAGTGATGCTTGTGGTAAGAGATGAAAATCAAACATCTTTAGTGTCGAAAACGAGGCTCGCCGTTCTGATCTTGATGGCTTTGCGGCGAACTTCCGTCACGAGGGCGATGATCCGATGGAACCAGGGCTCGACTTCGGTCACCTTTGCGCTATTCTCGTTGCAAATGACACACTGCGAGTTCGGCTCTTTCCACTCCATCGGCACCGCGTACTTTTCAGCGGCCACGTCGTTCAAACTCTCCGCCAAATCGCTGGTGTCAATGTGTTTGGGCCGACACTGCCGCTCATATTTTGTCACAAAACTTGACGTATTCTTCAGAAACTCGTGTAAAGTCAGCGGGCGTTGTAGTACGAGCGTATCGCGGATCTGTCGGATGACTCGATTCACCACTGCTTTTTGCGTGCTCATGACCTCCATCGGAACGGTCGCGTGGAACAACTCGAGGAGCTCGCAGCCGGCTGCCTCCAGATGCAGCCGACACACTTTGACCTGGCGGGTTTCGTCGTTCAAAAGCGCCGAATAGCGAGCGGCGAGTGGGCACGCGTCTCGCTGGAGGTTAAGGAAATCCTGACGGAGATTGACGTAGAACACGAGAAGTTTGTGCCACCAGTCCGCAAGTTCGACGAGTTCTCCGGGTGTTTGGCATATGCGACAGCCGGTTTCCTCCGGTTCTTCTACTCTCCGCCGCTTTGCCTTTACGTCTCCAGACGGAGAGTCAGGATCTGAATACGCATGCTTCTTCCTGTTCTTTTTCTGGACGTTTCCATCGCAAATTAGAGGCGCGGGAGGGCACGTTTCTGGAAAAATTGGGCTCAGCATAGGAAATCGTACAGTTTTAGCCTAACCTTTTTCTTGTTCTCGATAAAAATCGGCATGTTTCGTGTAGTCTTCCGTCGGCTTCATCTGAAACCGTATTTTGAGAGCTTTAACTTTGAAATGGAACAAAAATAGAACACTACAATTCGGGTAAGAAAACCGAGAGAGAGAAGCGATGAGAAAAAGCGGTGTTTAAAATTTACAACAAGTAACAACAAAGTCTATTATCAAAAAAATTAACAATAATCATCTGAATCGGTTTCCACCAGTTCTTCTTCTTCCTCCTCACTCTCATCGTCCACGTACTTTTCGGTCTCCTCGTAGATCAACTGAACAGTGGAGATCATACGGTTCAAATAAATCGGAGGAACGTCCGGATCCGATTTGTTCTGCTCTGAAAATTTTTTTATTTTTTGCGGTTTTAGTGCTTTTTAGTGCTACCTCTATCGTATTTCTCGTTGACTTTGCGGCAGAATTTAAGCAGCGCCTCCTGTCTGACTTTTTCTTCTTTCGACAAAACGGGCTGCTTGTAGTGTGGCTCTTTCTCGGGCGTCGGCGGCGGGCTCGCGATGAGCTTCTCCAGTTCTTCTTCGTAATCGATGAGCCCCGCTTTCTGGCGTTTGTACTTATTGAAGCACTTCTCATAATCCGACATTCTCGCTGCAAAAAACTTGAAAATTCGATTACTATTATGCTTTACTGTTACCAGGTGAGCTCGTGATGAAAAGAACGGCGCTTTTCGTGAGTGTCACATCGAAACCAACCAGCGAAGTGCCGATTTTCTCGTCGATATCGGCCAGAAGCGGGTGAGTGATCGCCTGCGCGCAATTCGGAATCTCCTCGATTTCCGTCACTTTGAAGGCTTTCATGAGCCATTTGCAGGCCTGCGCACGGCACTTCGAGCACAGGTACAGGGTCTCGACGCGGAAGAGATCGCGAGCTTCGTCGGGGCTCATCGTTTCGTCGTTGATCGCGTACATCAGCGCGAAAATTTTGTACCAAATCACTGAGATCGTCTCAGTCGGCACGTCGCTCGCGCAGATACAGCACAGCGCACTCGGCGAAGCTGCGGCCGCCGCGTCCGAAGTCGTCGGGAACTTGGAAATGAGAGTTGCGAAACGGGCTTCTCGAATTCTCAGCATCTCTTTCAGCTTCTCCGATATTTTTCGCTCAATCTCAAGCTCCTTCTCTAGCTGTCGTTTCAGCGCAAATTCTTGCCGGTAGCGCCTGTCCATGTCTGAAAACGGCTAGAGATATTGATAGAGAAAAACGGAAATCCATTTTTGCATTAGGCCAGAGCAAAATTTTTGAAAATTTCATTAGAGCGCACTTGCGCCAGTGTATCCCGCCACGACTCCGTGCTTTTCCTTTTGAAAACTGGGAGTACGGTGGGCCGCGCTTGCAGATAAAGACAGGATTTCATCAAGAAAAACCGGCGATAAATGATTGAAAACCGATTTAAAAGAGAGAAAAAACATATTTATGAAACAAACAAAACAAATAACAATGAGTAAAATCTAGAAAACCGGAAGAATGAACCTCATTTAGTTTTCCAATACCGGTTAGTGAACCGTTGACACTGCTGCACAAAGTGTTTCCCGTCTCCGGTCGCGTACGGAAATCGCCCTTTCTGGATGTAGTCGACGATGCGCATCGTGCTGTCCACCAGCGTCTTTTTCGGGTGCAAAAACGCCTCGGGACGCGCCACCGCGAACATTGTGCACAGTGTTTTGCACGTTTCGACGAGGTGCCAGCGGCACACCGACAGCTCCTTCTCGCTGCGAAAGTACTGACGGGCCAGACCGCGCGTCATGACGCCTCTGGAAATTGAACATTATTCCACGACTAGAGTTTCGTCTTATTGGGAACGTTGTCGATAGTTGCGGCGATGCATTTTTTTTTGAAATTTGAATTCAATTCAACATTGAGTTCTTGAATTGACTTTTTCTTCGCTAAAACCTTTAAAAAGCTTGACATACATGATTCCAGAATTTGAGAAAAGTGCATCTGAAACTGAAACTTCGTATGTTCCGTTTAGAAATGATGGAAGTTCATTATTTGTGACTCATTTGTGTGTTGAAATGTGAATTTCAGCTGCACTTTTCTTGAATTCTAGAAGCGTTTTGCAAAAATTATCAACATAACATTTGATTCCTTTGGTATAAGTATAACTTACCTAGAGATTATTCCCTAGTAAGAAAAATTGTCAAATTCCGTCAAACATTTATCGATGAAAGCTAAACAGTACCTGGCCACCTCGGTCACCAACAGAATCATCCTTTCCGAGAGCACACCCACACTCCGCACATCGCTCTTTCTTCGAATGGTTCCGCACAGCTTACACGTCGCCACCGGCTCCTCCTCGGCGCCCGTCTTCTCAATCTCTTTCACCTCTCCGCCGTGTTTCCTCCAAAAGTCTCTACAATACTGCAAAAGAATCGGCTCTCGGATGAGGGTCGACGAGTTTCTGACAAAGTTGGCCAAGACCAACACTTTGGCGAGTGTGTGGTGGTCGGTCGGATCCATTGGGTAAACGAGTTTGAGCATGGCGGACAGGTCTCGACACGAGTCGGCAAAATGCTCGTGGCAAATGTAGAGTGTCGGGCGTGAGTAGTAGGTCTGGGCGGTCTGTTTCGTGATCTGTTTGCGGTGAATCGAGACGAGCAGGAGCAACAGTTTTTCGGCGCGCACCGTGATGAAGTGTACGTCGTCGGAGGGCTGCTTGCAAATCTGACACTCGGTTCGCGGCTCTTTGTCCGTCGCTTCAGGCTTCATCTCTTCTTCTTCTTCGTCTTCCGTCTCCCACTCCCACTTTTCCTCTTCCTCCTTTTCCTCCTCATCCTTGATCTCAGTGCCCGCCTCCACAAATTCCTTCCTAACCACTTGCAACTCTCCAACGTCTACGATCGGCGGCGCTTCCGGCAGTTGAACCGGTATTGTTCCGTTCGAAAAGAAGAAATGCGAGCAAACTTCGGCAAGCTGGCAGAAAACGAGCTCCGACGAGAGTCTCTTCTGCACAGTCCTCTCGAGAATTCGGGAGGCGAGCGAGCGCACCGTTCCCGCTTCTCTCGTCGTTTTGCCGATCGTTCGGATGTCGCGCGGGTGCGTCACTTTCAGCATTCGCATGATTTCGACGCACGCTTCCGGGAGGTGATGTGCGCACGCGATGAGCGAGGAGTTCGAGTAGAGTTGGCCGGCGATGTCGAACGTCATTTCGGATTTGCCGGTGGCCGCAATCAGCACGAGCAGCTTTTCGGAGCGAATCACAATGTGGCGGACCGTGTAGAAGTCGCACACGTTGTCGCATATGCGGCACTGATACTTGAGGCTTCTGATGTCGGGCGCCGGACGGAGGGAATCGGCGCTTCTCGCTGAAAGAGCAATATTAGGAATTGAAGCTTCGATTACTGCTTTCTCAGTTTTGCCCACTCAACAGTCTGCATTTATAACGGAATTCAGCTAGGCTAGGAGTGTATACAAGATAAAATAATTGAATTAAGTAACCTGCAATGAATGCGTCGGTTTTCTCTTTTGGATACTTGACGGCGAAACTGTGGCAAATCTTGAGGAACTGCTGCTCGTTGACGAGCGGAATGCACTCGTAGCCGGTCCGGAACGAGTGCACCTTGTCCATCGCCTCAATAACACGCCCCGGCTCGGCGTGCTGAATCTCGGCCGGCACTTTCACGTGCAACATTTCGAACATCTCGTCGTGCGCGTCCTTGAGGTGTTGCGGACAGACGAAGAAGACGCAGAGGGCGGCGGAGAGCTCGCGCGCCGTCGAGACGGTGATTTCGTTGCGTGAGAGCGCGGCGAGCACGATGAGCAGCTTTTCCGACCAGATGCGAACGTTGAAGAGCTCCACCTGAAGACGTATGGCTCCGCACAGGCAGCATTTGGTGGGTTGGAATCGGGCAGCCGGCAGTCTTCGCAGGATTCTGCAAGAAAAGGACTGGGGTTATTCGGCGATGTCAAAAATAGAAAGAACATAACGTTTTCCGGCTTGTTCTAGATAATTTCAATAAATACAAGAAAATTTTTGATTTAAAATTTATCATTTTTGTTGAAAATCAAGCCAGCGCCTAGGCCACGCCCTTTTTTATTTGGAATTTCCGTACTTTGTTCGAACCACCGCTGTTTTTTGCTCTTCTTTGTCCGACTCTGACGTTCGTTTCTTGCTCATCTTGATTGAATTTTCTGGAAAATTTCCCATGACTGGAAAACCCATGGGCCATGGTCAATTGCAAAGATAAATTCATTCTGCGAATTGTGACGCAAAAACAGTGGAAAAACGTGTAACTTGCATAAATTTATTCGTATTTTAATGTTGAAAATAAAACATGCAGAAAAGCTGGTTTTCAAAGATGTTCCGAGTGCTAACAGTGATGAAAGATTTTCAGGGAAAAGCGGTAACAGCACTGTTAGCCGTACTTACATAAGAATCTCTCACAATCAGAAAATGTACGATAAAAAATCGACATCAACATGCTTATATTAGCGGACTTGGCGGCCGGCGCACAAAAGCGGAAGGCAGTAGGCTTCGGTGAACAGATCGTTCTCGAACACTTTCGCCCACGGATTCAACGGGTCATCGACGAGCGGTTTCGCTTCTTTTTGCTCTTTGGGCTCCGCCACCTTCTCCAGCTCTTTCGCAACGCACATCTTGGCGCTTTCGATCGCTTTCATCGCCTCTTCCATGAGCCATTTGTTGACCTCCTCGTCCATTCTCAGCTGCTTTTTGTCCTGCGTCTCCTCGTCGATTTTCTCGAGCCGATTCTTGTTGAAAAGTCGAATGACCGGAAATCGGCCCGTCGATTTGCTGATCGCCACCATATTCGAGAAGAGATCGCGAAGGAACGGGTCCTTTTCGGGGTCATCGCAGTAGCCCTCGATCTTTTTCATCATTTCTCGCTCTTCGCGCTTCAACCCGCGCACCCTCACTGTTCGCATAACTGGGAGATGTTGGAGAAACGGAATTCTGGAAAAAGGGACATGTTTAGAAAAGGTAATTTGGCAAGAAACGTTTTTTGCGAAAATCGGAAACCAGAAATAAATATAAATCCTGAATTCAAACATGTTTTCATGGCATCATTTTTAAATTATCATGAAAAACCGGTTTATTACTCGCATATTGTAAAATATTGTTTTCTAGACGTTTTTCAAGTCAATAAGAGAGAAATAAAGATCGTAAACTCGAATTGAACTGCATTTTTAGACCAGCAAATTTTCAAAAGTTACAACGACACTCCGCAATTTACGAGCGCACTGTGTTTAGCATTAGCGCCCCCTGGGAGACCGTGCGAATACAATGAAAATCGAGTAACAACAACAAAAATCAACACAAATTTCAGCACCCAAACATTTTTAAAGTGACGTAGAGCGCGAGTTGCAATTCCTCGTGCGAGATTCTCTGAAAAAATGAGTTCGATTCAGCTAATTCTATGCTTTTACGTTACGTTTTCGTGAAACTTCTTCATCGCATTTTCCATCCGAATTTCCATTTCTATCGAATTCTGCGCGGACACCAGGGTTTTCATGGCTGTCAGGAAGGCGTAGGTGTTCGCATCCTCGCCGTCGGAAGAGCTCCTCGTCGTTTTTCCACTCGCCCCTATCTCGGCCGCCAAACTTCGCACCAATTCCGTGTTCGTCTCTTTGAACGTGTCCCGTATCACTTCTTTGAGCGATCCGAAGAACGCGTCCATCGGGAACGGGGTGCCCGGCCACGCGGTCTCGTTTTTCCCGTCTTGCGGGCCCGACGGAGTCAGCACTTCGACGCCGTTCGCAACTGGCACCGACACTTCAAACTCCGGAGTGAGTGGGCGGGGCGGAGACGACGACGTCATGTCCTCTTTCAGCGTGCACTCCACAATGCATCCGTCCTTGTCGTACGTCAAATACGCGTAATTCTCGAGTCTAAATTGTGAAAATTACGAGAAGAATGTGCATTTTGCAGGTGAAGTGTCGTTAAAAAAATAACTGTGCAGAATCAATTATGTTGCGTTTTTCAGACGTAAATGGATGCATTTTGAAGTTCTATCTTTGCTGTTTGGCAACTGGGAACATAATTGATTTTTCAAATAATGTTTTTCTCACGACAGTTTCCCTTTAAATGAGTACACTCACACTTTACAATAATGCGCTGGAACTTTGATTCGGAGCTCCTCGAACAGTCGCAATTTTGTGTGAACGTCCAAGTCGGCGGCGTCGAGATTCGGCACCATTTCAAAGTTGAATTTGTAGTAGAGTGCGCCGACAGTCTTCTCGCTCGGCCACTTCTTCTGAAACTGCTCCCAGAGCTCGTAGCGTCGCCGAAAACGTTGATGATTGTCGACAGCGAACTGCCACATGTCTGCCTCCTCGTTTTTCGTGAATTGCGCCGTCGATTTCCGCGCAATCGCCGTCGGTATCATCGGCAAGTATGCGTCGTGATCCTCGTTCATATTTTTCGAAAACAGAAAAAAGGCAAGCATTTTGGCAACCCACAACACTCTCAATGATATGATTGGAGCTTCAATCGGAGTGGAAACCAAATGACGTAAAACACTTTCAGATTTCAAATCAGTTAAAACATGTATGTGAGTGAGAAACAGTACTACAAAACAGTACAAAATAGAAAAGTGTGCAGGCAGAAAAAATAACAAAATTTAACATTCCAGAATGTCCAGAGTCTCCTCGATGTCGGTGAGCAGTTTTTCGAGCGGAAGCTTGATTTGCTCATTGTCGCCGAGTTTCTGAATCGCCGTGTCGATACGCATTATGATGTCTTCCGTCTCCGCCGAGTTGAATCGTTTCGTCAACGTCTTCAAGACCACCAGGTACTCTTTCATGCTCGGCTCCGTCGATTCGGGCGCTCTGAACGTAGATTCATCGAATTCACTTGCTTTTTCCTCTAATTTACGTACATGTCGTTCACATGCGTCGGGATGTTCTCCGAAAGTTCCGGCTCTTCCAGTTTCACCCGAAACTCTTCAGAATCCTCCTCGCGACGTCTTTTCGAAATCATCTGATATCTTGTGATGCGTCCCTTCTCGTCAACGCTCACAAACGCTCGCGTTTTGAGCCTAAAACCATTCAGAATTTGCGCTGTTTTTATCGAAACTGACTCCTGCAAAAACGCGGTTTCCACCGGAATTCCGTACTGAAAGTACAGTCGGAGTTTTGTGTCGATCGGCAGTTTGGCCAAGTGCAATTTGGGCGCCAGAATGTTCTTGTAGCGTTTGTACCAGCTTTTCCAGCTGCGCACCGAGCCCGGCTCGTTGGCAAGTCGCTCGCAGATTTTGTACGGCGTCTGGTTGAGCGGATTCTCGATGAGACGACTCCAGAGACGCACGTCTTCGTCGGGTGTGAAGCATCTCCACACTTTTTCCGCTTTCAGCGATTTGTAGTGAATTTCAAAGGTTTCCGCCTCGTCTGTCATTGCGTTCGCTGGAAAACGGTTATCATCGCGCCAATAAAATTCTCAGTTTTGGAACTATTCAGCGTATGATTGTTTTCCGTTTTTTTTAAATCGCTGAATTGGATTTATCGACGTTAAAAAAACGAGAAAAAAAACGGAAAGCAATCATTTTTTCACAGCCTGAATAACCCCATTTCGTTCACAATAGAGCGCTTTTGCATCATCATTTTTCAAGGCAAAAAGTGGCCTTTTGCAACAGATAAACTCGGTGGGAACCGATGAAATTTTAAAGAAACCATAATAAGACAAGTGAGTAACGTGTTTGAATATAAAACTTTGACAGAGACAAGCAAAACAGCAAAAACAACAATAAAAGCGTTAATAACAGCCGAGAATGGTGAGCGAGATGTTGAGCGCCGAGACGAGCGTGTCGATTTCGATTTTCTGGAAAAACTACTTTTATGGAATTACGGGGGGCGTACACACGTTTTCCTCAAAATTCTGAATGGTCTTCTGTACTTTTCGTTCGGTTTCCGTGGCTTTTGTGGCGGCGGCGAACGCTTTCATGCTCTTCAGCAGATTTTTGGCGCTTTCTTGGACGGTGCTCTTCTTTTTCATCGTCATTTCCTCGATGAGCTGACGATTCGCACTCTTCACCACTTCCGTCATCACCTCTTTCAGTGATTCGACGAACGGGAAGACGAGATTCGGATGATTCGGCGGTCCCGCAGACTTTTGCGAGCCGGCTGTCACCACCTCCTTCTTCTCCGGAACTTTCTCGTCCACCGCAACCACATCGATCTCTTCCTGTTGCTCCTCGAGTTTTGGCTTCTTCGCCGACGGATCCTGCTCCGGCTGCTCACATGGACGCAGAAGGATACATTGCTGCAAACGAGCTCTATTAAAAAAATCCCGAAACAAATTGGCGCTAATTCACATGTTTTGATTTTCGACATACCCCGCTGCGTGCCCGTGGCTGCTGCTGTTCCCCGTTCCAGTTGTGCGAGCTCGCCACATAATCCACAATTTCCGCGATTCTCTGCTCGCGGAGCTCGTCGGAAGTCCACGCGCCGCCGTTCGCCGGATCCACGTCGTTCAACACGTACTTGGTGATGCACCCGAACTTGTCGAGCCAGACACGCACATACTTGTTGTTCTGAATGCACTCCTTCTCGAGAAACGACTTGTTCACCTTGATGTGATACTTTGTGTACAACTCGAGCTTCGTCTCGATATCGAAATCGGTGCGGTGAAGCGACGGCGCGAGAAACTTTGAGAAGCGATGCGAGAGTCCGTTGACGGTGCGCGGCGAGCCTGTCGCCTCGCGGAATCCCTTCCATATTTCACCCCAACGAAGGCCCGGCGGCGCGGCGATCAGGTGCTTCCAGATGGCCATGTCCTCGTCGTTCGTGTAGCGTCCGAGCGTCAGATAATTGGACAGCGGGTGTGTGGGCGGGACGTCCCTTTTCATGCGGAACGCCACGATGTAGGTACCCGTCTCGTCGAGCCGAATGTCCGCCACTTCACGAAGGCTGAAACGGGTTTATCGACAAATAAAGGGGGCGTGGTCTGCGGATATCGACTGAAAATGCAGTTTATAGCCAAACTCGCTTCTGAATACATTTGGAGAGTTTGGAGAGTGAAAACAGCGGAAATTAAGCATTTTCAGCAAGAGGTTAGAACACATTTTTGATTTACCTTTGCAGATAACTCAAATCCACAGAAATTCTATACTTGGCGTGGAGCATCAGCTTCGTCGGCACGTCGAAATGCGTCGCTTGAATGCCGGGCACCAAATGATTGAAGAATCTGAACGCGATGCTTTTATTGGTGACATTACTTACTCGTCTGAAACTTTGCGGACCTATCAATGAGCTCGGTTGTGGTGCGACGCGTTCTGTATCGCTTTTTGAAGTCGTTGAAAACGTGGCCGCAGCCGTGAAGCGCCACCAGATGCGGCGGGTAGTCGATAAGAAATTCCCACAGATCCTGGTCTTCCTCGCTCGAAAACGACGTTGAGACGACGTTCGGATTGTCGTTTTTCTCGCCGGGCACCTCGTTCTCCACATTATTAAGAAATTGTTCCATTATTAGATTTCTGTAAGAATTTTCTGTAAAACTAGCATTAGAAGCGGCAAAAGTAGGTAAAAAAGGAAAAAAAACCGATAAACGAGCGGGATTTTCTATCAAAAACGTCAAAAAATTCATGAGAGAATTACATTACAGAAACCAGAACAATAAAACATGTGGGAACGGTGGAAACTGATAAAAAGTGACAGCTTTTAGCATCCGAGCAGTTTGAGGGTGACGTCGAGCGCGTACTGCACCTCGGTGAGCGTGTATCCGATCGTGTCCTGCTTCTGAATCGCCGCCTCCACTCTGTTCTCCAAATCCGGCATATTGAACTCGCCGATCATCGCCTTAATGCCGTTGAGCAACGCCTTCATCTTCGTGGTCACGTCTTCGGGCCGCGGCTCGGGTTTTCTGCAAATCATCTGCATTTTCGCGCGCAAAACTCTCGAGTGCTCTCACTTGTTAACAACTTCGGCGATCTTTGCGACCAACTCGTTGTTGCGCGTTTCGATGACAACATTGAGCACGGTCTGAACGACGCTCAGGAAGCTGCTCAACTGCTCGAAGCTCATCACGGGCGGCGCAATCGACTCTATGGGCGGAGCCTGTTGCTCTTCGCCCAAAGTGTCCGGCGGCTGCGAGGACTGCGGAGTCAGCGCCGGAGCCGACTGGTCTTCCCAAGCGTTCTCGAGCTTCAAAAGTTTCGCGGGTCTTGTTTTTCTCGACTGATACGAGCGTTTGGCGCTAATTGGAGGTGGCAGAAGTGGAACCAGTGGCCCGGATTGCATTAGAGAATGCGGGTGAGCTGGGGAGATTGTGTAGAGCTGCTGGCGCGACGACGTGCCCTGATGCTCCAATCTCGGCATTCTCGCCGCAGGACTGTCGGAGCTCGAGGCGATAGTTTTCCCGAGCTCCTCGCCCTCCGCGCTCTCCTCCGTCGTCACCACCTTCTCCAGCCGCTCCATATCCTCGAAATCCTCGTCGCTGACCGTCGGATGAACGCTTTCGAGCGTCAACGGACCGCTCGACGATTCGCCCGCACTTTGACAGATGATTTGTTGAAGGGCGGCCGTGAGATTCTGCTCCAGAATCTCGTACGTCTTGCCACACTTCGGCTGGTAGCTGATAATATAGCCGTCGCCACCGATTTCCACGTTCGCGAATCGGCGAAGTCTGAAAATTGAAAAATTTATGGAAATTCCCGGGGTTTTTCGGGCTTACTCGCTCAAAAACTCTTGAGCTATTACAATTTTGTACTTCATCGACAATTTCACCTTTGTCACAATGTCGAAATCCATCTGATGCAGTTTTGGCGACAAATATTTTCGAAATCTGCAAGAAATTCGTTTTATTTTGTGTTTCTGCTTCCCAACCTCTGATAAAGCGTCGATGGGGATCGTCTGGATCCGGTTTCAGCCCTGTAACTATTCCAGACTTCGAACGGTCCACAATTTGGCGAATTATCAATCAGAAATCTCCACATGGCCTTGTCCTCTTCGGGCGTGAAATTTTCGGTTCGCGGAATGCGAACGCCTGTCGAACCCTCGCTGTCTCCTGGAGAATTCGGCGGTTCCATCAATTCTGGAATCGTTATTCGTTGCCTAAAACAATTATTTCAAAAATTTTCAAAGATACAAACAAATTGGCGACAAAACCATTGAAACAATTCAGCGAAAAATAACAACACAAGGGGAAATTTTCAGGCAAGAAATGATTAGTCAATTATTCGATAAATTATAACACTTTTTCGAAAATGCACATCGAGTTTAACATCCAAGGAAAGAGAGAGCGGCGCCGAGAGCACAACGCACATGATTCGGCGGTATCTATTTTCTGGAAAAATCGGGGTTTCGGCCTTTTTATTAAATTTTTGTAAAAAGATTATTCCCAGCGCTTTGAATGACCATCTGAATTCGTTCGCGCATATTATCAGGATCATCTGCTGGCACCAGAGGCTTTATTCTTTCCAGAAACACTTTCAAACTCGATGTGTGCGTCGCTTCCAGTCTGAAAATTAGTTTTTTAGTTGGTGGCCGAGCTTTCGCTCACTTTTCGATCACAGAATTTGCGGTTTTCCGGTAAATGATGACTTCCTGGACGCTATCGACAATTTCGTCATTGATCTCGCTTCAACCGCACTCAGTAGCCGCTTTTTGGACACTTCGGAGAATTTCCGGCCCCTCTTCGATTTTTTCGGGCGTTTCCTTGAACTGACATCGCAAAATGGTCCCGTGCCTTCCAATCACCAAATTCGCCTTCTATCTCAGTCTGAAACGAATATTTGACTAATTTTTCAGATGTTCAAAAGCTTACTCGTTCAAAATCGAAGGATGAACTCTAGCTTTTTATACAACAAAAGCTTGGTTTCGAGGTCGAGATTTGCGCTGTGAAGGTTCGGCGCCAAAGAGAAGAGGAATCTTCGGTAGAGAGTCTTCACATTGCGCCGCGAGCCGGCCTTCTCTATGAATCGGCGCCAGAGATGGTAGTGGAGTTATTCAGGCTATGAAAAAAATGATTGTTTTCCGTTTTTTTACGTCAAAAAATCCAATTCAGCGATGTAAAAAAACCAAAAAAAAAAAGGAAAACAAACATACGCTGAATAGCCCCATAAGAACGGCTTGTGTCAGAAGTATCGATCAGAAATCGCCACATCATCATGTCGTTCTCTGTAGCTTTTTCGGAGATTTGCTTCACGCTTAGGCTCCATTTTTTTCCTGAAAATTTCAAATTAGCAAGGGAAAACAAGTTTCCTGGGCGCTGCAACCAAGTAGAACACGCACGGAATGAAACTGTTACGATTTGGAAACCGCAACGTTAAAATATAACTGCGAGTTCCAAATTGGAAGAGTTCCATTCCGTGCGAGTTCTACCTCGTTCTAGCGCCGTTTCCTGATGCATTTGCTTGAATTTCGCGGCCACAGAGTAGAGCGCATTTGCATAGTTTCTCGAATTTGAATGATTTCAGATAGTGATTGGTAGAGTAACGTTTCGACTTGAGAGGCTGTCGAAAAGTCAATAAAAGTCAAATTATGATCATTTTCGAAACATTTTTTTCTGGGTTTAATGTTTCGAAAAATGATGATAATTTATTCTCCTCGCGGACTACACGTGATGTTTTCTAGGCCTCGCCTTTTGCAAAGTTTCGCGCGACAATTTTCAATCGATAAACAAATAATAAAGAGAACCTCTAACCCGCGAAGAATTACATGAAAGTGGTGAGATTCATTAAAAAGCGAAATGAAGCAAAATAATTACATTTGACAGTACATTCGAACAATATTCAAATTACAAATTATAAATTCTCTTCTTGGATTTCAATTTTCGTAATTTTCGTTGGTTTCTCTGCAATGCTATCTTTTGTCTGGCGCTTCACCGGTTTGAGCGGCTCTCTGGGCGCCTCCGAGCACAACAGATAATTCTGAATGATTCGCTCCTTTACTTCGTTATAGTTCACGTCTTTCATCAGCAATCTCGCGTACGTTTCGAGTCTAAATAAAGATTTTAAATTGATTCTTATAGATGTTTTCGTACGTTTCTAAGTAGTGTTCTGGGACCGGAATCGCGTAACGCTTGTACAGTTTGAGCTTTGACGCAATGTCCAGATCTGTCAAGTGTAGCTGTGAGGCCGTGTTGCGAAAACTAAAAAAACTAAATAAAATTTGTACATTGAAGTTGTTAAGGTTACTGTATAAAATAAAAGTACTCGTTGCACGTGGCTCTTCCGGCTTCTCGACACGCTTTGAACACCACGTACGGATCGAGACATCCGGTGTTGTTCTCCAGAAGAATTTGCCACATATCGCGATTAACCGTTTCTGGCGAGTACTTTTTCAGCATTTCCGACGTCGCAAATCGCGGTTTCACTCTTTGCCATCTTTTCGCTGTCGTGTACTCGATAATTGTGTTTTTCCACGGACAGAGCAGCAAATCGACCCTGTTCTGTTTCACTCTGAAATCGCACACACACTTATCGATCGAAATGACGCTTTTACGGTCACATTTTCGAAAATTCATTGACAATTGGGATGCTACATTTTGCATGGAGGCGGAGTTTGATGTCGAGCGGAAATGAGGTCAAATAGAGTCGATTCTTCATGTTTTTCTGAAAACTGAACAGAACATGAGTTGTATAATTTCGTGACCCAGCAGCCCTACTGCTGAAAAATATCGTCCACCGATCGAAGCGAGGACAATTGATACTTTGCGATAACACCGCGATCGTCGTTGTGCACGTTGTAGAGAAAAGCGAGCCAAATAGCGCGTTCTTCTTCGTTGCAAAACGGAGCAAAACCGTCCTCTTGTCTGTAATAAACCAAGCAATTGAAAACATTGCGCTCCATCGCGAATCACATCAACTCCGGGGTGTTCCACTCGAGCCACGCCGCGCGTTTCTCAATCCATCGCCAGCGCAGAATGAAAACGCTCGAGTCCACCTCGTAAATGTCCACAAATCGCTCGGCTCGAAGCGTTTCCAGAAATTTTTCGTTCACCGGAAGCATGTAATTCATATGGATACGCAGCTTATCGAGCTCCGAAATGTGCTCTTGCAAGTGCATGGTTTCAGCGAGTTTTCTGAGAAAGCTGAAAATGGAATCGATACTTGTTGTGTCGATTTAGCGCCTACGCTTGCACTTTATGCGGCACTTCTTTTCCGGTAAACTTGAAAATCATTCTAATATCATCGGGCGGATATTTCGTCATCGCCTTCCAAATTTCGTCGTCCGCCGGCGTCGGTTTCATAGAATATTCCAGAATTCTTCGATTCTTCATCTCCAAATACGCGTACCTTTCCAGTCTGAAAATTCTAGTCTTTTCGGCAGAAAAATGCACAAAAACTGACACGGCACGGAAACCATCATTCACTAAAAGTTTGAGCTGTTGGTACAACTTGAGCTTCTTCGGAATTTCAAGCGGAGCATTTTGGAGCGTGAAGATCATCCGGGAGCGCCACCTTAAGCATTTTCGAATATTTTTAGACTATTTTCGAATTCTGACCACCAATTGAAGTCATTTCTTAGTTTTGATTCCGCTGTCATTTTATTCGCCTTCAAATATTCGAAAAGTGCGTCGAGGATCTTGTCGTCGGTTTCTGCGACCTCGTCGACGATTTTCCAGTATTTTCGTTCTTCTTCTTGAGTAAAAACTCTTTTTTGATCGAATTCGAAATGGTTTGATGACGGAGAACTCATTGTCGACTTCTAAAAACACAACAATTTATCAGGAGAATTTGAAGAAAACTCCATTTATTCTCAAGATTTCAAAAGCCCCGCCCTTTTTGCAAAGTGCGGCGTGCGATATGGTTTTTGGTCGCTGTCAACGACATGTTCTGGAAAAAAAACGCGCCGAAAAATGGTACAGTCTTCATGCGTGTGGATGCTTCTAGAGAAGAGCAGAGTAGCAGAGACAGAGAGAAACACGAGAAACAGATATGGGGTTATTCAGGCTGTGAAAAAAATGTTTTTCCGTTTTTTTACGTCAAAAAACTCAAGTCAGCGGTGTAAAAAAAACGAAAAAAACGGAAAACAAACATACGATGAATAGGCCCAATAGTTGACAAAAATAAATTGAAACAGGATAAAAAAAAACATTTAGAATCCAAGAATTCTGATGGCGACGTCGACGGCGGAGCGGACAGTGTCCACCGGGATTTGCTGAAAAAAGAACCGATTTTGAAAGGTGATTCTCTTGCTGCTTACCTTGTCATCTGCGGAAATGGTGAGCAGCGCTGCCTCGATGCGCTTGTCAATGTCCTGCATCGCCGGCGAGTTCACACGCGAGACGAGGCTCTTCATAACGGACAAAAACAGCTCGAGACTCGCAGTATCGCCAGTCTGCTGCACCGACGTCGCCTGATTTTTTTCGAACGCGTCGTCGACCGTCTTCTGGACCACCTCTCTCGTAGTCTCGCCGATCAGCTGCTTGAGCGATTCGAAGAACGGCGCCGTGTCGAATTCGGTGACGCGAACGGTTTGCTGACGGCTCTGCGGCGGCTCAGCGGATTGCGAAGATGCGGCTGGCGTGGACGGAGCCGAAACCTTGCTGCGCGTCTTGCGGGAAGTGCGCGACGTGGCCACTTTGGGCAAAGCGCTGCGACGAGGTGTATTGCGGCAAGCAGAAGCGGTGCGTGGAGTACGGGGAGTCTTTTTTGGCGGACTCGCAGTACGAGCCGCGCGCGGCGCCGATCTTTTCGCATGTGGAGTAGAAGCAACAGTGGATGTACGCTTGGACGCTCTTCTCGCCGGAGGGGGAACCGGAAGATCGGGAGTCGCAGCTTCAACCGGGATTGGAGCCGAAACTGGAGCTTCCGCATCGACAACGAAGCCTTGCTCGTCGATACGCACGTCGGTCGCCGCTTTCAATCTGAAAAAAACTATTTTTCATAACAAATCTCTTATTTAACAAAAATTACGTCTCAACATAGTCGCTCGGCACCATAATTCTGTACTTTCCGTACAATTTCGCCTTGGTCGCCATATCGAGGTCGGCCTCGTGAAGATGCGGAGCCAGAGAGTATTTGAAACTGTAATTTAAAAATTATTTTGCTCGCAGTCCTCGAAACCAACCGATTGTACAGAGTCTGAACATTGCGCTGGCTTCCGGTTTGCGTTTTGAACGTCTTCCAGAGCGCCACCGGGCCGACCGTGTCGGTCGATTCGATGAGGTACTGCCAGAGAGTCATATCCTCTTCCGGAGTGAATCTGAGAAGGCTCGGAGCCATTTTCAACTGAAAACAGTGAAAATTCGAATTTAGCTCGACAATTTTCTGCGAAATTGTGTAAAAATTGAAGGAAGAAGTGAATTTGAGTTTTTGGATGGATAAAAGTGAATTAGAATTGCCGAAAATTAACGAGAAAAACATGAAAAACTCAAAAAATTCAAAGCCAAAGTCGAACGATAAGCTGGACACGCCCTTTTTGCAACGTGCGCGCGCTATTTTGCAAAGTGCGGCAGGTACTTGCAAAATCGCTTTTTATTCAGTTTCAGCAGCTTCCGGAAGTTTTCCAACTAAAAATGAAATATAGCACCGAAAAATAAATATAGTCGATCTAAAATCACATAAAACTCCGAAAACTTGAAAAAAATGAACGTGTTTAGTGAAAATAGACCATTGTGAGGAGGTTCTTTCTTTCGAACTTCAATTGTTCATTTATTTTCACGATAATTGTAATTTGTGTTCCTAAAACTCTCAAAAATGAACGAAACAACTTCTGAATCAGAGCAGCCGACTGCCATCAAGCAAGAGGAAGCGAATAGGTTTGGTTTCAAGTATCGTTCATTCAAAACGATTCATCTCATCTGTCTGTAAAGATATGTAAAAGTTGTCAACTGGTAAATTGTAAAAAATGTTTTAATGAACATGTTATTAGTTGACCACTTTTCGACATCTCCACAGACAGCTGAGATATATCGTTTTGAATGAACGATATTGAAAATCAAGCGTTTCTATAGATACATTCTGCCAAAGATTGATTCCTCGGGAGCTGGGTGTTTCTGTCGGATCTGCGAATGTAAAGTGTCTGGCACTCTTATCAAACAGTCGACCGTCCGCCCGGAACGTCTTCTCACTCTCCTCGGCCTCGTCGTCAACGGAACTGTTGAATCGGCCGTCGCTCTCGCTTTCAACGATCTCGCCAAGTTCCAAATGTGTCGAGAGCATCAACTTGTCGCCTGTAAAGTCTTTTGCGGACCAAAAAACGATTGGGACTGGGTCGAGATGCTCGGAATCGCGAATTCAATCAAACCGCCGCAAAAACCCGCGATCAAGATGGCATGCTTTCAAAAAATGATTCAAAAGTTCGTGGACAAGTATCAACAAGACAAGTGCAATGTCTGTTCGGACACCGGTTCCCGTCACAACTTTGTCACCTGGAACTCCTCGGCGCCCTTTTCGAAGGTCCGCAAACTACTCGTTCTTCTCCAGTCCGTGCTTCGTGCCGAATCGGACATGAGCAACGCGAGGGCGTGCTTCAACCGTGGCACCGTCTCCGTTTGTCATCGCCACATTCCGCAGACTTGCGATGCTCTGCTCCGAGTGCTCGAGGCCAGCGACGATTTGTCAACGCTTCTGGCTACTGTTCATTCGATTCAAGACGAACATCTTGTCATCGGAAACGAGTACCACTTTCTGATGGTTGCCGCTCAGTTTGTTCAGGATTTCGGTGCGTGCATTTTACGAGTTGTGCGCCCGAATTTCCTTCGTTATAGGTGTCGAAAACTGTGAAGAAGTGTCCCACTACTCTTTGTCGCCTGTTCGCCAACACTCCAAACCCGATTTTCTGTCTGCAACACTACCATGAAGCGGCGCGGTGTCTGATTGGCGCTGACGGTTCGATGAAACAGTTGCGAATGTGGGAGAAGGCGTTGACGATCAAAGGAGACGTCGTCAATCAGTACATCGAGAACTTTGACGCTTTTCCGCTTTTTTTGGATCACTTTACACGGTCTCCATAGCTGACAATGGGCGCAAGTGCGCCCCGCCCAATAGAGCGATGCATTGGCGCGAAATTCAAATTTTAACAGCAAATTATGTGTTTTTTGCCAGATTAGCCACGAAAAATCGATAATTTCTCATTTTTCTCTCGATAGACCGATTGTATAGGCTATTACGAATTTTTTAAGCGAAAGAGCGTTAAATTTGGTCAAGTTTGAAGGTTTTTGGCTAAAACTGCGTGAATTTCAGTTGCGTTTCGGTATTATAGGGGCACCGGCACAATCGATTTATGAAAAAGAAAACGAAAAACAGAAGGAAAACAAAAATTTCTGCAGCAGCCTACGTGGCCGCGGACTAACTTTCTCTTCTCACACCATTCAAATTTAGAGTCCCCCAGGTTTTCGCGGGCTCTTCTCAATAGCGCGCCCTTTCTGTCCGGTGCCCCTATAATAATTTTCGCGGTTCCAGCGCTCAAAATGCTTGTATTTACGTGATTTATCATTCTCAAAATCAATTCTGTCTGAAAACGGTCAAGAAAGCGCAAAATGAGAAGTGCGGTTTTTAGGCGGCGATCGGCGGCGAAGGCGAAAAAGCAAAGTCCGCGAAAAATGCGCCAAAACGTCATTAATTCTGTGAGAGTTAGGGTGTTTTCATGTCGAACATGCATTTTTCATCGCCGTTGACCGCAAAAATCAGAGAAAACCTGCTCAATTCATGAAAACGCCATTTGGCCGAGGCCACGCTCATATTGTCAGCTCTGGAGACCGTGCTTTATTGAAGCGTTTAGATAAAATATTAGTTGATCAGACAGATTTCTCACAAGACACCCCCGAATATCCAGAATCGCAGACGCACACGTAGTCCTGTGCGTTGATCGAATCGAATTGCAATGCTCCATGAGAAGAGCAGTCGGTCAACTGTCCGGTGGGTCCTCGTTTGTAGGGCAGCTGCTTCCGAGCACAATAAACGTTTCCGTACTGATCGGTTTGTGTACAATCCGGATCGAGTGGCTCTATTCCGGGCAGACATTCGAACGAACGGGTTACAGAGTAAGAACCAGTCGTGACCTAGGAACAAGTTTTTAGTTGAAAAAGTTCGAACACACTCACCTGCACATCATACTTGTTCTCAGTGCCCGGATAGCAGGCACCAGATGAAGTGCTAGCATCGCAAAAGTAGGGAACAAACGCGAACTTCGGGTAGGATCCTTCCGTTCCAATGGGACGTCCGGAGACTTGAAACTCATCGGTCTTGTTGCGAGCAAGTCCTGAGCAGTCAGTAATGCTCACCCGGGCCCTAGCTTCCTGATAACAATTGTCAAGAACGGTCATTCGGAGAGCCGCGCCTTCCTTATCGTCCGGGTTGGTCGGATAGAAGTCGAGATCGACGTACTCGGCGTACTGGTACAACACCCGATCGGTCCAGATCCGAAGCGAAACGTCTTGTGCTGTGCCACTGAACTTTACCCGATACACGGTGTCGGCGGTGAGCGAAATGTCCAAGCAGAAGACGTTGGAGGAGTTTCCCTGCAAAACTGATCGATACACTCGGCGGGATGGAAGGGAACTGACACAAGTCAACGGATTCAAAGGATCCCACTCAAAAACCATACACGCCTCGTCATCGGTGCACAGACTTAGAAAACGAGACCCGGAAGGGATGGAATCGGATAATTGAGTCATTGTGATTGTGAAATTGAGTTTACCGCCGCTGATAGAGTTGGCTGTTCTCAAAGTTCCGAGCTCTACTGGACGCTGTTCAAGTCCTCGAAAGTTGCGAGTAAAGAGTAGGTCTTTGCTATAGCCGACGCGCATTATTGTGGCCACAATCTGAAAAGGAACGAATGACTCGACCAATAAATTCCACACTCGTGTACCCTCTCAACATCCTCGCTTCGGTAGATGATAAAGTGACCGTTGGTCCGAGTGGCTAGCTGAAAGAAAAACGTCAAATCGGCTGCGCTCTGCAAAGCGCTCTTCTGCTCTTCCAACGTCTCCCGACTCATCGCAACGAACACTTTGACGTTTTTGTTGACAAGACTTGTGTAGTTTTCCGGTGGCAAGTCGGCGCTCGTGTTCACTGGAAGAAAAGTGGGAAGAATCAAGAGCACCGAGTTTTCGAGCCAGTTCGTCGTCTTTCCGCTGTACTCGGACGTTTCCGAGGCGGTCGGGAAGAACAACTGAAGCACGGCGGCCACGTTCGACACGCCGACGACGTTCCGAACGGGACGAGGCGGACTCGACACGAGATTTGACGAGAATTCACTGAAAATTGAAGGAGCGAATGGATTGACGATTGTGCAAACTTGCAAACTCACTCAATATCCTTCGGCTGCTCAATCGTCTCCGATGGCGCATCGATGATGGCGTCTCTGAGCACATTGTCACGGTACGAGTTGTTGTTGAGCGCGTCGACGACAATCGGAACCACTTTGTCGTACAATTGTACGTCTAGCTGATAGGAGTAGGCGAAGAAAAACGTTGAAGTCCATTGTGGGGTTTGACAGTTCAACGATTCTGAAAGTTGTGTTATTGAATGGAAAAATGGGTGCCCTATGAATTTTTGGTTTTTGTTTAGCTTTTTCAAGGTGTTGGGTGTTTCTGGAATAGTCGAGTCAGTAGAAATATGAAATATAGACAGCGAAAAGAAAAAAGGTGATAAGACACTCCACTATTGTCACATTCTTCAACAAACAGAGCATTCATTTTTATTCGGTTCTTGCAATTCGATCAATAGAATAGTAGACTCGGCGAGGTGTACTGGCTGGCGCATGCCACGTCATCGATCGCCGAGCATACACATACATCCGACCACGCGTTCGACACAGAACTTTGAGGGGAACAGACGACCAGGGAGCAGTCGGGGCCTTGGAAACCATCGGGACACGCGCACGAGCCAGTGGAGACGACGGCGGTGCCGCCGTTCCGACACACTGGGCCACTGGATGTTCCGAACGCGAAGAAACGAGTGTACTTTGTGGTGGATCCGGATCCAGCGGCGCTTTGAAGCGTCACTTTGGCGGCATTGGCGCCGGCCGCGTACTTTTGAGTGGCGAAGATGCTGTAGGCAGTCCAACCGAACGAGCATCCGGACCTCTGCGCGTTCCTCGTCACCCCTCCGTCCGCGTCGTTCGCCACAACGGTATAACCGTCGGGCACGCGGATCGACAGCATCGTTCGGGTATCCGAGGTGCTCGTGGAGACGGCGTTCGAGCTGTCGCGCGACAGATCCGAAATGATTTGCGCCTTTGCAGCCACGTCGTCGAGCACGTAGACTGCCGCGTAGTAGGCGCCGCTCGCCAGATTTCCCTTCACCGTGTAGCTAGTCTGACCGGTGAGCTGGCAGGAGAGCGACGTGTCGACGCCTTGCACACAGCTTCGCAACAGATCGGGGTTCTCTGAATAATAGTTGTGTAAGTGATGGAAATGGATGGCTTACTGTTCACAAGATCTATGCTAGCCTTCCATGTGAACATGTAAGTGTTCGTGGTTGCTGCGGAGGTGTAGTAGGAGAAATCGTCGGTTTGAGCGGTAGAATACCAGGCGATCGATGAAGAAGAGGCCAAGAGTGAGGGAATGAACTGAAAAGTCGAATTTTCAAGTTCAATTCATGTTTTTTGCCGCGCCCACGATCTCCAGAGCTGACAATATGGGCGTTTCTCTGATTCTGATTTTTGTGGTCAACGGCGATGAAAAATGCATGTTCGACATGAAAACACACTAATTCTCAGAATTAATGACGTTTTGGCGCATTTTTCGCGGATTTCGCTTTTTCGTAATTTTGTTTTTTTTTCCTAAAAGCCGCACTTCTCATTTTGCGCTTTCTTGATCGTTTTCAGACAGAATTGATTTTGAGAATGATAAATCACGTAAATACAAACATTTTGAGCGCTCGAATCGCGAAAACTACCGAAAAGCGACTGAAATTCACGCAGTTTTAGCCAAAAACCTTCAAACGGATAAATGTGATTTGCGACGTGACCAAATTTAACGCTCTTGCGCTTAAAAAATTCGTAATAGCCTATACAATCGGTCTATCGAGAGAGAAATAAGAAATTATCGGTTTTCCGTGGTTAATCTGGCAAAAAAACACAAATTTTGCTGTTAAAATTTGAATTTCGCGCCAATGTATCGCTCTATTGGGCGGGGCGCACTTGCACCCATTTTCAGCTCTGGAGACCGTGGCGCCCCGTTCCCAATTTTTGATCGCAAAAGAACTCACCGTCTTTTCCAGAGAAATAACTCCATTCAGATCGATGATCGACTGGATCAAGAATCCGCCAGTTGTCATCGCCGCCTGAGCAATTCCATCGTTCATCGGAACCAAACTGCTCGACTCATCGAGTCCGTACACAAACAATTGTTGCTCGTAGGCCTGCGAAGCAGTCACGAACGCGTCGAGTGTGACGTTGAGTAGATTGGACACTTCCGAATAGTACACAATGACGCCTCGCGTGTTCCGGCCGACCCCTTCCACTGCTTTTTTGTAGACGGATGTCAAGTCAACGGCTCCCGGGGTGGCGTCGGCGTCGCAAGCGCGCATAGAGGTGGTAAACTCGAAAGAGTTCTGGAAGGCCTGGAGATCGGAACCAGCGTAGATCATGTCGACTGAAAAGAAATAGTTGAACGAGTCACGAATAGTTTCAAAAAATACCGTATCCATCTGCACAGTAGGTGATCAACTGATACTTCCAAACCGTCTTCAGGTCAACAGGCAATAATCCGGACAGTCCGAAGTAGGTCTGCGCGTCTTCGAGCACTAGCGTCAGCGAGTTGGACACCTCCAATCCGAGCACCACTGTGTAGGTATGATAACTATTATCGATTGCCAGATAATCAGTGCTCTTTGATGTGCAATTGACCTGTTCACACGACTTTCCGCTATACCCATCATCGCAAATGCATCCATAGAACGGAATCTCTTGATCCGGATCGTCAGACTCTCTGACGAGCTCCAAATGGCCGTGGTTCGAGCAGTCGGTCAGGTTGCCGGTGGGTCCTCGCTTGAACGGCACTGTTCCCGCGCACTGATAGTTGCCATTCGAGTCCTTCAACTGACAATTCGAGTTGACGCCTCCGGTGCCGGGTCGGCACTGGAAGCTCCGAGTGATCGAAAAGCCGGCGGACACGAACTGCGCGTCGTATTTACTGTCGGCACCGTCGACACAAGTCGCCGCGCCGGGCTTCGAGTCGCAGAAGAACGGGACGAACGGAAAGTGCGGGTAACTGCCTTCGTCGGTCCACACATTGTCGATTGGGACCGCCTGATCCGCATCGTACTTTGCGCTCACTTTACCATTGCAATCCGTAATCAGTAGGGTCGCCTGAAACGTTTAATAGAGCACATTTTTTGAACGCCTCACGGTCTCCAGAGCTGAAAATATTGGCGTGGCCTCGGTCAAATGTCGTTTTCATGAATTGAGCAGGTTTTCTCTGATTTTTGTGGTCAAAGGCGATGAAAAATGATTGTTCGACATGAAAACACACTAATTCTCAGAATTAATGACGTTTTGGCGCATTTTTCGCGGATTTCGCTTTTTCGCCTTCGCCGCCGTTCGCCGCACTTCTCATTTTGCGCTTTCTTGACCGTTTTCAGACAGAATTGGTTTTGAGAATGATAAATTACGTAAATACAAGCATTTTGAGCGCTCGAACCGCGAAAATTACCGAAAAGCAACTGAAATTCACGCAGTTTTAGTGAAAAACCTTTAAACGAATAAATGTGATTTGCGACTTGACCAAATTTAACGCTCTTGCGCTTAAAAAATTCGTAATAGCCTATACAATCGGTCTATCGAGAGAAAAATGAGAAATTATCGGTTTTTCGTGGCTAATCTGGCAAAAAAACACAAATGTTGCTGTTAAAATTTGAATTTCGCGCCAATGTATCGCTGTCAGCTCTGGAGACCGTGGCGCCTCCAACTGTTACACACTGTTTTGTCGGAATAGCAGTCATTGTAGAGCTTGACTCTCAACGCGGCTCCCACGTATTCATCAACTTTGGCGAGCTCATCAAAACCGTTCAGCTCATCGAATCCCACGTAGCCAACATGATGGTAGGCGTCGCTGGAATTGCAAAAAAGTTCAATAATGAGCGCACCTCCATGAAACCCACTTGACAGTCCACATTCGGATGAGAAGGTCGCTCTGATCGGGCCCTGGCACGTATTTGAGAAACAGCTCGCGATTGTAGCCGGCCTCCAGCTCGATTGTAGTTGTGTAGAAGTTCGCGTTATCCTGAAACGGTTCTACAATATCATCCAGTCATCAGAAAAGCCTTCAGAGGAGGACTCACATAGGAAGTAGCTACATTTCTATCCAAAAAGTCGATGGAAATGGTCTTTGTCGCGTTGCCATTGGGTAGGAAGCCCAATAAAAGTGTCGATGGAGGTTGAGGTACGTTCACTGAAATTTCGTAATCAACATCTTCAACTTTCAGACCATCCCCCTACCATCCACAGCCGAGAACGATGCTGTAATAGTGAGCGTAACCTTTCCGGTCGGCGAGCTCGGCACCCGCAGCACTCCGAGATCCGTGCCGGGCCGATTGACTCCGATGTTCCGAGTGAAGATCAGATTCTGGATGTAGGCGGTGTTCATGAGCGTGGCACTGACTCTGTTGAAGTCGGAATTGCCATCTCGTCCGACGACTTCGCTGACCGCCACGTAATGTCCGTTTGTCTGAGCGGCGATTCTGTTGAGCACGGCGCCGCTTCTGCCGATCATCGATTCGTCGATCAACGAGGCGTGGCTGATGATCGCGAACACCTTGACATTGTTGTTGGTCAACTGATCGTACTGCTCGTCGGTCAAATCGTCCCCGACCTTCGGCAGACGATTCACCAGCAGCACTATCATTGATCCTTCAAGTCTACGAGTCGTGGGGCTAGCCGCCAAGAAGTCGCGGAGCACATTGAGAGCATCCGAAGCGACATTGTCGGCAGCCTTCAGTGTGGCGTTGGGCGGCATCGCTAGGCAAGAAGTGGAAAAATCTCTGAAAGACTGTTTGGTTTTTAAGTTCGAAAAGAGGCAAACTTACAGAGCCGATTCAGTGTACACAATACTCACGCCGGCCGCCGTATCGGTTAGCACATTTCCGAGCTTCGTGTAATTGTTCTGATTGCTCGAGATGGCTTGGATGATTGTGTTGCGCACAAGAGCGTTAGTGTCCTGATTGAGTTCGGTCGAGTAGGCGAACACGAACGTGGCGGCGTTCTCGCCGACGTCACAGTACTCTGGCTCTTCGGTTGTCGTGCCGAAGCTCGTGGAGCTTGACAGAGAGCTGGTTGGGGCAGCAGTTGAGGAATCGGTGGAACTGATGAAACTGGTGGAACCGGTGGAACCAGTGGTTGACGATTGTGTGGTTGCGGTCGGAATTGCCACGCAGGCAACTCGCACGGATCTCTGGATGATGGTCGAATCGACAGAGATATTGAGGAACAAGGAGTAGGTTTGAGTGGCGTCACAGGTGACCGGCTTCTGGAAAGAAGATTACTTTAGGATTAACTAAAAAATGGGAGTCGTACACTTGGAATCCACTCGAAAGCAGCAGGAACTCGCTGAGAAAGCGTCGGGCTCCAGGAAGAGTCAAAAGAACTCGAAATCGAGTTGACAATGACTTGGGAGCCGCTACTAGAAGTGGCAGCTTCCACGTGGAAAGCGGGATAGAAGGGGACCGATTCGATGATGGCGTAACGGGAAGAGTCGATGGACTGATCTTCGACATAAGTGGTGTAAATGGCCAGATCCAGAGGACCGCTCGGGGCGGCGTTGGTGAAAACGATGGCGGTGCAAGAGCCGGAGGAGGTGGTGATGTTGAGCGAGGAGCACGTCGGATCGGGACTCTGGAACACGGCCAACTGGTTGTCGAACGAGCGGACCGGCTGGCGGAGAAAGCACGAGACGAACGAGGACTGCGACGGGTTCGCGTTGTCTGAATTGCATCGATTGCGGGTGTACGGACGGACGATCGCTTACCTCCCAGAAAGAAAAAGTTGTACGGTCCCTGAACGTTCGGATCAATGACCACTGGCACTGAGTTTCCGGCTCCCGAGCAATCCGGAAACGATTGAATTGACACGTATTGCGGCTTGTAGTGCGTTTGAAGCACTTGAGTGATCAGCTGAAATGAGTTGTCATGCCTACAGTAACCCAGAATCCCGGATTACCGTCTGAGTGTCCACATCGCCATCTTTTGCTCGCAACTGCACGAACAGTCCTCCGGTGATATCCACGAAACTCTTGAACGCGGTCACTTCGTCCGGATCGCAACGCATAAAAGTCTTGTCGCTGATCCAGAGCACATTGACGCGAACTCCGAACGCCAACGCCGTCTCGCGAGCGTCTGCGAAGCCGTCGGAGCTCGGAGGATGTTGGGTGACGATCGAGATGACCGTGTTTCGCAACGACGCCGACCGGATCAGACTGACGATCTGCTCGTAGATGGGCACTTGGTAACACCAGTACAGTCCCGTGTCAACTGCGGCAGACACGCCAAACTCCTTGCTCGTAACGACATCGGCGAATTGAACTGTAACCACATACAGGTCTACAGAGATTCTGAGAAATAGTGTCTTACTATCCAGAACGGGTTGTTCTGTAAAGTCCAAATAAGGCGAACTGTTGGTTTGCAGCAGGTTATAGTTGTCATATCCGTTTGGAAAAGCCGAAAAATGATTAGCCAAGCCCTGAATTGACAATTTGAAGTTAACAGGCTTAATATCAAGCGTTATAGGTACCTGGACAATATTGGAATAAGTTTTGACGCCCCAGAATTGGGTGAACAAGTTGACGTTGATAATATTGAACGAAGTCCGGCTGGCTTTGAAGTGATTGTCCGGCGGTTGAGACTGTTTCACTGTAATCAATAATCGATATATATATTAGCTTGCTAGTCTATTTTTCAATACCGGCTTCGCAGTGAATGCCCAAATATCCGGGCGGACAGGTACAATAATTCTGTCCCGGAGAACGATATCCTCCGTTCAAGCACTCAATTTCCGAGCAATCGGCTCCATCGAAAAACGACGGACAAGCCGAATTTTGAGACAAACCACCTGTGAAAAGGGCCAAAAAAAGCGCGAGGAGAAGGCGTAGTTTCATCTTGAACTACTGAAATTTTGGGAATATTTTGAAAAAAAAAACAGTATAAAAGGGAGAAAAATGGGGGCTCGAGAAGGGTGTGTCTGCACTGAAATTGATAAGAGAAAAGACAATTTTCGATTGTGTCGTTTATCAGTGAGCAAAAATGTGTGAGGTGGCAAAACTTTATTTGTGCAAAAGTAAATGTTTATCAGAACACACACACACATTTGTGATTTACATTTCCACTTTTCTCACTTTTCCGCATTCATCCCAGTACGGAAACAGTCGGCACGGATCGATTCGCTTCAAAAATCGCTTCCGCCTTTCATCGACTTTTTGCGGACATTCGAAGCACGGTAAATCGTCAGTTTTCAAAACTTTTATGTGCGCTGATTGTGCAAAACGCTGGAAAAAGGTCACAAATGATTCTCAAAAACACATGTTTATGCTTGCCTCTTCGAAAATTGCGGTTGCCATCAGAAAAAAGAGTAAAAAAGCTTGTGTAGACATCATTTTCAAACGAAATGAGCTGAGAAAGTGTCGAAATGTCGAAATAATGAAGAAATGTGGGAGAAGAGAAACATATTTATACCCAGTCAGTAATTGAAAAATGCAATGCCAAAAATTTTGGAGCTAATTAGAAAACAAGAGAACATTGAACTAATTAATAGTCTGTCGGAGCCATCCGAGTTAATCCTAATCGAGTTTTGCATTTATTCCGCTGATCTTTGATCGTTCTGACATAATTCGTTCAATTTAAAGTTCTTTCTCTTGCTGTGATGGGAAAGTATGTCATGGCACGCGTGCCAAGAGGTTTCGAAAAAGAGTGTTGAAGGATTTTCGACACAAAGACACAAAAAAGCATTGGAAAAACAGCTATTTTAAACTTTCCAGCAGGGAATTATTTTCCATGGCAGGCTCGTCTTGATAAATTTTTTTCAAATTTGAACTTTAAATTGCTGCGGATTTTGAGAAAATTGTCGTCGAGTTTGGTGCAAACGCTCTGCGTACTTTTTGCAAACCGTAACGAAAAATTAAATTTCAAATCAGACATTTCAAATTCTGAGCCTTGTTCTCTGTTGAAATCGCTCAAAACTACGTATTTTTCAAGGTCAAGAGCCGGCAGACACGAAATGAGCAGTCGGACAGGTACAAAACTAAAATTAACGACAAAATTCGATTTTCTCAAAATTTTCAGGCGACGATGGTCCGCCGACTCTTGCCGCCGACATCTCTCGGTTTTGGGTGGCTTTTCAATCGCGAGGACAGAAGGATCAACTGAAAAAGCGGATTGTGGAGATGCCGTTCGTCGATACGCAGTTTCCGTCGACGACCTACTCGGCCGCCACCAGAAATCACCTGAAAATCCGCGAATTCATGCCGAAAGACAAGCAAACATACGGCGTATTTGTGGAGAGCGAGGAGAGAAAGTGCGTAATTTGTCATCAAGAGGAAAATGAGCAGGACGACGAGCTCATCGAGTGTCAGGGAACGATTAATGGAGCCAGTAGACGAGTATGCTGCAAGAGCAAGTTCCATCAGACTTGCATTATGGTGAGTTGGCCAACTAGAACTGGAAAAGGGGAAACATTGCATTTCAAGAAGAAAAATTGCACTAGAATCATTGAAAGTCCATGTTTGTTTGCAGAAATACAACCACGGCTCATTCCTCTTCCAGTACGCCGCCTTCCCCGAGTGCCAGAACCGTCTGCTGTGCCCGCTTCACTGCTGCGCCGCCTGCAACGTCAATCACCGAAAACAGTCGGCCTACGTCGGCGAGCTCACCGAATGCGCCGTCTGTCTCCGTTCTTTCCACTCGGATACGTGTGTTCCCACCGGCGCCAAACTCATTGCCGTCGAGTTTCCGATGCGCGCCGGCCGATCCGTCAACATTCAGATGATGGTTTGTCCGGCGCACGCGTCGCTGAAGAAAACGGGCAGTCATATTGCGGCGTGTCAGAGTTGCGAAGACCCGACGGACCTTGTGAAGTGTCGCACTTGCGTCAGATCGTTTCATTTGAAATGCCGCGAAACGCAGTACATCGACGAGAAGGATTTGGATCCGAGCGTTTGCGATTTCTGCCTCTGCGACGACGTCATCCGGCTGAACGTTCCCGTGCTCGTCAGAAGGAGAAATGGTGCCTTCTATCTGGCGATTACTCGTCCGTGGGACTCTTATCCGAAGCACCAGCAGAAATCGGCGTCCAAGTTCACAACGTTGGGCTATACGGTCGTCGAATGGCCGGTGGAGAACGCAAAGTCGATCGTTTCGCTCGCCGACATTTCTGCGTTGACTCAGAGCTATTTGAGAACGGCCGCCCACAATGTGAGGCAGACGTGGCAGAAGACGTTGGACGATTTCGACGAGTTCGAGGATTTCCCCTCGCTTTATAAAGAAGTCTGCAAAAATGGACAGGTTAGAAAAGACTTTTCACCCACTTGCAATCATTGATTATCGGTCTTGGTGTGGAGTGTCTACCTTAAAAATTGCAGCTCGATCGGTTCATCCGATCTTGAGATATATTGATTTGAAGCGGAAAATCCCTAGTTTTTGCAGAAAATGAGAGCTTTTCGCGCTCAAAGCAATATATATATATATATAGAAGATCCGATCGAGCGCAAACTTTCAAGCAAGACACTCCAAGCCAAGACGAATAATCGTGCAAAGTTAGCGCCCGATAGGATAATAGAAATTTGATTTTAGAAATCTCGGTATGTGTGCGCAAAGCCACAACGGATCGATCGCTTCTACGAGGTCGGCATCTGCAGCTGCGAGGGTCCGGATCGGTGCACGACCATCGACTGCCCCTACTTCATGTGCGACCACGAATGCCCGCCGGTGTGCGCGCAGAACGGACGGATCTGCAACAACCGGAACGTCTCGGACCGAAAAGTGCATCCGTTTATGGAACGAAGAAAAGCGGGCGCGAAAGGATTCGGGGTGTTCGCGACGGGACCCATCAAAAAAGGCGAATTCCTGTCCGAGTACGTCGGCGAGATTATCGACAAGCGGGAAAAAGAGCGGAGAATGAACGTGCTAAGCGCTTCGATGGACTTTGAGGCGAGCCTCTACATGATGGACTTGCGCAACGGGCTGACGGTCGACGCGGCGAGGTACGGAAACATCTCGCGATATATGAATCATTCGTGCGATCCGAACGCCGGCTCGTTCAGCACCAAAGTGTTCGTGAAGACGGATCGGGAACAGAGTGTGTACGAGTGCCGCACTTTTGTGAAGGCAATTCGAGATATCGCGCGCTGCGAGGAGATCACTATCAACTACGGAATGCGGCACGCGTCGGTTCACACGTGTTTGTGTGGCGCCAAGAATTGCAGCGGAAAATTTGAACGCGGGAAGAAGGACGAATCGGATCAAAGCGAGGACGAAGAGGAGAAGAAGGAGCAGACACCGAGAAAGAAAATATCTCCGAGAAAACGAAAGGCTTCGACGACTTTGCCGACCTTCGACCTCCAAAGAGCCGTCAAAACTAAGATCATCGACGATGAGTACGAAAAGGCGAGCATCTCCAAGCCGGCGAAACGAGGCAGACGCTCGTTGCAAGAGGGGAAAACGGACGAGAAATCGCCGATTTCGAAGAGACGACGTTCGGCCGTCGCGGTGAGCCAAAAATGAAGTGAATCGTTAATTTATCTTTATTTTTTCCTTGCAGGACCCTCCCGTTGGTTCCAGCAGACGATCAAGAGCTCTGTCGGAAGCAGTCGCCACTCCTCGTTCCCGTGCTCAATCCAGAGCCAGATCGTCGTCTAGAGCTCTGTCCAGAGCAGAGCCGCCTGCGCCAACACTGTGTCGATCGCTCCGAACGTGGACACCGCTCAAGGCGACTTCGCCTGTTCGCGTTTCGAGAAAAAGGTCAGAGGCATTGATTCCAACGACTCGCTAACTATAAATTATAGAACTTACTAGATTTCTTACAGTTTCCCATAATGTTTTATTCTATAGTTTCCCATAGTTTTATCGCCACAGAGATGGTCAAAGGACTTCGACTCACTTGCTATGATCTCCAAATGTTTCACCTTATGTAATCGACCAGGCTGAATCGAATGAACAACTCCGTTTTCCATGAAAACGCAGTTTTCTCAAAAAAAGGCGGAAACGAAAATGTGGCCGGAGTTTATGCAACAGGCGGCTTCTTAGAAGTGATTCTGACAGTTTAAGGGATGGGGAATCCGTTTTTGAAATAAAAATTGAACTTTTACGGGGCCAATAATGTTTTTTCAAGGATTTTATCGTAGGAACTAGTAGATTATGTGAGTTTCTCCTCTTCAGATCGGCGACACCATCTGGGCTCGCGGAGTTAAGGCCGGATTGTCGCTCAACGGAACGAGCCGGACGAGGGATCGGAGTTTCGGATCCACTTGCCAATCGAACGGAGCGCGCAGGTTGATTCTCTCGGAAAACGCGATTGAAATGACCATGTTGGAGATTCGTTTGTAGTCGGGACGCTCTTGTTTCCTGGAAAACGGATACTGTAGATACTGTACCGTAACCTCCAGGCAAGTTACGAAGTCTTGATGATCGCATCGAACACCTCCATCCAACCTTCGGGGACTCCCTCGAACAGCCGGATCTTGCCGCCCGCCTTCCGGCAATACATCTTCCATTCTCTGACTTTCGCCAATGAGAGGGAGCGCGTGGGCGTGTGCCACGGTAGTCCGCCCTTCAGAAGATGCACGATCATGTAGAGCCATCCCTCGAGGTCGTCCGACGGCGACTGATCACAGAATCCGAGCGAAGTCAGCGGGGCGTAGGGAAACGTGCCGACGGACGGTCCCCACGGACGGAGCAGATGGCGCCGCCCGTCCTTCTCGAGAAACCGGCGCGTGAGCCCAAAGTCCAGCATGTAGACGATGTTGCTCTCGTCGCCGAGCCCGACGGCAAAGTTCTGCGCCTTCACGTCCCGATTCAACCATCCGGCGTCGTGGAGAACACGCAAACGGTCGAGCGTTTGCAGCGCGATTTTGTAGATGGTCGAGTCGGAGAATCGGTTGTTCGGCGCCAACTCGAGAAGAGTGGAGAGGTCGGGACCGACGAGCTGCATTATGATGTACTTGAAGTTTTCGGTGCGGCCAGAGTCGGCGAGCGACGGAAAACCGGTTTGCGAGCCGAGGGCGGTCAGCACTGCGTGGTCCAGCTGCAAAAATGCAATATATCTCAGCTAGCGGGTAGAGATATCGAAAAATTGTCAACTGATTTATTGTTTATCAACAAATTGTGCCCATTTTTTCAATTGACAACTTTTTGATACCTCTACTAACAGCCGAGATACAGCGTTTTGAATCAACGGTACTTGCAACCAAACCCCTAGTCTCTTTTATTCATTCGATGCAATGTATCTCATCTGTGGATAGAGATATCAAAAATCTGTCAACTAATAAAATGTGCACAATTTATTCATGAACAATTCATCAATTGACAACTGTTCAATATTTCCACCGGCAGCTCACTTACCTTGAGCACAGGCCTCAAGCATCCGTTCTGTGCCTCCACTTTCATCGCATACGGCACTCCGTCCTCCTCCACCAGAAACACCGACGAGAACGGACCGGTGGCGATGGCATCGCGTAGTTTGTACTCGTGACCGCCGATTTTCAGCCGTTTGCCAATCTGAAATTCCGCGTGAAAACTCGACAATATTCAGTGCCGTTTTCCCGACCAACGGCACGAGCACATCGTTGGTTTCTTTGTTGGCGCGTGCGGGCGAGATCGTCATGATTCGGAGACTAATTTGCTATCGAGTTAGGTAAATTTGCAATAAAAATCGCTCACTCGAAACTTTACGGTAGTACAAAAGGTCACGTCGATCGTGTTTGCGTATTTTGCACCCGACCTGACGACACTTTTTCGCACACCACCTTCCATTTAATTTCCATTTCGAGTTTCCCTGAAATGGCGCCCGTTTACGCACTAATCTTCTCGGCCGTATTCCTTATTTCCGTCGGCGTAAGCTCTCTAACACGATTACTGTAGGCCACCGTACTCCCATCCTTTCAGACGTTTTTATTGAGCTACAGTGGCTCCAGCTATCGTGTTGCCGAGTAGGTTTAAGCGGATGTTCGCCGAAAATGATACGGATTTCAGTGAATTCTACAACGCTCTCAAAAAGATCGATTGCAACGAGCAAGGAATTAATTGTCCTCAATATGACAAAAAATGAATGATTCTTTATGGGTTTTGAGTATTTTTTGCGACAATTTCCGACTTCCGACTTCCGAAATCGATATGGGAAAAGTATTGGTTGAGTTTAGAAGAATAGCGCATTCTCGAAAAGCCACGCGATTATTGTTCGTCGGAAACGCGCGACAATATTCTTCGTCTCGACGATGTCACGATTCGCCGAGTTCTCTGAAACTTTTTTCATCGAAAAAATGTCTGCTTGCGGAATGCGGAAGTCGGAATTCGCGGGCACACTTACTGATGAGCAAAATCTCAATCACTTGAAGTCGTGTCAAAATATTGTAGAAACTTTTTGTACGCAAACCGAATCGCAGAACGTTGATTTGTTGTCTGCAAAAAAAAATAAGTTTTTCCATCTGAAAAGGGTCAAAACTTGTGTGCCTACCTGTGTTCAAAACCCGCAAAAACTCGTGTTTTCGCTCGACCATCACATTCCGGATCGCTTCTACAATTTCCGTTTTCAGCGCGACCACATGCTTATCCTTTCCAGGAAATCCTTCCGAGCCTTTTTCAGGGCTCTCTCAGACCTTACCAGAGGATTTCCTGAAAAGGATAATCTTCGGAGACCGTCTGGTATGGTCTTAAGTACGTGGAAATAGGCAAGTTATATGGTACATAAAGTCAATCAATCATAGCTTTTCTAGCCAAGATCTTAGGATTGGCCGTCTTTTTTGTGAATCATGGGAATCATCGTCAATAGTAACAGACTGTTACTAACAGTGAAAACAAGCGATAATAAAATTACAAAAAGCCTTCATTTTCGTTACAGAGTTTTGCTGTGAGTCTGCGAGTTGCCGCGTCTGCTCCGTTCGGTTCGACTGCTCAATAGCGAGCTGCGCGACGACGAATCCGTCTCGTCGTCAAACTGGTATCCCATCGGTCTGTCGTCCCACGGCTCACGATCCGGCAGGATTTTCTGGAAAATGTCCAAGTTTGCATAGTCAGTACCCTCTCATTACGCAAACCTGCTTCACTTTCTGCTCTAATCCCATGCGCGCATAGATGCGTCCAAACGACTTGAGTTGCCTTTGCTTCATAAACAGTCCGCGCAAGTCGTGGCCCCGTTTTTTGAATTCACAATAGGCAAACATCGCAAAAATTGGGACCATGGCGATGGGAAGCATGCATACAATCCAACCGACAACGTCAAACGCCAGGGGGTACTTGCGCGAGTCGGCCATGTACGGATAGTCTCTGATGCTGGCCAGGGCGATGAGAATAGAGCCGAGGCCCGGAGTGATGAGCATCCAGTTCCAGCCAAAGTACGGCGAGTGGCAGCCAAACCATCGACTGCACTTGTTCTTCGACTCTCCAAACATCTCCTTCATATCCGTCAACATGTTCTTGCGGCCTGCACGTCAAACCGTACGACACTTTGCACATTTTCGCGCCTACCGTATACGTAGGCGACGAGCAAAACTTCAGCCGTGACGGCGACGCACGAGGAGACTCCGGCGGCGTACTCGTCGAACATGATGAACCAGTAGAAGCCGCCATCGGTGACCATCACCAGTCCAACGACATAAAGCACCAGGGACCAGGCGACCACCACCAGCCACTTGCGCTTTCGTAGGCCAACAAACTGGTCACAGATCGCCGAGCAGAAGACGTTCACGTAGGCGACTTCGGTGGAGATTCCGAGGAAGAAAAGCATGAGGAAGAAGAGGAACGACCACAATTCGGGCAGCGGCATACGGCCGAGCGCCTCCGGGAAGGCGACGAACGCGAGCGAGAAGCCATCGTTGACAACGTCGGACACTTCGCATCCCTTCTGTTTGGCGAGGAATCCGAGTGTGGAGAAGACGGCGGCGCCTCCGACGAGTGACATGGCCGTGTCGCCGATGATCACGATCAGGGCGTCCTAAAACAATTTGAAGTTTCTAGCATGTCTAAGCGCCTACCCGGTAGCAATTGTTATCCGGTTTGCTAAACGAGGCCAAGCCGATGAGTCCACCGTATCCGATTCCGAGACTAAAGCACAGTTGCTTCAGCGCCTCTCCCCACGTGGCCGGCGCGAACACTTTCGACCAATCCGGATTGCCCAGGTAATAGTACAATCCCTCTTCGGCGCCGTCCAACGTGATTCCGCGGAAGAAGAGCAAGACGATGATGACGTAGGGCAGCGTGACGATGACGTACGACGCTTTTCCCATGTAGTCGACGCCCTTCCACAGAATCAGAATGACGATGAGCCAACAGACGTTCATGCCGGCGAACGACTTCGAGTTCATCGAGTTGAAGTCGAGAAAACCGGAGGAGGGCGTGACGACGTACTCGCTGCAAAAGGGTTACGGTTGTCCGCTGGTGGTTACTGTCGACTAACAAGAAGTATTGCTCGGTTGCTGTGACGGTTTTGTTGGCTAGCAGATCGAGTTTGTCGTAGCACGTACCTTGGAAGAAGACGAACGAAGCGCCGCGGCCTGAAAGCACAAATTCTGGCCCGAAAACGTCTTGATCACCAACCGGAAAGGCTCAAATTCGCCCAGACCGGCGGCACATATGTGCTTGCGTTGAAGTTGCTGCAATTGCTCTGCAACACCAGATCGAGACACGTCGAGTTGTCGTTCCACGCGTTGCCACACTTGCTCCAGCTGTCCGTGTGCCCCATCACAATCGACGCCATGTACACCGTACTCCAGCCGATGATGATGATGTAGTAGATGGCGACGAGTGAGGAAACCGTCACCGCCATCCATCCGACGCCTTGAAAGATCGGGCCAAAGCGTCGGAAGATGATCGGCGCGGTGGTGCGGTGATATTGTCCGAGCACGAATTCGAGGTAGACGGCGGGAAGACCGAAGAGCAACGCGCAGGAGATGTAGGGCACGAGGAAGGCGGCTGGAAGAGGAAGAGGATTAGTTCGGCCACAATAACAACCACTCACATCCTCCGTTATTGTAGGCTCTCGTCGGGAACCGCCAAATATTGCCCAGTCCGACGGCCATTCCAAGTGTCGACAGCAAAAACTCGACCTGGTTGCCCCACGTCCCCCGGCACGGATCGATCTCGGTGGCCTCGATCTCGGGCGACCCGATTTCCTTCTTCTCCTCGATGACCGTCGCGATGCGTTGACTTTCCGATCTTCCGGGAGACCATCCGTGTCGCTGCGTCGGCGATGAGTCGCTTTCACTGACGTTCATCGCTTTGAATACTTTGCAATATAATCACAAAGGTGCACACGAGTAGCAATGCCAACCGGGGTGGAGACTCGCGGTGGAAGATTTAAAGTGTTGGCAAAAGAGCGGACAGGGAGGCGGCCACGCTGAAAAAGAAGAAAAAGAGAAAAGGAACACACATTTTGTTTTGTATTCTTTTGCCAGAATGAAAACGCAGTATCTCTGATATTATAGGGCACCGAACAGAAAGGGCGCGCTGTTCGCAATCTGGCCGAATTTCTAGGCCGCGAAGTAATTTTCCACTGAAAACGTGGCTTAACTTTTCAAACTCGCTCGTTCAATTTGCACTGAAAAAAGAATTTCTCAACAGAGCGCCATTTCTATGCGGTGCCCCTATAATAAAATCATGTTTTATTACAGGTCTCACGGTCTCCAGAGCTGACAATGAGCGCAAGTGCGCCCCGCGCAATAGAGCGGTACATTGGCGCGAAATTTAAATTTTAACAGCAAATTTGTGTTTTTAGCCAGATTAGCCACGGAAAACCGATAATTTCTCATTTTTCTCTCGATACACCGATTGTATAGGCTATTACGAATGTTTTAAGCGCAAGAGCGTTAAATTTGGTCAAGTTTGAAGGTTTTTCGCTAAAACTGCGTGAATTTCAGTTGCTTTTCGGTAGTTTTCGCGGTTCGAGCGCTCAAAATGCTTGTATTTACGTGATTTATCATTCTCAAAACCAATTCTGTCGGAAAACGGTCAAAAAAGCGCAAAATGAGAAGTGCGGTTTTTAGGCGGCGAACGGCGGCGAAGGCGAAAAAGCGAAATCCGCGAAATCCGCGAAAAATGCGCCAAAACGTCCATAATTCTGCGTGAATTAGTGTGTTTTCATGTCGAACAATCATTTTTCATCGCCGTTGACCACAAAAATCAGAGAAAACGTGGTCAATTCATGAAAACGCCACGCCCATATTGTCAGCTCTGGAGACCGTGGGTCTTGTTCACAAGAAACTCGAGGCAGTGGAAATCAACGTTGTTGGCTTGGAATCGTACGGTAAGTGTCCCTCCTGTCCCGTCTTGCCTCTCCCTAAACAGTTCCAATCCCCGAATGAAACACAACTGTCTCCTAATGAAACTTCCTTCCTTCACTGATAACGGCAAAGAAAGCGATGCTCGGGTCCAGTTGATAACTTCTTTTGGGCACACCCATCTTCAGAATGACTTCATCTTAGTTGTCGATTTAATATTCTACCTTTTCATTGATTTATCACAAAACTCATTGCAGACATGAGAATTGCCGTTCTTCTCGCGCTCATTCTCCTCTCAGAAGGCGTCACGTCGATGATGTGTCCATCGTTTTTCAATGGAACCGCTGACAAATGTGATGAGATTCAGTGTTTGAACGGCGGTTTCGTGAATTCCGACAAGACCGTGTGCATTTGTCCGCCCGGATACCTGGGGATTCACTGTGAAGCGGGTAGCTAGCTAGCGAGCGCATATTGGTTTTGGTATCAAATTTGCAAAGTTTACAGTCAAAACGTCGTTGCCGCCGGAGAATCAGTTCCGAACCAGTGAGAACTCGTTCAATATTATCAACATCAACTTGCTCACCCAATTCTGGGGCTTCAAAACGTACTCAAATATTCGGGCGGTATGATGTTGTGACGAAATTCGAGTGACCAAACATTAATTCAGGCACTGTCTAATCACTTCACCGCCTTTGCAAACGGGTATGTCAAGTATAACCTGCTGGAGACAAACTCAAACAGCGTGCCTTATCTGGACGGTTTTGACCTGCCACAGTACGATAGTGGGTTATAGTAATCTTTTGAAAAGTGGTAGGCTCAAATGAACGTGCTTTCAGTTCAATTTGCCGATGTCGTGAACACTGTGAACTTTTCCCTTTCCGAGCCAACTGACACGGGACTGTACTGGTGTTACCAAGTGCCCATCTACGAGCAGATCGTCAGTCTGATCCGGTCGGAGTCGTTGCGAAACACGGTCATCTCGATCGTCACCCAACATCCTCCGAGCTTCGATGGCTTCGCAGACGCTCGCGAGACGGCGTTGGCGTTCGGAGTTCGCGTCAATGTGCTCTGGATCAGCGACAAGACTTTTATGCGTTGCGAGCCGGACGAAGTGACCGCGTTCAAGAGTTTTGTGGATATCACCGGAGGACTGTTCGTGCAGTTGCGAGCAAAAGATGGCGATGTGGACACTCAGACGGTAATCCGGGATTCTGGGTTACTGTAGGCATGACAACTCATTTCAGCTGATCACTCAAGTGCTTCAAACGCACTACAAGCCGCAATACGTGTCAATTCAATCGTTTCCGGATTGCTCGGGAGCCGGAAACTCAGTGCCAGTGGTCATTGATCCGAACGTTCAGGGACCGTACAACTTTTTCTTTCTGGGAGGTAAGCGATCGTCCGTCCGTACACCCGCAATCGATGCAATTCAGACAACGCGAACCCGTCGCAGTCCTCGTTCGTCTCGTGCTTTCTCCGCCAGCCGGTCCGCTCGTTCGACAACCAGTTGGCCGTGTTCCAGAGTCCCGATCCGACGTGCTCCTCGCTCACCATCACCACCTCCTCCGGCTCTTGCACCGCCATCGTTTTCACCAACGCCGCCCCGAGCGGTCCTCTGGATCTGGCCATTTACACCACTTATGTCGAAGATCAGTCCATCGACTCTTCCCGTTACGCCATCATCGAATCGGTCCCCTTCTATCCCGCTTTCCACGTGGAAGCTGCCACTTCTAGTAGCGGCTCCCAACTCATTGTCAACTCGATTTTCGGATCTGATTTGAGTGCGGGACTCACGCAGAGAAGCCCTGCTGCGTACGAATGGATTACCAATGTAAAATACTGACTGACCTATGGAGTCCAATGAGGACTATTTCAGAAACCGTTCATCTGTAACGCTGGCGAAACACAATCCTTGTTTCTCAATATTTCCGTGGATTCTAGTGTTGTGCAGAGAGCAGTGAGGGTTGCCTGTGTGTCACTCCCTCCAGTTACCACTGTTCCCGTGGATACTACAACATCCGAGGCAGCCAGCACTTCTTCACGTCCGCTTTCCACATCTACAGTTGGAGTTGAAAGTTCAACTTCAAGTTCCGCAAGCTCTTCAAGCGTCAGCACTGATGTTTCTGGAACTTCTGTCACATCTACAACAGATTCTTCAAGCTCCTCAACAGTCCCCGATACTTCTTGCCATCAGCCGGCCATCAAGTACACTTTCCTCTTCGCCTACTCCACCGAACTCGACGCCAGTACCTATGGACTTGTGTCGGCTACCGTAATCCAAGCGCTCAAAAACTATCCGTACAATGGAACGATCTTAAGAGATGCGTACTTGGACTCGACTAACGCGACCATTCAAAAACCATCGGATATTGTGTGAGGAAAGGGTAATGGCCGCCAAACCGAACATCTGATTTCCAGTGTCTTCTCGTCGGACCTTCAAGCCAAACTACCGTCGGCTGAAAATGCGCTCGGAGAGAATTCGGGTTCTAACGCCGTCTCAATCGTCGAATCCCTCATTGCGACCACCGATTCACTTGAGAACTCGGTGATCCTTCTGCTTCCGAATCGTCTTCCAACTGCGACATCTTCCGATTTGAGCGTTACAACCTACACGGACTTTGTCAACAAAAATGTGAAAGTGTTCACGGTGATCAGTCTCGCGTCTCTGATCGGACAATATTCCGGAAGAACCGGCGCGTATTTCAATAAACAGGCGGCAAGTACGAACGGCCATTACATCGTGGCAAATGAGACGATCGGAAGGGATGTGAACTCGGATTACAATAAGGTGATTTTTTACCCATAGCAATTCTGTGAAATGTTTTCAGATTGTGTCCCAAGTCATGCAGTTCGGCTACGGTCAGGATTTGCTGTTCAGTCGGAACATTGGAAGAGATCGTCTTCAAAACGACATTGGAACCGTTCGAATTCCACACTCGGATTCCGGATTTGTTAACGTCACTATTACAGTATCTTTGTCGGTTGTTGACAGTAAGTTAGTGATGTAATGCCGCGTCCAAAGTCTCGGAAACGCCGCAAATCTCGCGGATTTTGCAGTCCAAAGTCGGCAGAAGTTTGCGGGAAATCCGGGGTGCGCACAGCTGAACGAGTGTTACCGTACACCATTAAACTACGGTATTTTATGAAAATTTACCCAAGAATATTCTCGAGAAATTCAAATTTTTTTCAAAAAAATACCGTTGAAAAATTTACCCAGGAAATTTAAAAAAATTTCAAATATTCTCGAGAAATTTAAATTTTTTTTCAAAAAAATACCGTTGAAAAAAATCACCCAAGAAATTTGAAAAAAATTTCAAATATTCTCGAGAAATTTAAATTTTTTTCAAAAAAATACCGTTGAAAAATTTACCAAAGAAATTTGAAAAAAATTTCAAATATTCTCGAGAAATTTAAATTTTTTTCAAAAAAATACCGTTGAAAAATTCACCCAAGAAATTTGAAAAAAATTTCAAATAATTCTTGAGAAATTTAAATTTTTTTAAAAAAATACCGTTGAAAAATTCACCCAAGAAATTTGAAAAATTTTTCAAATATTCTCGAGAAAGTTTTAATTTTTTTTCAAAAAAATACCGTTGAAAAATTCACCCAAGAAATTTGAAAAAAATTTCAAATAATTCTTGAGAAATTTAAATTTTTTTAAAAAAATACCGTTGAAAAATTCACCCAAGAAATTTGAAAAAAATTTCAAATATTCTCGAGAAAGTTAAATTTTTTTCAAAAAAATACCGTTGAAAAATTTACCCAAGAAATTTGAAAAAAATTTCAAATATTCTCGAGAAATTTAAATTTTTTTTCAAAAAAATACCGTTGAAAAATTCACCCAAGAAATTTGAAAAGTCTCCAATATTCTCGAGAAATTTAAATTTTTTTAAAAAATACCGTTGAAAATTTACCCAAGAAATTTGAACAATTTCAAATATTCTCGAGAAATTTCAATTTTTTTCCAAAAAAATTCCGTTGAAAAATTCACCCTAAGAAATTTGAAAAAAATTTCAAATATTCTCGAGAAATTTAAATTTTTTTCAAAAAAATACCGTAGCTTTATGGTGTACGGTAACACTCGCTCAGCTGTGCGCACCCCGGATTTCCCGCAAATTTCTGCCGACTTTGGACTGCAAAATCCGCGAGATTTGCGACGTTTCCGAGACTTTGGACGCGGCATAAGAAACTTGAAACTAGCGTAACCATTTTCAGCCAACGCGCCAAGCCCTCCGAACCGTCTTCTTTTGGCTTTCAAGCCTCCAGTCGGCTTCGACACTCCAGCAATTCCTATCAACTTTCTGACTGACTCAACTGTCACCCGATATGTCTGTGTCAAGCATCTTCTGTAACTTTTAACGTTTCGTTCAGGACTCCTCGAACTTCTACATCACGACAATATCGATTCCGGCCGGAAATGATCATGATTTAGTTCTTCAATACGTTCCGAACAACGACGAGAACGACTTGTTGATCCGAATGTGGACCGATAGAAACACGTACCATACCGCTGACTACGCGGATCTTTCAATGAAGCCTATCGATCCCAATGACAAGGAAGGCGCCGCTTTGAGAATTACTGTGAAGAACAGTTGCTACGAATCCTCGGACAGTCCGGCCCGCATTCTCATAACCGATTGTAATGGCGATGTGAGCACAGTCTACGATACCGATCAGAGCACTGTGAGCAATTTGACGGCGAGTGACCGACCCGGAAAGTATTTCGCGTTTGTGCCATTCTTCTGTAATCAGCCATCGACGAGTGAAAGTTGCATTTCTGGAACTGAGAATAAGTACGATGTGCAGGTTGTTTGGCGCCCGATCGTAACTAATAATGGCCGAATTTATAGTTCAATTTTGACGACTACTCGGTCACCAGATCCTTCTTGTGTTCCAAGTCTTCAGAAGCCTTCGATCCAAAGTGCACCAATCAGGACGTCTACGGCAACTATCAGTGTACCGGCAACAGTCCATTCATGCGAGGTCCGACAGGAAAAGTGGCCGACTGTACCAGCGCTAAAAACGGGCGGCTTGTGGTGAACTATGGTGAGGCTCCCGGCGAAGAGACGTACTCATGCGACTGTTATGGAGACTATCAGCCGCCGAATTGTGCAGCAGGTTTCTTTTTCCATATAGCTCTAAAATTAGTGAATTTGTAGCCTCTTGCTCCGACCCTAACACTGACCCATTGGCGAATGACAACAGCTGGCGTACGTTCACAATCGTTCTGGTCATCGATGCGGGCGTTTCGACGTTCTCCGTCGTCCAAGAAGACGTCGCACAATTTCTGCGACTCGAAGCGGCGATCCCGTCGATTTGGAAGTATCAGCTGCTCACCTATTGTGCTGACGGATCCGTCACGAATCTCTATTCTGGCGGCGCGTTCGACAAATTCAACGCTTCTCTGTTGACCACGTCAAACGTGGAGTGCAGCGCGCCAGCACAACCGGGAGCCGTCGATTTGACGAAGGTGTATCAAACAGCTGTGCGGGGTTTGGGAAGAAACGTTCGCGGACTGATCGCACTCTACACCGAAAGCTCGGAGATGATCGGCGTGGATTTGAGCGATTTTATCGCCGCTTCACGAACGTATCGTCAGGAATTGTTCGTGTTCACTGGAACCGACGCATCGCTTGTCAAGTTGAATGACTCAATTTCTGAGGCGGCGTTGTCTACTGGAGGCTTCCTCGTGCAAACGTTGATTTCAAGTTCATCCTATCTACTAACCATTGATAAAACAGTAAGTCCGGATGTCAAATGTGCACCTAAAACAACAAAAGTTTGTAGTTTGTGCCATCAATCCTCGCCGGAAAGACTTCTCTCGCCTACTTATCCACTCAACAGTCGGATTCTTTCAACGTCCAGGTGACTGCCACTGGTACGGTTGTCTATGTCGTCACTTGGGGAAGTGGAGACCAATTTTCGATTGGTAAGAAGTGGACAAAAAACGTTTTAGACGTCTAACTTGTAGACAACACAAATTCTGTGGACAGAACTGACTGTCAGTCTGCGGGCAACATCATGGCTATGTGCAGGTTGACAAATCAGCTTACATACAAGGTATGCTGAACTAAATTCTGTTGCCTACATTTTAATTATTAAAAGTGGTGTCCAACGTGACATACAACAAATTTTTAAAATAAACTTCGAAGTGGGGCATTCACTTTCCCAAAGTCTCGAATTACGAAAAAAAAATTCCCGGATTTTTAAGATTTTTTTCAAAAAAGTTAATGGTACCGAGAGAGAAGTACACGGCGAAATGGAAGAGCTGGCCTAGATTTTTCTAGTCCCCTGATGGAATACCCATTTCTTCCGATTTTTTTCCGTTTTCGCGCAATTTTTTAAATTTTCAATCGTTTTTTTTAATGAACACACTTATTTGCACTATTTGAGAAAAATTTATAATTTTTTCTGTGCCGTGACGCTAAAAAAATCGATAATCTGAAACTTTTTTGTGTTGTTTTTTCAGGTTTTTCGCTCAATTTTCGGTCGGCGCGCTGAAAAATAAATCGAAAGAGATCGCTCAATCATTTTCTTAGTCTTAATTAAAGTTTGCGAGTTACAGAAAGTTCTATTTTTCAAAGTAATGCGAAAAATCCAAAACTTCCCATTTTCGGTTTTACAAAAAGTGGCTGAATTTCTGCATTTTAAAAGTTTCATATTATCAATTTTTTTGGCGTCACGGCACAGAAAAATAATGAAAAATAATGAAAATAATGAAAAATAAGAAAAAAAAACGCCAAAAAAATAATAATTTTTTTTTTAAATATTGCAAATAAGTGTGTTCAGTGAAAAAACAATTGAAAATTTAAGAAAATTGCACGAAAACGGAAAAAATCGGAAGAAAGGGGAATTAAATCCGGGGACTAGTAAAATCTAGGCCAGCTTTTCCATTTCGCCGTGTACTTCTCTCGGTGCCAATAACTTTTTTGAAAAAATCTTAAAAATCGGGGAATTTTTTTTTTTGGTAATTCGGGACTTTGGGAAAGTGAATGTCCCACTTCGAAATTTATTTTAAAAATATGTTGTATGTCACTTTTACAGTTCAACGCTGCCTCGTCTGACACTCCGTACACCGTCGCCGTATTCATCACCAACGAAGACGACCTGTCGCCGAGTTTCCAAATTATTTCCGATCTCGGACAAGACGCGTCGAACGCGGTCTCCACGTCCACTTCCGACACGCGAACGATCGTCTCGATGTACGTACCTCCCCAGTATGTAATTGTGAACAACGACGGAGATGGTGGGCTCACGAGAACCATCAAAAGGACCGAATGCCTGTTCGGCTACACCGCCTACAGTGTTTTTGCTAATAGCAAGTACTCTGCCGGAACGAATACTGCCGTGGTTGGTTGAGGAATTTCAGAATTTGGTTAATAAATCCTTTTCACAGATAACCCTTCAAAAGGCCGATGCAAATGCCGCTGATCCCAAGTACACTAGATACTTCGCGTTCGGAACTACCGATTCTCCAAGTTGTCAGAACAACGGGACCGTCCTAGCATCCAGCGGCTCTTGCGCGTGTCTCGACGGTTTCCAAGGCCCCGATTGCTCTCTGGTTGCGTGCTCGCAAAGCTCGGTGGCCAATGCGTGGGCGGATGTTTGTGTGTGCTCGGAGATCGATGACGTCGCATGTGCCAACAGATACTCTCGTTTGTTTTACTAAATTTGTTCTGATAGCAACCAACCAGTAAAGCATTAAATTATCTTTGTGCTCTTTCTCTTTTCCTTCCAGAACCATTTCTCAGTCCATAGACTGCTTATATCGAATGTTTATTTATTGAAAAGTCAGACTAAACTTGCGTCTGACACGATGCCCCACTATAACTATCATCGCACACACAAATATAGGATTGGGTGTCGTCGAAGTCGAACTCCAAATGGCCATGGCCGAGGCAGTCGGTCAGCTGTCCAGTTGGTCCTGAACACAAAATCTTGAGGATACTGTTATCAGTGCGTCCTCTCACCTCTCATGTACGGAATGCTGGTTCTGTTACAGTACACATTTCCGTTATCGTCAATGTTCTGACATTTCGGATCAACGCGTCCGACTCCTGGCCGACATTGGAATGATCGGACGACTGTGAACTCGCCAGCCACGAATTGGATATCGTACTTGTCAAAGGTTCCGGGCACGCAACTTTCTCCAGCGTTTGCAGCGTTCGAACCGCAGAAAAATGGAACGAATGGGTAGTGCGGGAAGCTTCCCTCATCCACGAAGATGTACTGCGTCGGAATGGTTTGAACCGAATCGTACTTGGCGCTCACAGCTCCACGACAATCGGTGATTATTATCGATGCCTGGAAGAAGTAGGATGAAAGAAAGTTTTGAAAAAACAGTTCAAACATACCTCATAATCACTATAACAATCGTTCATCAGACGCATCCTCAAAGCAGCTCCACCGTACGCATCGACCTGTGAAATGGCCGTACCGCCCATCGGATCATCGATTGCAGCATACGAGCCGTAGTGATAGACCATGCTGTATGTAACTAATGTATTGTTAACTGACAAAAATAAAAGCGCAAGTGCGCCCCGCCCAATAGAAATTGGCGCGAAATACAAATTTTAACAGCAAAATTTGTGTTTTTTGCCAGATTAGCCGCGAAAAACCGATAATTTCTGATTTTTCTCTCGATATACCGATTGTATAGGCTATTACAAATTTCTTAAGCGTAAGAGCGTCAAATTTGGTCAAGTCGCAAATCACATTTATCCGTTTGAAGGTTTTTAGCTAAAATTGCGTGAATTTCAGTTGTTTTTCGGTAATTTTCGCGGTTCGTGCGCTCAAAATGCTTGTATTTACGTGATTTATCATTCTCAAAACCAATTCTGTCTGAAAACGGTCAAGAAAGCGCAAAATGAGAAGTGCGGTTTTTAGGCGGCGATCGGCGAAAAAGCAAAGTCCGCGAAAAATGCGCCAAAACGTCATTAATTCTGCGAATTAGTGTGTTTTTATGTCGAACAATCATTTTTCATCGCCTTTGACCACAAAAATCAGAGAAAACCTGCTCAATTCATGAAAGCGCTATTTGGCCGAGGCCACGCTCCGGAGACCGTGTATATTATTTATACCTTGACGTCCAAATTCGGACAAAAACATTCGCGCCAGTTTGAGTCGTTTGCAAAGTTACTTTGCAATCGGCTCGTGGTTTGAGTTGAACACTTCCGTAGTAATAGTTTGTGTTCGCCTACAAAAAGGTTGTGGTAATGTGTGAAATGCATGGATTTCCAACCAAAGGAGCTGACAAGTCAACGAACTGATCGGCGCTTCCAGTTTGACTGAACGTCATTCGGACGCCGTTCGTGTTGTAGGAATTTTCTGAAGAACCAACTTCAAATGCGACTAAGCGATTTAAAACTAACGTAGGCCAGTTTCCATAGTGATCGAAACCGTAAAGTTGACAATTCCAGTCCGAGCCCTCGGCACTTTAAGGATTCCGAGGTCGGTCAGAGTGCCAGAATAATACACGGATCTGGTGAACGCGAGGCTGTTGCTGTAGGAAATGGACAATATCTCAGTGAGCGTCTGGAATTCGAAATTCAATTAAATAGGTTGCACGAAAAGCCGAACGTTGATGAATGGCGTAATGGTTGCAGCGATGGCAAAATGACCATTTGAATTCGAGGCGAGGTTTGCGATTGCGGGCAGGTATCTGGTGGAGTCGTTGACGACGGCATCGTAGGACTTATCCGTGACCATTGGGAAAATCTTCACATTGTTATTGGTGACGGTATCGAACTCGGAAGCTTCAAGACCAGTGCCATAGGCCGGGAATCTGTTGACAAATATCAGAATCATCGAACTTTCGAGTGGTCTTCCAGTGGCATTGAGAAAGCTCTAAATTTGAAATGCATGAACCGCAAAAAAAAACACCGGTGCTCACTCGAATAACATCCAGAACATTCGAGGCGTTCAGTGCGTTCGAAGCGAGACTCGCCACCGGTGGCAACTCGTCCAAACCTTTTGAGAAGCTTCTGAACTTGAATGATTCTCACCGACTTTTTCTAAAACACCCACGCCACGTCATCGTAATAGATGATATTCTCCCATTGTTGCGTGTCGAATCTCACCGCCGCCAACTTTGTATAGTTGTGTCGATCGTTCGAAATTGTCTGAACGATAATCTTCTTGGCGTCCGCAAAAGTGTACGGATCGAAATCGGCGGCGTAGGCGAAGAAGAACGTCGAGTGTTTTTCGCCAATATTGCAGTAATCATCATAGTCTTCTGAAAATGTACGCGTTTTTGGGGTGAACGAGGGGGTTTCACAGCGACCAAAAGTGCGGAAAAGGGCGTGGCCTAATCTGAGACGCGTTTTCTGAAAATTGCCACAATTTCAGCACTTTTCCGATATTTTTGTGTTTGATATCGACGAAAGAAGAGCACATTAAAGAGAGAAAACATTGAAATTTTCGTGAAAACGCCGCCGCGTTTGAGACGTTTTTGGCATATTTCGCAATACGCTCTCCGCGGCCAATCGCCGCCGCAATTTCGGAATTTTCATACCGGCCGATGTGGATAGTTTTGAGACGAAGTGAGTGTCGGAAGTGATTAAGCACGTTAATACAAGTATTTTAAGCGTTCAAACGGCAAAAAGTATCGGCGAATGACTGAAATTCGCGCATTTTCAGCACAAAACTTGAAAATCGATTCAATTGATTCGTTTCTGAATGAAACTTGCTCGTTTTAAGCTCAAAAAGTGCGCGCGATGATTAGTTTAACAAAGTTATTATGCAATTATATCGTCGAAATCGTACAAAATTCGGGTTATTTTTGACGAAAAACATGAAAAATGGGGTTAAATTTCGAATTTCGCGCCAAAATGGTGATAAACCGTGCACGCTAGGCCACGCCCCTTTCTACGTTTTTGGTCGCCGTGCGTTTGGTTGTTGGTAGTTTTTTTGTTTGTTTGTTTGGGTGCTTTTTCTGGAATAGACAGTTCACAAGAATAACGGCAGGAAGGTAGAAGAGAATCGATCGATTGTTTCAAAAACGGACGGAACTGATAAGGCAGTTTTTTTATTTGCTCAAACATGACGATGATCTTTGACGTGAATGAGCATCAATCATCGAGATACATTCGAATTTGTATGACTCCTGTCGAGTTCAGTGCATAGTCATAGCTCAGTGTGACATCCCACGTCGCAGCCGAGTACATTTCAAAGCTGGCGTAATCCGCGTTTCCCTAAACCGTCTGATTCAAGTGGAAATCAACAAAAAAGACGAACAAAAGCGGCGACTCCTCTGTAAGACATATAACGAGCGCCCGCAGGTGAGGTGAGCGTCAGTTCATAGTTATGAAAGTCGGTTGTCAATGCTGTAAACTTAAAAATAGGCCAGAAACTGTGTAGATGTTACGATGATTTTGAAGGCTGATTCCAACGTTGACGGTAACTGTTGGCTTGTTTTGTGGGAAGAACGCTTGTGGAAGACGCATTCCTCCTTTTCCGACGACGGTTACGTTGACAGAGTACCAAAGGTTGTAGCCGAAAAGATTGGTCATAGTCTCGTTTACACTCTGCAACAACAACAATGATTGCATGGGCACAAGATTCGGGCAAACATGTTTACCCCGGAAATCTGTGAATCCTGGTTGAAAATGTAGAATCCGTTGGATTTAGTGGACAGTTCGTAGAGAGATCGCGATGAAGCGCCGCCAGACGGTTCATCGCTTTCGATGACGTTCACGATTATGTTACGGCTCGTGAGTTTGTAAATGATATCGGACACGTGTCTCTCTTCGGAATTCCGTTTGATCAGCAGAAGAAGTGTGGATCCACACAGCGGGTAGTGCGTTAGAAACTTCTGGATTCCGAGTATGACGTCACTACCGGCCGTTTTGTTGTTGAAACCAAGACTGGGAGTTGGAAGGCTCGAGCGGATCGACCGGATGAACTGTCTGCATAGAAACACTTATGTAAGCTTCGCAAAACGCCGAATTTCCACAAACTTTTTGCTAGAATGTGTTCCCCCACTCTATATTAGTACGCTCTCAATTTTTTTCTCGAAAATTTTCAGTACATCCCGAGCTGCACCGCTCCAAAGTTGCACTGTTTTCTCAAGAGGAGGGGGCGTGGCCTCGCTTGCAAGTTTGCCGCACGCGTTTCTCTGCTGCAAATGCAGTGATATTTTGAAGTTTCAGCTCGACTTTCCCCGTCTTTCGATGATTTTTTGTGTTTAACAGGTAATTTGAGGTAAAGATAAGTTTTAAAAGTTGTTTACTGTGCTAACATGTGGTTTTTTCCAGAAAATCAGTCAACGGAACCAGAAAAACTCAATCAATCGACAAATTAGCAGAATAAAGAACTCGAAGCACCGTTGTTCCGTGACAAATCGATTCGTTTCAAAAGATTGTGAACATTGAAAAGAAAATTGAGTTGTTTTGAAAAATATCGATTTTTCCCTAGATCAGAAACAATGGTTTTAAAACTTACGTGGCATTCTGATGAAAAGAAATCTCAGCCTCTTGTTGCGTGTCAAATCTCAAGTTGGCCAAAGTTGTGAATTTGTTGAAGCGCTCGTAGTCAGAGTTTGTGAAGAAAGTATCGAGAAGTCGACTTGTATCGTACACCACATTCGGCTCAAAATCATTGGAATAGGCCAAGAAGAAGGTAGTGTTAGCGCCAGCATTGCAGACTTCGTCATGAGCTGGAAACAAGTATTGGAAGGTCTTAAAATTGTTATACTACTCTGAAAGTTAGGTGCTGGCTGGGTGTCTGGGGGGGGGGGACGTCTTTTGAACTAATTGTATATATTTAGTCTGAACTCATTGTCATTTCCTGTCTAAACCGCTTATCAGTATTCTTTTCTTATCGCTACGTCACACACAATTCTTCTCTATTCGCCACAACGCATCCCAGCCCGACCAGCCAGAAAATGCGCGTTTTTCAGACTGATCTAGAAGAGTTTAGCATGCGTCATTTCCAGATGTACCCGAAACGTGTACCCCCGGCGACCATACCACGTTCTTCTTCGCCTATTCCAATGATTTCACCGCTCAACTCGTCAGCGACGCGGCCAGTGTCATCAGCACTTTTTTCACTTTTGCGGACTCCTACTATCCGCAATACAAAAAGTTTACAAGACTCGCCAACTTGAGATTCGATACACGGCAACCGGATGATATCGATTTTCATGATAATGTCGCGTAAGTTTATAGTCCATATATATTGGCCCACTGGTTCTTTTTTTCAGACCGTTCATAGCCTCGATCAACTCGCATTTGCCTTCTCCGGTGCTTGGCTTTCTGAACTCGAGTCGTACTGGGAGTGACGTCATCGCTGGAATTCAAAAGTTTTTGACCGGATCTCCATTGTGTGGCTCCACTGTGCTACTGCTGGTTAAGAGAGATTCAGACCTTCAAGATGTGTCGAACGTTGTTGACAAGTTGAGAGCTCATAAAGTCTTCGTGAACGTGATAGAGTCTGGCCAGACGTCAGGCGGCGCTTCTTCAGATCCTCTATACAAAATTTCCACCGGCTCCAATGGATTTTTCGTCTTCAACAGCGACAAAAACATCGGCGAGGTCAGCATTTTGCAAAATCTCTGAAAGGTGTGTGTGTTTATTTAGAGTGTCAACCAACTGATGTCCTATTTTCTCGGCTACAACCTTCTCTACGCTGCTGACGTCAAAGTAATCGGGAACGGAAGTGTCTCTCTGCCCCAAGTCTACATTCCGCTCTATAAAAGTTCGGTGACGGTCAACGCAGGAGTTTCTGTACAAAATCATCGTAAATCAACTTTCTTTTTTGGTCCATGAAACACTATTTTCCAGCTCTAACCGACTCTTTTCACAATTTCACCCTGACCCTCCGCTCGCGTTATAATGACCGTCAAATGTTTTACAACGGAAACGTGGATAGTGTTTGTACCTTTTTACTTTTTTCGGGACGGTCTACTCGCTAATCTTTAGGGAACCGCCGACTTCAGCAGTTTCGGAATGTACTCGGCTGACACGTGGAATGTGACACTGGACTACGATTACGCGAAGAACACGACCGGAGTGGCGCAGATCCGATTGTATACTGACGAGTGAGTCTCTGTGGATTCTTAAACGAGAGGCCATTTTCCAGAAGAGTCGACAACTATCCTCCGTACTCGAATTGACGCCGTAGTGGACCTGAAATAACAATGTTTTCGTGATTTGTTATGAATACTTACCTCTTGCAATGCTCGTGCTACATTAAAAACAATGTATCTCGGCTGTCAGTAGAGATATCAAAAAGTGCTCAACTGGTAAAACGCTCATCTACACATTGTCTACGTTTTATCAATTGAACATTTTTTGATATCTCTACTCGCAACTGAGATGTATGGGCTTGAAGGAACGGTATTGGCGGAGACCGTTTTCAAAAAATTCGATAAAACGCAAGGGCGCACTGTTCGCCCCCAGAGCGCACCATCCATTCATGCACTCATTCATTCGTTTTCTTCCTCCCTTTGTGTGCTCGCATTACACCGAGCATTCAATAACGGTAAAATCAATACCGTTTTCGCCAGTTTTCAATATTCTTATTGTTTTAGAATTTTTTGTGTGTAATCCATTTACCTAGTACATCATTTCCCCCAGTTGACGACTTTTTTGTACCACCAAAAAGCCTGCGGTAGCTTTTGAAAGCACTAAACTTCCAAGAGCTCTAGTACTACAAAATTGTTTTTTCTGCGCTCCCGTAAAACCTTGACCTTTTTCGAATATGTTTCAAACTTTGCAGAATCTCCAACAAAATGTCGCATGCGGACAAAGGTCGCCTGATCCATCTGACGAAGAAGCGTCGGATCGAAAAGGAGGACATTGAGAATCAACTGCAAAGGATCGAGGAGGACAAGGCGCGGGCTGGCATCCAGAAGAAGTTCGCGGCGATCAATGAGACACCGGAAGAGGCGATCAGGGCGCAGACGTACGGACTGGTCACTCTGGACGAGTTGAAGAGCATTCAGAAGAATGCACTGTCCAACCAGGACCTCCAGGTGGCCAGAGGAGATTCTGGGCCCACCGCTCGGACTGCCCAGGATCTCGAAGAAGCGCGAGAAAAAGAGGAGCACGTGAAGCGGAACACCCAGAAACGGGTGTTGTCGTTCGCGTTCGACGAGGCAGAAGACGACGATGACGTGGTGCCGGTGATTCGGAAGAAGAGGGTCGGCATGAATCCGGACGTCGACACCTCGTTCCTTCCCGATCGGGACCGCGAGCTGGTGATCCAGCGGAGGAAGGAGGAGCTGGCGGCCGAGTGGCGCAAGAAGCAGGAGGCGGAGAAGAACGAGGAGATGAAGGTCGACTACGCCTACTGGGACGGCTCGTCGCATCGGAAGGCGATGAAGGTGAAGAAGGGGCAGACGATCGGACAGAGCATCGGGAAGGCCATCGACGCGCTGAAGCGAGAGTTTGCCGAGCTGCGATCGGTGAGCTCCGAGCAGGTCATGTTCGTGAAGGAGGACCTGATCATCCCGCACCACTACACTTTCCAAGACTTTATCGTCTCGAAGGCGATGGGCAAGACGGGTCCGTTGTTCGTTTTCGACGCGGCCGCCGACGTTCGCATTCGTCAGGACGCCGCGCTCGATTGCGGCGAGAGTCATCCGGTGAAGATTGTGCTGCGCTCGTGGTACACCAAGAACAAGCACATCTACCCGGCGTCGAGATGGGAGCCGTTTGTGCCGAGCAAGAAGTACGCGCGCAATTTGGACGATCTGAGTGATTTGTAATTGGATCGAATTGGTTGAATTTCGAATAAATTTGTGTTAACAAGGGATTCTATCGTTTTTACTTAATGCCCTAATAATTTCAATCAATTCTTGGCGGGTCCAACAAAAAAACACGGACAAAAACAATAGAGTACCAGTAGATGGGGTGGTGGAGGTGGGACTTGCTTTATACATTTTCTTGCCACGCGGCAATTTGTTCGTCGAATACGAGTCGAGAGGCGTCGACTTCTGCGCGGACGTCACTCCAGAATCCATTGTTGAAATACTCGCGAGCTTCCGACCCATTCAACTTCTCCTCGATCCACTGCATCGCCTCGCGAAGCGTCGGCGTTGGGAAGATCGGCGCCGTCTGGAACTTGCGCGCCAACTCGATCTTGATCATCTCCGCTCGCAGCACTTTCCAGAAGACGTTGCGTGTTTGCGTGAGCTCGACCACTTGCCGGATCGCTCCGACGTGTTCCATCCGCTGCCATCTATCGTGCATATCCGCAAATTCGACGGCCGCCTTTTTGAACGCGCTCTTCACCGAGTCCGCCGAATCTGCGGCCACTCCGCTCCGCTCCATGAGCTTTCCGAGTTGCGGCTCGCGGATTTTGATGCCGACCACCGCGTTCGGCTCAAGAATTCCTCCTCGACACGTGGCGTCGGCGATGACGTGGACGAATCCGGGATTGACGTGCGAGTCGACGACGGCCCACGCTCCTCCGCGCAGCTCTCCGCCCGCCGGAATGTAGACGATCACCGGCTGCGTGTACTGCGAGAGTTCGTCGATGATGTGAGCTCCGAAGGTGAGCACCTGATCCGACATGTCTTTGCGGCCGCCCGAGAAGCCACGTAGCGATGCGATCATTACGAGTGGCAGAGATTCGCGGTTGAAATCGCTGATCGCCTGCGATGTCTTGAACGCCGAGTCTGGGTACCTAAAAATGGATATTTTGTTAGATTTTTCTCTGAAAATTCTCACCAAACTTGTCCGGCTCTCGTCGTCTGCGTCTCTTCGCTTTTTTCGACACTCTCGTCGGCCAATTGTCGTTTTTCGTATGATTTCCACTGCGAACCAATCACTCCGACCGCCAATCCGTTCAATTTCGCCCGTCCCGTCACAATAGACGCGGCCCATTGCGAGCAGATTTCATCAAACGAGTTCGTATCGAAAATTCCTTCTGAACAGTTTATCTTTTAAAAAAAAGTGCATCCCGAATCTGCTCACGTTTCCCGTCGATTCCGGCGATAAGGTTTCGGACGTCTTTCTGCATTTCATCCTTGTTCACTTCGACGGGTTCCAATTCGTCCAAATCTTGGACGGAGAAGCACTTGAAGAATGGGAAATCCGTTTGTTTCGCCGGCAAATAGTTGATCCATTCGACCAATTTTCGTATTCCCGCCAGGTCGGACGGGACCGTCGCGTGCGCGATTCCGTTGTTCGACATGATTTCGATGCCGCCGAGACGGTTGTTCGACGCGTACACCTGCAGAATTCTTCGTTGGTTGATCGCTTTTATGCAGCAATTCCTCAGACTATGAAGAAACAAATGCATTTGTCATTTCAACACCGTACCTTCTTTCCGAGCAACGTGTTCAGTGCCATGGCCCCAGTGAGTATGAGGTGCGCCTTCTCGTGCTGGACGATCCGTCGCGCCAACCGTGCCGTGTACGCACCGATGCCCACCGATCTGCCCGTCACGTAACAGTATGTGGGAATCTCGCGGTATGCCCTCGAGGTCTCTCCGCCGATCGCTCCCGATCCCATCAGATTCTCCACACCAATAAACTCGTTTTTCTTTCCCTTTACGGCCACCAATTTCAGCTCGTCGCCGTGCTCTTCGTAGACAATTTGCGCGCCGATTCGCTCCTTTTCCGTTTTTTCCACGTAAAGATAGTCGAAATCGTGTCCGTTCGCCTTCAGCTTCACTTTGAGCACGTCGAGCACGTCGCGAGCAAGGCCGATGCGGGCGCCCGAATTGCACGAGATGTTGATGCGTGGGATCTGGAAAAATTCATGGAAATACTTTTTCCCCGAAAAACACTAAAACTCTTTCAAACCTTCTTTTGCCTGGCCAATTTGCTGGCGTGCTCGAAGAGTGTGTGCTCGGGCATTGCAAATGAGCCCACTTGGTGAGTGACGTCGTTTCCGATGAGCACAAATTCGACGGGCTTCGCATTTTCCGTCAATCGGAGCCTGAGAAGCCACGCGACGACGGAGCACGAATTGCAACCCGTCGATGCTCTTTTTTCGAGCTCCAACTCATCAGAAACAATCAAAAGCTTTCCGTTTTCGATAATCAGTTCTCGAGTTTCGACCACCGATTTCCAGTTTTCAACTCCCGCATTTTCGGCTGCGATTCTGGCGAAAAGAAGCGGGAAATCGTAGATGTACGTGGTGCGGTTTTGTCTAAAACATTTCAAATGTTCACAAAAACCTTTTGTCGAGCAAACCTAGCCAAAAATCGCTTCAAATCGCGCTTTTCCGGAGCGCAAAACGGCGGAATTTCCGCAACTTCCTTTTCCTCCAAAAATTGCCCAATTTCATTGACGAATCGCCGCGTTTCGGAGCCATTTTTGACGATAATCTGACAAGAGAAACGCATTTTTTCCAAGTTTAAAAAAAAAAAAACCTCTTTAACTTCTGCCTCGATCAGTGCACCGGTCTTCTCGAGAATCGCGTCTTCCACATCCAAACCGTTCAAATTCTCAATTTCCACTCGATTTGCCACAAATTTAAGAGATGTTCCGTCGGAAAAACAGGAAAAGGCGACGAGTGCGTTGTCAATTTGCTCCGAAATGTTTCCCGAACTTCCGTGTCTTCTGAATCGCATCGACGACGCGAATCCGGCGGATTTCACGTCAATCCCACAGTTTTCGGCGGAAAAGTCCGCGTTCTCGTTGAGTTTGTACAGAATCCGGGCGGCCAGCGGGGCGAGTCTCCGAAACTGTTTCGCCGCGAAAAATCTGCTCAAAATCGTTCGAAACTCTTCCGAATTTCCGTAATTCTCCGCAAACAGCTCCAGAATCCCGCAAATCATCGCTTCCTTCGTCTTCAGATGCAAATTCGAGTGGATTCTGTCGACGACGTCTGCCGAATTCGTGATTTTCGCACTCAGACGTTGCACGCATTCGTCAAAGCCGTCGCGAGCGTCAAAATCGCTCTCCGTGTCGAGGAATAGCTCGAAAAGACCGAGCATTTTGTGACGAGCCGATTCGGACGGCAAACCGACGTCATCTCCGCGGTCTTCCGTCTTTTCCTTCTCAAAAAGATTCGAGATGAGCTCGTCGACGTGGAGAATCTGTAGATCCATGCATCCACGGCCTTCCAGAACCAGTTTCGCCCGCTGAAAATCGGCTATTTTCCCTTGAAAATTAGACTAAAATCCCACCTGCAAATGCGATTTATCCTCTCTTCTCCATCCGTCCATATTTCCGCTAAACTTCTCGCTCGTCTTCAGCTGCTCTTTCGCCTCTCTGTCAATTTCGAGCCGCGCCAAAACGGTTCCCTCTTTTATTTGATCGCCCTCTTTCGCCACTTGAATTAGTCTGAGAAATGGGAGAGTTTAATCGCTGGAAGATTTCAAAAACAAACCTCCCAGGCGCCATTTTCACCACCAAATCAAACGTAATCTTCATGAGCTCAATTTGAGCGTACATTTGACCGACTTGCACAAATTCGCCGGGAGCAACCTGTAAAAAATTGTAAACTTTAAAATTTCTACAAAAAAGTTCCACACCCTCACCCTGTAACCCAAAAATTTTCCGGCATACGGAGAGCTCAAAATGCTCGCATCGTCATTGTCGGTCTTCGCGAATTTCAACTTGTTTCCGGCGAGTTTAATCTGTAAAAACACAATATTCATTTGACAAATGGCAGCAATTTGCGGAAACCGTGTAGAAATCGTCCGTCTCTTCCAGCTGATATTCCGCCGATTTTCCCTGGTGGAGAGCGATTTTCTGTTCGCCGGAAGAGCCAATCGCGAGCATTTCCACTGTCGTTTCCTGACCTCCAAGCCTGATTTGATACTTGGCATCGGTCTCTTCGAACACTTTCAACTGGAAAAATGGCATTATTTTCATTTTTTCCCCAACAATTCACAATTTTACCGAGTATTTGACGTTGTTCAACTGAAGTTCGACGTCCGCGGCTCTGCTCAACCCGATCGGCAGCTCAATTTTTCCAGATTTCAGCGCTTTTTCGTATTTTTCAAAAATGCGTCGGATTTTCAATCTTCCGATGGCCGCCGCACTCACGGCAATCAGATGATCGATGGGTAGGGTGAGTCTCTGCAAAAACTTTGAAACGATCAGAAATGCTCTAGAAATCGCGTTCTCTGCGATGTCCATCCAACCTGTCCATCTCGATTTGCGATCCTTTTGTCGAGCCATTGCGTGTCGTACGTGTTCTCTTTGAACTTTTCCAACGAGAGCAAATCAATGAGATAATCTGATTGGGTCGAGAACGTCGCGTCGATTTTCAGGTTCTGCAGAGCGTGTTTCAGATTCGCAATCGCTTCCGAGCTGAAAATGATAAAGACAATTTCTAATTTTACTAAAGTGCTCGTACCGAGTCTCGCCCTTCGCAAAAACGTGTCCAATTTGCGAGTCGGCGTACTCATGGACCGTACTTCCGTCGCTCACCGAAAAATACGCCCACGCTTTTGAAGTGGAGCCGAATTTCAGAGATTTGACGTGGCCAGTCGAGGGGAGGAAGCTGAAAGTTAGAAAATTAAGATTGTGACGAAAAAATGACATGAAAAATCGCCGAATTTTGAGTCAAACTTCCTTACCGATCAGCGGGATCCTCGCAAGTGACCCTGGCGGCGATCGAATGGATCTTCCCGTCTTCTCCGCTCTCCACCCTCTTTTTGTACCGCTGAATGTCCGGAATATCCCTGAGCCGGATGCCCATTGCGATTTGGAACTGGAGAGCGGGCACGTTCACGTCGCAAACGGCCTCCGTGCACGGATGTTCCACTTGCAAACGCGGATTGAGCTCGAGGAAAAAGTATTCGCAAGTCGAGGGCACGAACAGGAGTTCGACGGTTCCCGCCGAGTAGTAGTCGGCGAATCGGGCGAATGCGATCGCGTCCTGCAATGGAAACGGTCATCATTTTTGGAGTAGCTATGTGAAACTATGAAGTTGGACTGAAAAATAAAAGTTGTTTGAGCGAATTCTGTCGAGTTTCGATTCTTTCACAGCCTGTTTTAGATCTGAAACTGGTTTCAAACCTCTTTCATTTTTTCCAGAATCTCCGCCGGAACAATCGTCGCCGGCGCCTCCTCGATCACTTTCTGGCATCTCCGCTGAATCGTACAATCTCGCGACGAGAGGGCCATCACCTCGCCGTGCTCATCTCCGAGGATTTGGATTTCCACGTGGCGCGCTCCTTCCATACACTTCATCAGGAAGATTGGCGAGTTGGGCACATAAAAAGAGACGATTAGATTTCATTCGAAACTCGAAAAAGTACCTCAATCTGAACCTCCTCGAAAAGCCGCTCAAAGTCGTTCATCCGCTCGCACTTCCGAATGCCCTTTCCACCGCCGCCCTCGCTCGCTTTGATCATCATCGGCACCCCGATTCCGTACTTTCCGATCGCTTCGAGACCCTCTCCGACGGTCCGAATCGTCGCCGACTCGCGTAATTCGTGGAAATTCATCGGAGAATGCACGCATTCCTCGACGCGCACATCGCCTCCACTCCACGTCACCGTCGGCATTCCGATCGACTGCGCGATGATTGTGCTCACGATTTTGTCGCCGGACGCGATTATCGATTGAACCGACGGGCCGATGAAGATGATGCCTTCGTCCTGGAGACGTCGGCACAGCTCCGGATTCTCGGAAGCGTGCCCCCAGCCGACGTAGACCGCGTCCACGTGCGACTCGAGTGCCAGACGCACGATGACGTCGACGGAGGCAAAGTTTTGGGTGTTCTTGCCGCCCGGGGCCATCACCAGCTCGTCCGCCAGCTTGAGGTATTCTGAAAAAGAGTTTTGAAACGTTTTTTGGTAGACTTCAAGAGAAACTGACGTGACGCGGCGTTGAGCTCATCTGGCGTCGCAATGCACACAAAACTGACGACGTCGCTCGTGTCGAACTGCTTCTGAAGCCATTGTCGGATCGAATTGAGACACTTCACCGCCGCCAACCCGTTGTTTGCTACTAGAACCTGAAAATTTCATATTGTTATGCTAAAAATCGAAATGTTGAGCTGGAACTCACCCTTCTAATACTCCTACTGCCTGCGTACTGCTTCACGAACTCGTCGATCTTGTGCGAGTCCGATTTGTTGCCCAAGTCTGGCATTTCCTGCAAAAAATGTCATTTTTTGAGGTCGAAAATTCAAAGAAAATCTTCAAAGTCCGCAAACACCATACATACATCAGCGCCTACCGTAATCTTTAAACTTTAAATTCGATCGAGAAAAATCCAGCGTTTTTCGGGGTTTTTTCGTGAGTGAAAATGTGTTGATAAATGATAATAATAAAGAAAGAGAAGAGATGAAAATCGTTGATCAGACTGGAAAAGACGACAACTGCCGTGATTCGGGGGCAAATGGCGTGGCGACACACGACATGTGAACTCTTAATTGTTGACACGAGAGAATCGGGGACACCGCGTGATTTAGGAGTGGGGGGGAAAGGTGGTGGTGTGATTGGGACCGAAATGATCGGGGGATTTTCAAATTTTCTCAAAAACGTGTCACAAAAAGCTTTTAAAAACAGAACTTCGATAAGACTTTCATCGATTTCAAATAGACTCGTGGAAACAGAAAATGTGATTAGCCTGTTTTTCGCCCATGTGCAGTTACATTAAAACGGTACAACACAAAAAATAGTTTGAACTCTAGTTAAATCGGACCAGATCAAACTGACATAAACAGAAGGATAACTTTCTAAACAAATTGAAACAGTAGACTTTTTGCTGATTTTAATGCCCCCTCGAAAAGATCGAAAAGTGATTGAGTCTCACTGACGACACATTTCTGAAAAAAATATAAACCAGACAAATTGTCTTGCCTATTGCACTGATAGTGAGGCCGGCTGAAAGAAAAACGCATTTGGGGTCCGTCTCCCAAATCGCGAAAAGAGCAGCGAGCAACGAGCAAAACAACAGAGACTCGATAGTTTTGCGTTGCGCGCGTAGGTCAAAACGAACGGATGGAGACCTTCCGCCGAAATCATCTTTTTTTCCCCTCCTCCCCCACCCAGGCTCCGGGACATTTCGAAACCGCGACATTTCGAAACCAGACATTTCGAAACCGCGACATTTCGAAACCAATTTAGTACAAGTATTTAAAAATTCAAAAAACCGCCAAATTCGCGGTAGAAATGCATGTTAAGTGTATTTTCAGCTATTTCCAGCAGAAAAAGAACACATTTTTAAACTGAGCAATACGAAAAATTACTGTCCATACTGCGAATTTGGCGGTTTTTTGAATTTTTAAATACTTGTACTGAATTGGTTTCGAAATGTCGCGGTTTCGAAAAGTCCCGGAGCCCCCACCCAGAGGCCATTCGTAAACAGCGCGCACCGGAATGAGCGGAGTGTCGTTCGGGCGCGCGCGAATGGGAGACAATAAGGGCATTCCGCACAAAAACAGTCCGTCCGTTTTTTCGCCGCTTTGCCGGAATTTCGTTCTAGTTTTTTCGGTTTCAACTCATCATTTTTGCTGCTAGAATTTGCCCTTTCAAGCAGAAAAATAAAAGCAAGCGGATCTCGGTCGTGTTGGCACAAAGAAACGGGCGCATATATATTTTGGGAGCGTTTCAAGAGAGAGAGAGAGAAAGCGACGGAGACGGAGCAAGAGAAGGAGTCTCTCACACGTAAAGCTGCTCTTTGCTCACTTTCCCTTCCTCCTTCTCCCTCTTCTTCTCTCTCTCTCTCTTGTCTGTCCGGCCACGCTTTTCATCATCGTTCTCAGCACCAGAGAACGAAGAAAAACGGACCGCCTTTCCCTCGTTTTCTTTCTTTTTATGTCTGAGTCCTTCTCTCTCGCTCGCTCTCTCTCTTTAAAGTTCTAAAAGAGCGCACTAGTTAATCCGACCATAATCTTTTTTCAGAATTCGGTCCAAATCCTTCACTATGGAGATGCAAGGTAATCAAGTGCAATTGAAAGTGTACGGCTCTTCTGACCTCATTGAAACTGTGAGAAAAGTTGTGTGTTCTTATCAGCCCCCATTTCCATTTCCTTGATCGAACATCACATTTCTATGCGTTTTTTGTGCCCGCTCTCCTCGTCCTTTTCCTCGTTTCTCTGCCGCCGCTCCGTGCTGACACACTCAGCTGATAAAGCGAGAGCAGCTTTTCTAGTGCCCTAATCCGCTTTTTTCTCACCCACAACTCGTCGATATTGTACTATTCGTTGCAGAAATTCGTCTTTTGCCACTTCTAGAACGTCTGTTTGTTTGTCTCGTTCCTGGTGCGTCCGACTGTTTTCTTTCTACTTGAACAGTGAAACAGAAGAACGGAAGGGATGTGGTTGGTGCCATTTTTGTAGTTTTGAACGGTTTTAGTGCTTTTTCGAAGGCATGAACACTAGAAATACAAAATTTTTGAGCTGAAGTTTGGTCAGTATCGGATTGAGGTGCAAAACGTCTCTCTGGGCTCACTGAAACGTGATTTTTCTTTGAAAGCTGATAAAATTTGATCACTAACATTACCAGTGTAAACTTTTACACTTTCTGCTCGTTTTGAAACATGTTTTGAAAAAAAACGGAAAATTACAAGTTGTAGCTATCAATCCTGTTTCAAAAGTTTCACTTATGTACAACTCCTTTTGAGTTATTTTGCTGTGACCTATAAAAGACTTTGTGGTTTAATTATGAGGTTATTCAGCTGAATTGGATTTTTAACGAAAAAAAAAACGCTTTTGGCACCAGTGGGGATCGAACCAAAACCCAACGCTTATCACGCAAAAATGCAACCGCTGCGCCACACGTGACAAGCCGGCTGTCGCCCCCCCAGGCGCCAAGATATTCCCGGCGCCGGCGTCCCTCTGAATCGACCTGACAATGTACCCTTCAAACTTTACCAATCCGTACCAAACTTTAGGGACCTGGTCCTGAGATCTCAAAGGGACCACCAGCCAAGTCTGCTCCCGATCGGTTAACTGGGAGCCCGAAAAACATGAGCCCACGTCATTCCATCTCAAATTACACCCATTTCTCTTTTGTTTCCCTTCCTTTGAATCGCTGCTTTTTCCGTTTGGAGAATTTTTTCATTTAAACGCTCATCTGTCAAATTGGAAAACCTCTTCTTCGCAATTCTTCTCTTCGCTTCAAAAAAGGGGAAAAAACGTGCGTTCTCTGCTCGTTTCGCTCCAAAAATTCCAAAAATTTCCATTTCTCCCTTGCAGATAGTCTTTTCAATTATATGCGCTCATTTCTCGAATTTTCACGAAAATTCGCATTTCTCGTTGAAAAATGACGGAAAAGCCGGCGGCGGCGGCGACGGCGAAGCGGAGCACTTCCCGGCCAAATGTCAAAAAATTCCGTGAGTTTGCGCACTTGGCTGAAAGAAAATTCGAGAAATTTCAGCATTTTTCCATCCGTTCTCCAGAAGACTTCACATTTGTCTGTTGTGCATGGTGAGTGAAAAAAAACACGGTTTCAACAAGTTTATTTTCCCATATTTTCCCATTTTTTACTAATTATTTTCATTTACTATTATGGATTGTAGACAAATTTATCAAACAAACATGAAAAATGTGCACAATTTCTTGATGAACATTTTAATAGTTGACAACTTTTTAATAACTCTACAGACAGCTGAGATATATTAGTTTTAATGTACGGTCTTTTAGGCGGGCTTCTGCTGCACGACATTCATGCGGATGCACATTGCGATCACAATGACGTGCATGATCAATTCGACGGCGTTGGCACTCGAAAACGCGGCGTTTCCCGAGCAACAAATCGACAATAGCTCTTCGCTTTTTGAAGAAGTATCGGAAACTTTCAAAACGTTTCAATTAAAAACAATTTCAGGTGGAGTCAGTGTCGGACGGAGTGTGTGCTGCGAACAAGGACATGCACAAGAAAGTGGTCGTGGATTATGGAGTTAGTGCCACGTTCTGAAGGCGAGTTATGCTGTAACTTTCAGGGCCAATTGGTGTGGGACAGTCAGGAGCAGAACCTGATCTTCTCCGGAACCTTCTGGGGATCGATAATAACCGTGCTGCCGTCGATGTTCTTCATCAATCGATACTCGCCGCGATACGTGCTTCAGATGGCCGTCGGCTGCTACATTCTGATGACGTGCATCACGCCCTACGTGGCAACACACTTCGGACCGTATCCGGTGTTCATCTCGAGAGTCATCATGGGATTGGGAGAGGTTCGGTATTCATTCGCATACGTATGCGATCTCCAGAGCTGACAATGAGCGCAAGTGCGCCCCGCCCAATAGAGCGATACATTGGCGCGAAATTTAAATTTTAACAGCAAAATTTGTGTTTTTTTGCCAGATTAGCCACGGAAAACCGATAATTTCTGATTTTTCTCTCGATAGACCGGTTGTATCGGTCATTACGAATTTTTTAAGCGCTAGAGCGTCAAATTTAGTCAAGTCGCAAATCACATTTATCCGTTTGAAGGTTTTTGGCTAAAACTGCGTGAATTTCAGTTGCTTTTCGGCAATTTTCGCGGTTCGAGCGCTTAAAATGCTTGTATTTACGTTATTTATCATTCTCAAAACCAATTCTGCCTGAAAACGGTCAAGAAAGCGCAAAATGAGAAGTGCGGTTTTTAGGCGGCGATCGGCGGCGAAGGCGAAAAAGCGAAAAAGTAAAGTCCGCGAAAAATGGCGATGGAAAATGATTGTTCGACATGAAAACACACTAATTCTCAGAATTAATGACGTTTTGGCGCATTTTTCGCGGATTTCGCTCTTTCGCCATCGCCGCCTAAAAACCGCACTTCTCATTTTGCGCTTTCTTGACCGTTTTCAGACAGAATTGGTTTTGAGAATGATAAATCACGTAAATACAAGCATTTTGAGCGCTCAAACCGCGAAAACTACCGAAAAGCAACTAAAATTCACGCAGTTTTAGCCAAAAACCTTCAAACGGATAAATGTGATTTGCGACTTGACCAAATTTGACGCTCTAGCGCTTAAAAAATTCGTAATAGCCTATACGATTGGTCTATCGAGAGACAAATGAGAAATTATCGGTTTTTAGTGGCTAATCTGGCAAAAAACACAAATTTTGCTGTTAAAATTTGAATTTCGCGCCAATCTATCGCTCTATTGGGCGGAGCGCACTTGCGCCCATTGTCACCTCTGGAGACCGTGGCGCATACATACTGTTAGTAACAATTTTTGAATGCTGACTAGAGAAATGGAGGCGTTGAAAATGAAAAATTTTGTAAAAAAAAACTTTTACTGTCTCACTATCATCCCAAAGTCTTCTCGTCAGAAGTGGTTTACGTTGCAGTTTATAGGGCTTTATCCTACCCGCGAACAACGCGATCCTCGCCAACTGGTTCCCGAGCGCCGAACGGAGCACCGCCATCTCACTGTTCACCACTGGAAATCAGATGGCCGGAGCTGGAGGCAATCCGGTCGCCGCCTCCTTGTGCGCTTCCTCGTTCGGATGGCCCTCCATCTTCTATTTTGCGAGTGAGTGTGAAAATGTTCGCAATTTGCCAATAAATCACATGTTCTTGCAAACCCCAACGTTTTCGAAACAGAAAATGTGTTCCTCAGGCATCGTCTCCTCGATCTGGTCCGTAACTTGGTTCCTGACCGCTTCCAATCAACCGTCCAAATGCAAAGTGATGACGAAAACGGAACGAGAGTACTTGGACGCGAATGTGGTTAGACGGTCCAATAAAACCAATGTAAGTTTATTGTCTTCTTTTTCAATGATCACTGTCTCACTATCAGGCGATGTTTCCCAAACGGAAAACAAGTTTCGGTGTCTTAAAGATCATACAGTATTTTATATCAAAAGTCATCCAAATCCTCCTCTTCTCTTCTATCCTTTTCCTCGTCGTCATCGTCCTCGTCCGCTCCTCGATAGACGTGCTCGAGGCCGTGCTCCTCGGCGAGCTCCATCGATTCCATCGCGCTCATCCGCTGATCCATTCGCAAAACAGCCGCCATAAACGCGTTCACCTCCATTTTCACTTGCATCGCCTCGGAGCCAAAATGATGCGCGGCGTGATTAACGCCACGAAGTTGCGGCAGAATTCTAAAAAAGGAAGCGCATCATTTTGAGTGAAGAATAGCGCAAGCAAAACGTACTCGAAGCCCGAAATCTGTTCATGATTGGTCTTGCGGGCGCCCTGCTCGTTGAGTATCACCATGACACACTTCAAATCCATCTTCTCTCGCTCCACAAACTCCTCGTACCACAGCTGCAGATCTTTTCCCGTGTGCTCCTCGGGATTCGCCACCAAAATCACTCCGTCCGCACCCTCTTTGATCGCCGGCCAACAGTCTTCGTATCTAGGGAGTGTGATGTGGTTCAGTCAGCATATAATTTCATGTTTCAAGTACAAAATTTATATTTTTAACGCCTCCATTTCTCTAGTCAGCATTCAAAAATCGTTAGTAACAGTATGCGCGCCACGGTCTCCAGAGCTGACAATATGGGCGTGGCCTCGGCCAAATGGCGTTTTCCTGAATTGAGCACGTTTTCTCTGATTTTTGTGGTCAAAGGCGATGAAAAATGATTGTTCGACATGAAAACACACTAATTCTCACAGAATTAATCACGTTTTGGCGCATTTTCAGCGGACTTTGCTTTTTCGCCTTCGCCGCCGATCGCCGCCTAAAAACCGCACTTCTCATTTTGCGCTTTCTTGACCGTTTTCAGACAGAATTGGTTTTGAAAATGATAAATCACGTAAATACAAGCATTTTGAGCGCTCGAACAGAGAAAATTACCGAAAAGCAACTGAAATTCACGCAGTTTTAGCGAAAAACTTTCAAACTTGATCAAATTTGACGCTCTTGCGCTTAAAAAATTCGTAATAGCCTATAAAATCAGTCTATCGAGAGAAAAATGAAAATTTATCGGTTTTTCGTGGCTAATCTGGCAAAAAACACAAATTTTTCTGTTAAAATTTGAATTCCGCGCCAATGTATCGCTCTATTGGGCGGGGCGCACTTGCGCCCATTGTCAGCTCTCGAGACCGTGCATGTCGCTAAAACGTTTCACAGTCAAAAAACGGTAAAATCAGCGAAACGTTCAGTTATTGCCATGAAAGCACTAAAGTTCCAACGTTTTGACACGCTCAAAACTAATGAACCGTGAGAAGGATATCTCGAAAATGTCCTCACTGTTTCACAATGCTCTTTTAATTCGCTCAACTATGTAGACTCCAGAGCTCACTTCCGATCACCACTGACATCCCACAACTGAATCTCCGAGTTGGCGAGTCTCCGATTCGTGCCCAGATCGTGTTGCTCTTGTTCGGAAAAGAACTCGTGCGTCTCGAACTCTTGGATACGGACCCCTGCAATCAAAACATATATTTTCGCGCATCAATCCTTTCACTCATCAGTACCCTTTGTCGGTCGATAAGTCTTCATAAACTCAAACTCGAATTTCCGCTCTCTGTCTCCTGGATTTTCGCCTTTCTGCAACGCATCGCTGTCCTCCATGAAATCCGCGAGAAACGTGCATAACGTCGTTTTTCCGGCCTAAAACCGAAACGTTGAGTGAGAGAACAGTGGAAAATGGGACAAATTCACCTTCGTTGGACCGAGTATCAGTATTTTAGCGATGACTTTGTTATCGTTCGGGTCGATGGGCATGCTTTTTGACTGGTTGCAGTGGTGAAGCGGCTACTGAATGAGAAATGAAAAGAAACGGGGAGAAAAGAGCAATGTCGTCATGGAAACCAAAGGGAAACAGGAAACGAGAAGAGACGCAGACTCACAAACAAAATACCCCGTTTGCAGCGTTCGCTCGTCGTTCCCTACGCCAAGATTCTGAAATCTCCGGCGTTCCACGCACAACTCCTCTGCCAATTCGTGATCAACTCGGTTGTGACACTCCTCCAAATCTACCTCCCGCTCTACTTCAAAGACGTCCTTCATTTGGGCGTCATTGCCGTCAGTTTAGCGTTTTTGAGGCTCGCCGCTCGTAACGCAGTATTGTCGTTTTCAGAACGGAACCTACACATCGGTGCCGAACATTGTCAACTTTGCCCTGAAAATCGTCTGGGGCATCACAATCGATCGGGCGAAAGAGCGCAAAACTGTGAGCGGAACGTTTGCGGTCAAGCTGTCACAGTCTATAGGTGCGTGTTTAGTGCTCACAAGATGCTCAAAAATCTTTAACGATTTCAGCCAACTTCGGAGGCGCTCTTTTCCTGATTCTCATCGCGTACTTTGTGGATTGCACCAACCCGACCACCGGATTCTTGTTCTTCTGTCTAATGTGAGCGCTTTAAACGATTATTTGAGACGGTTATGAAACGGTAAAACTTTTGCAGGTACGGTTGCATGGGCACTCTTGTCAGCGGCTTCTACACTTCGCTTCTCTCGCTGGCGCCCAAGTACACGGCCACCATGTCATCGATTTCGGTGTTTTGTGCAATGATGGGACGACTCTCCACGCCAGCCATTGTCGGACTCATCAAGAAAGAGGTAAAACTAAATATCTATCGATGTTCGCTAGAAGATCGATTCGAAAATGCTGCTCAACACGGTCTTCGAAATGATTTTTAGGCTCTTGTCGATACGTTTGAAAGTTTTTAACCGAACAGAAATGGCGCTCTGTTGAGAAACTCGTTTTGCGCAGTGCAAATTGAGCGACCTCGGGGCCGAGTTTGAAAAGTTATTATAGGGGCACCGGACAGAAAGGGCGCGCTGTTCGCAATCTGGCCGAATTTCTAGGCCGCGAAGTAATTTTCCACTGAAAACGTGGCCTAAATTTTCAAACTCGGCCCCGAGGTCGCTCAATTTGCACTGCGCAAAAAGAGTTTCTCAACAGAGCGCCATTTCTGTGCGGTGCCCCTATATAATATCGGCGTTCGCTAGAAGATCGATTCGAAAATGCTGCTCAACACGGTCTTCGAAATGATTTTTAGGCCCTTGTCGATACTTTTGAAAGTTCTCTGTTTCATGTGGCACATATTCTTTTCAATTTATTGCTCAAGCTTGTTACAGTTATCAGCGAAGTGCCTCTTATCAGTGTTCTGTCGAAACACGCTAAAAAAGATCATTTTAAGGGCCATAATCTGATTTTTATGTGAATATTATCTAGTAATCCCCCCGTAAGCTCGGCCTTTTGTAGTCACAAATCGTGTTTCAGTTTCCTGTCTTTAACAACTTTCGCCAAAGTGACACTGATTATGCTGATCATTTTATTTTGCAGAACACGCTCTCAGAATGGCGGACGCTTTTCCTGGTGTGCGCCGTCGCCAACATCATCTGCGGAACCGTGTTCTTGATTTTCGGATCCGGTATGATCATCAAACCCGCCCGGTATTATCAAAGGGTTTGAATCGTTCAGGCGAACTCCAAGAATGGGGAATGGAAGACGAGGTGAAGGAAATGAAGACGATCGAAGCGGAGAAAACCCCGTTGGCCAGTATGCAGAATCTTCCGGATTCCGAGGACAACGACGTGTTCCAGTCGGCCCTCGACATGGACGTTCCCGAGATTTACCTCAACGAAATCACGCTGACCACCGAGGAGCGCGAGCGGTTCAAACGACGCATTCGCGAGGATTCCATGTGCTTATAAAGAGGCGTTTCATATCACTGTTTTGCAAACATTTTTTTTTTGCATCCCCATTGTTTTCCCCCCTAATGATCTCTTGTCTGGTAGAACTTACATTGCGCACCCCATGTGATAGCCGATGAGCAAATTTTTTATATTTGCTAATAAATACTTATTTGAAACAGTCAACCGATTTTCATAATAAGTTTTCGGCTGGAATTGTTATCACAGTTTTGAAATTTGAAAATTAAAGCAGACAATTTTTAGCATATGCATCAGAACTTTTTAAATTTCCAACAGATTCCGAGAAGAACGGCGCGCGAAAAGTGGCGGGTGTTATTACACGTCCGCCTATTCCGTCAGATGACGCAACTGGTGGACAAATAGCTGCGCCGGCGATCGTTTTCGAATTTATGCGCTCATTCCGCACTCTACACGGTCTTTGTCTGTTTGTGTTCGCTTCGTTTTGCCCTGGATTTTGTCAGATTTTGTCAATTTTCAACGGTTTCTCCAAAGTTATTTGACAGAGCTTTTTGAGTTTTCGCTTCTTTCGTCGTCGTCTGCAAACACCGTTGTCTACCGTACTCTGAAATCCACAAATGCGCCATTTCAGAAATGCGGTTCCTCACGGGTTTTCTGCTGTTTTCGGCGGTTTTCTGCGCTTTTTCGCATCTACATGCACACGATGAGCACGAGGGAAGCGGATTCATGCCGCTCAACAACCACCAACACACCCATTACCCTGGTTTGTCAAATTGCGGAAATTTTCTTGAAATAATCAAAATATACTTCTAGAATTCGAGGAAAGCCATCATCATCACAACGAACGCGGTCATGAGCATGAGCACGAGCATGAGCACGAGCATGAGCACAAGCAGAAGCCGAAAAAGTTCGAAAGTTTCAACGTTTTCTGCAAAAAGCTGAATTTTCAGACTGAGCACACTGAAAACCTGGGTCTTCTCGCTTTCCGCCGTCTTTGGAATTTCCATCGCTCCGTGCCTGCTCCTTTTTTTCATTCCAGCACAGGTAACTATTGAAGAATTCTAGTAAAATCGCAAAATATTCCAGCAAGCCAACGGACCGTTGCTCAAAATTCTTCTGGCTTTCGGCGCCGGCGGACTTCTCGGCGACGCCCTTCTCCACATAATTCCCCATTCTCTGTCCCCCCATTCTCATTCTAACTCTCATGACCATGACCACAATCACTCGCACGATCATTCCGCCCAACTTCGTGTCGGTCTCTACGTGATCGCCGGTATTCTCGTGTTCATGCTCGTGGAGCAACTCGTCCGAATCATCAAAGGCGGCCACTGTCATTCGCACGAGAACGGACACATTGTCGCCGACGAGCACCGTCATTTGACGGAGCAGAATCACGAAAAAAAGGAGGAGAAAGAGATGGGACTGAAAGACGTGAAAGCCAGTGCATATTTGAACTTGGTGGCCGATTTCGTGCACAACGTCACTGACGGACTCGCGATCGGCGCCTCGTTCTCGGCCGGAAGCACCCTCGGATGGGTCACCACTCTGACCGTCTTGCTCCACGAACTGCCGCATGAGGTCGGCGACTTTGCCATTCTTGTACAGTCCGGATTCTCCAAGTACAAGGTGAGTAGAAGTTGTGTAGGAAAATCTAGGAAAATGAGTATTTTCTATGCACACAATCGTTGCAGGCGATCCGAATGCAAGTGGTAACCGCCCTCGGGGCGATCACCGGCTGCATCTTCTCGCTCATCGTCTCCGATCCGGGACAGTTGAATGACGGAGCCGACACGGGTGCGATTATGCCGTTCACTGGTCAGATTTCAGCAAAATGACATGTCCTTCAATTTCCCCCCTTTGCAGCCGGCGGATTCATCTACATTGCGACGGTTTCGGTGATTCCGGAGCTTCTCGAGTCGGGCGATCACAATAATCTATCGAAAGTGGCGAAAATGGCGCAGAGTTTGGTGCATCTGACGGCCATTTGTATGGGCGTCGGAATGATGTACATTGTCAGTTTGGTTGAGTGAGAATGGTAAGGAAACTGGAGGCAATGCATGAACTTGTGATATTTTTGAGCTCAGAAACTCAAAAAATTGTGCAAAATATCTATTCCAATCTTCTCTTCTTTTTTGGAACAAGTACCCCTTCTCCCCTTGTGTCATATTTTCCGCATATTTCATCAGAACACTTTCACAACTTCCTCCCCGCAAGTACGATGACGTCTTTTGCAACGTCTTCTGACGCCTGTCAACTCAATTTTCCTCTTCTTCTCCGCTCCATCTACTATGCAGTAATTTGAATTTAGGGGCGAGAGAAGCCCGCGGAGAGTGTAATATGACCGAGGACATCTGCTCTTGTTGCTATTTTGAGCGAGCGCAAAGAGAAGCGAAATAAGCGTTGTGCTCTCAGAGACTCTCAGAGGAAGGCTTTCGCAACAAGTGAGCCGATAGAGTTTGCAAAACGACGTCATGGTTTAGCAGACATCACGTCATGGGAGGTCTCTTCCTTCTTCTCGTCTGGGCTTGTCTTTATTGTCTATCTGCGGTCTCTTCATTGATGACCATTCTCTCTCTCCCTCTCTCGGCGCCGTGTGCCTCTTCTCGTCCGCGCATCTCTAATTCCCCCACTATTTCCTACTCGATGCTCATTGCTCGCTCTTGTTTCGTCTCATTTCCTCTCGTTTTGCAAAAGGAGAGAAAGTGAGAACTGAGGAATAAACAACACAACACGCATCGCATTGCCATTGTGAGTGTGTGTGCCTTTGCTCTTTCTAAAGAGATCTGTATGCTTGGGGTGGGCTGCGTGTGAGAGTTGTGACGTCAAAGATTTTGTAGAGGATCAAAGAGATGACGAGGAGCCACGCCCGGGGTTGTATAAATAGATTGGGGTTTTATCGTTTTTTTTTTTGAAATAGTGTAGCAAATTTCTCTTGTAAAAGTGCAGCTCTATTTCTTGTATTTCTTGTATCTGTTTGCTCTGGTAAACCCGTTTCAGTCTAGGTCTAGTTAGTTTTGAGTATAACAGGTTAGATTGTATGCTAACCAGTTATAATAAAAATAACTAGAATTGTCTGAAAACGATTTACCCGAGTGGAAGGAGATGAGCTTAATTATTCAAAATGAAAATGTTTCAGATCTCCAAAAACTACATAACACACACACATCAATTTCCGGCTCATAATATTTAGAAATTTATATTCATTTCTGATTTTTGTCCGTAAACGATGCCATCTTTTGGTGCGTTGCCTTCGAACAATTTGAATTTCTTCCTCCCCTTCTAACCGCACAAATACATAAACAAATGTTCGAGAATCATCGTTCCCTCGCGCATGTGATCTCCCTCTCTCTATTTCTCTCTTCCCCGTTCCCTCCATCTCTCGCCCTTGATATTGTGTTGTAATAACCGAAAGATCGCAATAAATCTATTGTTTTCTCTCGTTTTGCGCCGTGTTTAGTTCGATGCGGACAGGTTTGTGTTTCCGGTGATTTCAATGACTCACTTCCGATTAAAATAACAATTTCCCCCCGGCCTTATCAATAAGAAACAATCTTTTTCACATCTCTCGTTTGTTTGTATTTAACTTTGAAATGTTTGTTTGCTTCGATGTCTTCCTTTTTATCACCGTCTCTTCGCAATTTTCAGCAAAATTTCAGACAAAATGAACCAGCCATCGACGCTCGGAATCGCCGACGCTCGACCGAAAACCAACGTTCGGTTGACTATTTCGGCAAAGTTTGTCTTTATTTTTGAAAATCTGCAAAATACTGAACATAATTTCAGCAATCTAATGGACATGGACGTCTTCTCGAAATCCGATCCATTCTGCCTCGTATACGAGCGAATCCGAGGCCGCAAAGCGACGACGAACACGGAAATCACGGTGCCGACGTGGCAGGACGATGATTGGGTCGAACGGGGCCGGACCGAAGTGGTGATGAACAATCTCAATCCGCAGTTTCAAAAAACCTTCCTGCTGCCCTACTTTTTCGAGGAAACCCAATTGTTGCGGTTTGAAATGTGAGCAAAGGACGTTAGACTTTGGGACCAATTTTGCACTGTTATCAGTCTTGGTTTGAAGTGTTTACCTTGAAAGTTTCAGCAAATGCAGAAAATCGCTCCGCTTTCTTAAAAAGAACGATGTTTTTTTGCAGTTACGACGCCGACAGTGTGAATGTCGGAACCAAAATGTCGCAGCACGACTTCCTCGGCCGATACGAATGCGTTCTCGCCCAAATTGTCAGCTATTCGACGCTAAAAGCGCACCTCGGGAAAAAGGGACAAATCGGTGCAATGTGGAGGAATAAGTGAGCGTTTTAGCGAGAAAAAACCCAGTAATTTTGTGTGTGTTTTAGGGACAAAAACACAAAAACCGGCACGATTACGATTCGCGCCGAAGAGGACGAAAAGAACGAGCTGGTGCAGTTCGACGTGCGCGGAGAGGGTCTTGACAAGAAAGATTTCTTCGGAAAATCCGACCCCTATCTGAATTTTAAACGGAAATTCGATGATGGAAGGTGAACACTGCAATTTTCTGCTTCAACTTGTGCTCTTAGCAGTTGAAAACATTTGCTATCACTGATAAAATCAAATTACCACTTTTTTCTAGACCAACAGCAGATTTTTCATTAAATGTCCCTGTAAAAGATGAATAAATTGCAGTAACCACTTGGTGCATCGTACGGAAGTCAAGCCGAAAACCCTGGACCCCCGATGGAATACGATCGCTATAAATACACAATCTCTGTGTGGAAAAGATGGGGATCGGTAAGATTTTACCGATTTTTTCTTAATTTACATTCATTTTTTCAGACCTATCATAATCGAGTGCTACGATCATGACAAGTGGAAAAAGTGAGTGAAAAATTTGATTTTTCAGCTTTTAGAGCTTGCTTTTTCCGGAAAACGTAGCTAGCTGTATTGTGAACGTCGTGGTGGTGGTGAATTTGCTATATTATTACCCCTTCCACCTTTCTACTATCTTGCGTTCATTTTCACGCCCACCATATCGTTTAGGGGTGAAGAGCCGCGCGGTGAAGCCAAATTTTCTAGAGACGATCTTATCGGGACCGCTCAAACGACGCTCAACGAGATGTTGACGGCCGCCAACGGAGAGACACTCGAGATCAATGTGAGCAATGTTGCTTTTTTGAAAAATTTAAAATTTAACTAGGATCACTCATTCAGAAAACTAGTAATGAACCGATTTGTCACGTAAAAAACCGGTTAAAAACGAAAAAGTCTGTTTCTTATTCTTTAGAAGGGTCAGAATCAACTGTTTTAGCTGGATTTCAAATTACAACAATATTCTCGCTAGATTTGCACGTTTACAACCCATCGACTTACAGCTGATCAACGAGAAAAAGAAGGCGAAAAAAGGGGACAAGTACAAAACGTCGGGAACAATCAAGATTTGCAACTCGCGAATAATCGTCGAGCCAACATTCCTCGACTTCATCTCGGGCGGCACCCAATTGGACTTCTCGGTGGCCATCGATTTTACGGCGTCGAACGGAAACGTCAAAAACGCGAATTCCCTTCACTTCATGTCGGCCGATCGACCGAATCAGTACGAGATTGCACTGAGGTTCGTTGCAAGTGTGTTTTACAATATTTCTCAGCGACCCACGATTCCAGAGCGGTCCTGAGCATCTGTCAGCACTACAACTCGTCGAAAACGTTCGACGCGTACGGATTCGGCGCCAAACTGCCCGGCGAGCAGAGAGTTTCGCCGATTTTCCCGCTCGACGTCCTTAACAGCACGTCTTCGGTCGTCGGCATTCAGGGAGTGATGAACGCGTACCGACACGCACTCTCCAACGTGCAATTGTACGGGCCCACCAACTTTTCGCCGATCATCGAACACGTCGCCTACAGAGCGCAGGGAATGATGAGCACCACGCAGAGATATCAGGTGAGGTGAAATTTGTGAAAAACTGACGGTCTCTGTTTTGCAGATTCTACTCATCATCACCGACGGAATCATTTCGGATATGCACGCAACGATTCGATCGATCATCAATGTGAGGCAAACTTTTTCGGAAAATCAGACACAATTTGATGTTTTTCTGTTCAAAAATCGATACGTTTAGGCCTCCGGACTGCCTCTCTCGATCATCATCATCGGTGTGGGAAATGAGGATTTCGAGAAGATGCACGAGCTGGACAGCGACGATGCCCTTCTCCAGCAGGACGCCCGCATCGCCCAGCGAGACATTGTGCAGTTTGTGACGATGCGCGACTTCCTCAACAACGGAAAAGGCCTCTACCTGGACCCGGAGCTGGTGATGGAGAATCTGGCGAGAGAGGTGCTGTACGAGGTGCCCGCACAACTGACCGGCTACATGAAACAACGCGGCTTCCAACCGCGGACCGCCCAAGATCCGTGGAATCGAGACTCGCCGCCGCGCGACTACGATCCAGCCATGGACAATACTTTTGGGCAGAAGAGGACGGCAATTGTGACAGGTATTTCCAGCTCAGCTTTTGAAAAAGCTGTCAAATGCAAATTTCCAGCACCGCCAGCACCAGGTGCTGAGTTCCAGCGGCCACCGTATCCAGTACAACCGGAACTTCCACAGGCATCCGCACCGCCCATGTATTAACCCGCAACTTCTGTTTTATCCCTCTTGTAACAAGGGCTGGCAAAAACCAAAGTTTTTGACCCGGTTCCAAACTTTCCAGACTTCTTACACTATAACCCGATCACTCTGGAACAGCCCTTGACATAATATTTCGAATAGCTTTTGAAGCTTTTTCTCGTACAAAATCCTATAACGTCGCCATGATCTACCTCGGTTTCCGATCCCTTTTCACACAATCACTGACCGACACTTTCCGCTTTCTTTCCATTGTTCTCTTCAAATTTTTCAGTTTTCTCTCAGGACCGCCGGAATGATTTCGACCTGAAATAACATGAATGTATTGAAAATTCCCTGCTATCTTCTGTTGTTTATTTGCAAATATTCACGTCAAGAACAAGTTTCGGAAGATGAAAATGGGAAATAGTTTGTGCCGGTCCTCGGGTACTCAAACATTGAAATTCTGTTCAGAAAGGGATCTGCAACTTTGATTCGGATGCTTTTTACCTGTTTTTGGGTTAAAAAGCCATGAAATGATGTTCATTGACGTCGAGCACAACAGATCTGACTTGTTGCATTTTTCACGGTTTTCCGAAACCGCATTTTTCATTTTGCGCATTCTCGAATAGTCTTGATCGTGCGGGACAATCAACAAAAAACGTGGTGCCTCCAAAAAAAGAATACCTTTTCCACACGTGCTCCAGTGGCTCCCGCCCAACTCAACTCAATATTCAGTTTCTACAATTGTTTTCCGAACGAACGGACGTTCCGATTTGTTTGACAAGTCTTGAACAAGAATCAAAGTGCGGTTGATGTGTATGACAGAATCCAACGAAAATTCGAGACATTCTTCAGCAATCCATCGAAAAATGCAACGAAGGAGAGTGAGCCGAACGGTAGTCAACCAGCAGGAGGACGGAACCTCGCGGAAAGTGAGCAAGAAGCCGTCGGAGGACCGGCTCGACGAGGAGAAGAAAAAGAAGCCGGGCATGCTGAGAAAACTCGGATTCAGTGAGTCCATCCCGAGTTTTTCGCTTGACATCCTTGTCGAATGGCGACTGAAGGGCCAAAGAAAATTAGAAATAGAACCAATATCCACGAGAATGTGATAATCTAGCCGAATTTCAGCATTACACGTTCTCCAGAGCTGTCAATGGACGCAAGTGCGCCCCGCCCAATAGAGCGATACATTGGCGCGAAGTTCAAATTTTACCAGCAAAATTTGTGTTTTTTGCCAGATTAGCCACGAAAAACCGATAATTTCTCATTTTTCTCTCGATAGACCGATTGTATAGGCTGTTACGAATTTTTTAAGCGAAAAAGCGTCAAATTTGATCAAGTCGCAAATCACATTTATCCGTTTGAAGGTTTTTGGCTAAAACTGCGTGAATTACAGTTGCTTTTCGGTAATTTTTGCTGTTCGAGCGCTCAGAATTCTTGTATTTACGTAATTTATCATTCTCAAAACCAATTCTGCCTGAAAACGGTCAAGAAAGCGCAAAATGAGAAGTGCGGTTTTTAGGCGGCGATCGGCGGCGAAGGCGAAAAAGCAAAGTCCGCGAAAATGCGTCAAAACGTCATTAATTCTGAGAATTAGTGTGTTTTCATGTCGAACATGCATTTTTCATCGCCGTTGACCACAAAAATCAGAGAAAACCTGCTCAATTCATAAAAACGCCACTTGGCCGCCGCGGCCACGCCCATATTGTCAGCTCTGGAGACCGTGAATTAACTCATGTAAAAAAAAAAAAAAAAAAATCATAGATTATATCAAGCTTCTTGTTTGTCGTTTGTTGTTTGTTGTTTTTGCCGTGGTCGACATCTTTTTTGTTTGCAGTTTTGCACCCGGACAAGCAGGACACTGGCAGCACGCTCAAGAGGAAGAAGCCGAAAAAGGGAACGGATCGGAAGCGACGATCGACGTCGGCCATTTGGAATCCGGACAAGAAGGTTCACTTCAACATTGACCGGCCGCATTCGACTATTCCCGTTAGTTATCGCTACTTTTTTTTCCAGACAACTTATTGATTTCTCTGGCATTTCGTTATAAATCTAACGGCGGCCTAATAAGAATAAATTGTCTAGATAGATTAATAAATCTTCTAGCTAGATTAATAAGTGCTCAAATCAAGTTTCACGCCAACCGTCTGCTGGTACAAATCTCGATTGCGCCAAGAAAAAACAGTCGAATCTAATTATTTAGGTCGCGTTTAGATCAGTAACTTTCTAATTAGATTAATATCGAATTGACAGAGTCATTATTCGTTTTCCAGCTCAAAGGCGACCCAATATCGGACATACAAAAGAAGGTGTTTGTGAAATTCGCGCAGGAAGCCGTCAAAAAGAGTCCGCCGGAGTACGCTGCAGAGTTCGCGGCGAAAGTGAAGCCGTACGTCGGATTGCCGATCGAACGGAAGGTGTTCGACGCGAATCCGACCAAGAACCGCTACAAAGGTACCGAAGAGACCTCCGCGACGTTTTATACCAGCAGTGACATTTGTGTGAAACGTCGCGGAGCCGAAAGGCGACGGAAACGGTTTCTCATGCGGCTTTCAGATGTGGTGTGCAACGACGTGACGCGAGTGATCCTGAACGACGGCTACGAGGGCGACTATATCCACGCGAACTACGTGAACGGTCTGAATGCGCCGTTCATCCTCACGCAGGGCCCCACGCCGACGACGATCGTCGACTTTTGGCGCATGCTCGTGCACACAAAGACCGCCTACGTCGTGATGTTGTGCGAGGTGATCGAGGACGGAAAACCGAAATGCGGACAGTACTGGCCGGACAAGGCGGGCGAGATGGCCACTTTTGGGGTGTGGAGTGTGACGTGTGTGGGCGAGGACGAGAAGGACTCGAACATTATCAAGAGGAGCCTTTTGGTGAAGAACGGCGACAGCGGCAAGGAGCACATGCTCAAGCATTTGCACACCAAATCATGGTCAGTTCAGAGATTGAATCACAACTTTTTTTTTCATTTCAGGCCGGACAAATCGGTGCCCAACTCGACGCTCTCCCTGCTCCGCATGCTCTTCATGGTCCGCACGTCGCCTGGTCCCGTCACCGTCCACTGCTCGGCCGGAATCGGTCGCACTGGCACTTTTGTCGCCATGGAAGCGTGTCTGCAGGTGCTCACCGACGGAAAGGAACTCGATTTGTTGGCTGTCGTCAGAGCGCTCAGAAGTGGGGAGTCGATGAAAAAGTGAATAAAAATGCGCCTCATTGCCTTCAGACAGTCGTGCCGGAAGTGTTCAAGTGGACATTCAGTACATGACACTCGTCCAGATGGTCATCAACTACGGAAAGGACAACGGATATTGGGAGGATAGGGATCTGGACGATGTAAGAGTTTTGGCTTTCACCCTTGCAACCAATGGTTTCTTTCAGCGCGTCGAACTGCTCACCTGGAACATCCAGCAGTTTATTCAGTCGCGCGGAAAGGTTGATCATCTGATGGCCACGCCGTCCACTCCGAACCTCGTCGTGGTCCCAGCTGCTCCGACTCCACCCCTTCCGGCGCCAGTCCATGCGCCAACACCTCAACCGACGTCGCCTGCGCCGGCACATGTTATTCCATACCATCCTGCTCCTGAGAAGAAGATTGTAGTGGCTGTCAAGAAGAAGAAGGAGAAGGATGTGAACAGAGACAGGGAAAGGGAAAAGGAGAAGGAGAAGGAGAAGGAGAGGGAGAAAGAGAAGGAGAAAGAGAAGGAGAAGGAGAAAGAGCATCCAAAGGACTATGAGAAAGAGTACCAGAAGGAGTACCAGAAAGAATATCAAAAGGAAAAGGAAAAATCGAAAGAGGAGCCGGTTCAAGCACCAATAGTCACCAGGGACTCGTCCGAGGAGAACGACGAGCCGGAGGAGCCGCCCAAGATCATTGTGCCAGCGCCGCAGCAGAAACCGGAGCCGATAGTCAAGGATCCGATGGCTCCGAAGGACGACGACGGCACCGCCACCGTCCTCCCGCTCCTTCCCACTCCTCTTCCGCCGATCTCTTCCCCGGCGACGACACCTCCGTCGCCGCCGCCGCCGCCGCCGCCGAAACCGAACGGACCAGCGGAGAACGAAATAATGAACCCGGCGGTGGCGAAGAAGTCGAGCGAGAAGCCGAACAAGCAGAGTGCGGAGAGGCCGAATCTGTTGAGAAAGGTCAGTTTAAACACTTAATTAGTGAACACACTGAATCAGACGGCTTCATTCGGTTCTTGATACAGTAATATAGTACGGTTTCACTACATTGTGAAAATATCGTCAAATTTGCCAATTTTGATAATGCAAACGGTTGTTTTCAGAACCGCAGTCAGTACTTTATGTGATCATCCTTCCCGTCCGAATGTCCTTTTTGGTGTCTTGTAAATGAAGTTTTGTTTTTTCGAATTTATTGGATTTATTGAGTCAAGTATAGTTTTTTAACAGAGTTGCCACGGGCCGGGCCGGGCCGAAATTTTCAAAACTCCGGCCCGGCCCAAAATGTTTGTTTTTCGTAGAACTAACGAATTTTGCAAGTATCGAGCATAAAAAAGAAATGTAGGCTAAAGAGCGCGCGCGACCGTAATGTCGGAGTGTCATAGTTTTTTTTAAAATTTTGATCCCCGCAAAAAAAAAACGAAAAAAATAGATTTCCCCCAAAAATTTGAATTCGCGCCTTTTGAGCCGGGCCGACCGGGCCAGCAAATTTTCGGCCCGTAATTTGGCAAGTCTGTTTTTTAAGGCCGTTATCTATCTGATAACGTGTTCCAGAATGATGAAATGACATCCAACTCGATGCCGCCCGTCCATCGACGAAAAACAAGTTCAAAATGGTGAAAACACTTCCAAATTGTGCTCTCCTGTTTCTGCTCCTCGTCATAGGTCGGTTTTAATCGCAACTTTTTGATACAACCATTTTTTCGTCAAAAGGACTGACTCAATGTGAACAGAGGGACGAGGAAGAAGTGGAGAAAAAGAGCCGGACGGCGGACATCGTCTCGAACATTGCCTACTTCCACATGCTCGGCTGCTATGCGAGTGCCGGACACAAGAATCCGCTGAACAGTTTGTTGCGATTGGTAAAAGACCGTTTCCAACTGGCCGGCTCCCACTTGGGCATGCTTTCAGAGCCTCGACGAGTCGCTCTACCCGTACGCCAAGTACCGTGCGGCCGCGTGTCTCTCCGACCGCCGTCTCTCGGTCCGCCACAATATCACCGAGGTGTTTCTGGTCAGTGACATCGAGAAGAGCCAGCTGAACGCAAAAGCTCGCGAGCGAATGCGCACCGACTCGGACGCCTTTCTCGAGGTCAATGAGCAGGTGAATGAGCAGTCGCTGTACGACTCGAGAAACAAGGCGAGACTCATTGCAGGCGAGACTCATGCACGCCGCCTTTTACACCGATCAGTTCGGATTGGTGTTCGACAACGAGACGATGACGGAGAAGGCGGTTGTGGGACAGGCTCTCGACGGCACGTTCCGCTTCGGATGCGATATGAGTGTGTGCAAGGAGGACGGCAAGCGCAAGGCCATCACTGTCTGCCACTTTGTCAGGGGGTATGTCATCGCGAATCGAACGGACCACCACATCATGATCACTCAGAGTCCCAACTCCTCGCAAAACCATCACTAAAGCTGAAGCCGAGCGGCGTACCAAAGCGGAAAAGACCGATTCCTCTTCTTTCTCTCTCTTCTCTCGATCCCTTTCTGTGATCCTTTTCTTATCGGTTTCAATGAATTGATTATAAAGAAATTTTATTACAAGTCGTACTTGAATATTATTAGTCAAGAGTTCCTGGGATCTTGAAGAAATTCTCCAAGAACGAGGCCGCGACCATTGGCTTCGTCTCCTCGACTTCTGGCACATTTTCCGCGTTGCTGCTCGACGCCATGAGTGGATCTATCAACGGGAATCCACCCAACAACGTCGTCAAAAAGTCCGAACCGGGCTGCTCGCTGTCAGCCTCCATCTTCTTCACCTTGCTTCGTCTGACACGTGGCCGAATGTTGTCATTTCGCATATGAATCGGTCGTGGAATCCCGTGATTCTTCGCGTAGAGTCCACACGAATTGCACAACAGGTTGCGGAGATGGTCACGTCTCCAGGCGGACGTCTTCTCGGTTTGACAATTGGTGCATCTGGCCTGCTTTTCGCTGCTTCCAGATGGGCTAGCGGCGAAAACCGTTGTAGTCGCCTCCAGAACTTTCGAATCTTCCGGAGAAGCGTCAGACGATACGCGTTTGCTGAGCTCCTCCACTTGTGCTTCAAGAAGCGCAATCTTGGCCAGCATTGATTTTGTTATCTGGAAAAAAGAGCACAGTTATAGATAAAAAACACCTGGTAAAATGAACACTAACACGGCCTCCAGAGCTGACAATGGGCGCAAGTGCGCCCCGCCCAATAGAACGATACATTGGCGCGAAATTCAAATTTTAACAGCAAAATTTGTGTTTTTTGCCAGATTAGCCACGAAAAACCGATAATCTCTCATTTTTCTCTCGATAGACCGATTGTATAGGCTATTACGAATTTTTTAAGCGCAAGAGCGTTAAATTTGGTCAAGTTTGAAGGTTTTTGGCTAAAACTGCGCGAATTTCAGTTGCTTTTCGGTAGTTTTCGCGGTTCGAGTGCTCGAAATGCTTGTATTTACGTGATTTATCATTCTGAAAACCAATTCTGTCTGAAAACGGTCGAGAAAGCGCAAAATGAGAAGTGCGGTTTTTAGGCGGCGATCGGCGGCGAAGGCGAAAAAGCAAAGTCCGCGAAAAATGCGCAAAAACGTCATTAATTCTGAGCATTAGTGTTTTTTCATGTCGAACAATCATTTTTCATCGCCGTTGACCACAAAAATCAGAGAAAACCTGCTGAATTCATGAAAACGCCATTTGGCCGCCGAGGCCACGCCCATATTGTCAGCTCTGGAGACCGTGTACTAAGAATAGTTTGTCAACTTACCTCATTGAGATTTTCCTGAAGGTCTTTGCACTGAAGACAATTTTGATGAGCGGCCGACATAGTTCTAAGATTTGAGAGAGTCGTGAGAACTGAGAATCGATCAATGATAGAAAGAGAAAAGTGGTAGGAAGGAGGAAGATGAGTGAATGAATGAATGAATGAGGAGGAGGAGGAGGATGACTGTATATATATATGGCGCTCATGTGAACATGTGCGAGGTCAGATCAATAATAGGGGAGCTCGACGAGCAACCAGTAAACTAGCTGGACAATAGCACATTACGGCGGGCCCAATTATTAGTCAACAAGTTACAGTTTCGTCGTCGTTTATTCGAAATACTGCTCATGGAAAAAGATGTCACGATGAATAGCTAAAAATCAGAATCTCGAGACGATGTGGTGGTGGCTAACATTTGTCGAGGTGTTCTCCGGAAGATTAGAAGAAGTGTAGGCGGAGAGGTCTTCTGGAAAATTTAATTTTTTAGAGAATCTGAAAAAAAGGGTATATGACCCACTGATTTTGATGCGACGACAGATGGTTTGAGTGAATTCGTTGTTGAAGCTCAGAGTGATTATTCTGCAAGGAAAATGCGGGTGCTAGGCGGTTTTTTGTTGGTGAAGACAGACCCATCAATCATGTGAACACAGACCCAGGCGACGGTGGAGAGGAAGAATCGGAGCCAACGCTCAGTTCCGTCGACTCTCGGAGTGATTATGAAGTAGGTGATGAGTTCGCAGACAAAAACAAAGGCTTGGAGACACGCCTGCTTCAGAAAGTTCATCTCGCTGCTCTTTCGCTTTGACTGCGCTTGTGACACGGTTTTTGAGAGCTACAATATTAAATATATGCGGTTTCCGTACCACTTTCCTACGTGAGCCTTGAAATGTCGGACTTTCGACACGGTAATCACGTCGATGATCACAATTGTGAGAACGATCGAGTTGTACTTGAGAAAGTCGGCGTACCAGACGATTGTATTGCAGACGGGCGTGTTTTTGAAGGTGAACACCCAGAAATCTTCGATATAGTAGAAGTTGCAATCGTCTGAAATTGGCCAGAACATGTGTTTTAAAAGGTTTAAGATTACTGTAGACATAAAGGTAGAAAGTGGGAAGAATGGCGAGCGCCCAGGAGAACATTATGAGCTTTTTGGTGTTGGACATGCTGAAATTCGGCTTCCAGAAGTTAAAAACAAACAAATAAAGTCGTGGTGGTACCTGAAAATCGTTTCGTATTTGATCGGCGAGACGATCGAGCAGAAGCGGTTGATCGAGATGCAAAAATGGGAATAAGTGGAGATGTCGTAGGCGATGAGAAGCAAATGACCGCAGTGAATCGAGTACTTTTTCAGGACGTCAATGTTGCTGAACACACAATTTCTGAAATCGACGATTGGCATGAGCGACTCACAAAAGACACATGGGCACAAAGTAAAAGGCGAAGAGGGTGGAGTGAAGCGCGTCGCCGACCGATTGAGAAGCGGTCAGACGGCCGAACGAGTTATTCAGCGACGGAAGTTGGCGGATGAGCAGGGCGACCGTCCAGTTCGCCACCACTCCGATCAGAGACAGCTGCAAATGGGGGATTGTTAACACATTCGGTTTTGACTTTCTTAAAACGAGGTCTCTATCGATTCATGTACGCCTGGTTTAAGTCTCAGGAGAAACGGTAAGCCGCACGGGCCGGCAAAGCATACGGAGGAGTGGAAATTGTGAAGCTGTAACTTCTCTCAGAAACCTTACGATTACCTCTGACCTGGCTCATTTTAAAGAACGCAGTAAAATTGAACTCTTATCAAAAAATCAGAGGTCCCTAGCAGAGTTGAGCGGAAGAACACGGAAGAATTTTTATCTTTTTTAGAAAATTTTTTCATGAAATGTGATCAATTGACGAAATGTATAGCAAATTGAATTCTGTTCATAGAAAAATAATTTTAAATTTAGCTTTTCATACAAAAAAGTTATTCGAGTTGTTCCGTGAAAAAAGAGGGCTGACATTTTCACGGAACAACTTTTTTGTATGAAAATTTAAATTTAAAATTATTTTTCTATGAGCACAGTTCAGTTTGCTATACATTTCGTCAGTTAATCAAATTCCATGAAAAAATTTTCTAAAAAAGATAAAAATTCTTCCGTGTTCTTCCGCTCAACTCTGGTCCCTATGTTCGATTTCTGGAGATATATTGAAAAAAAAGGCGGGCCGTGAAGCCACGCATTTGGAGAAGTTTTCAGAGTTCCAGTCCGATGCAGAATGTCCCTGGAAATAGTCTGAAAAACTGTCATCATTTTTTACGATCCCTTTATCGGACGTGAACCAATTTCTTACTGTCTCGCACGTTTTTATCAGTTTTCAGCTATCATCACCTGTTTCAACAGCTTCATATAAAGCTTCTCAAAGTTTGGAAATGGGATAACTGTTTTTTGGATAACCTAGTCTATGCGGCTTACCGGTAAAACAATGAGAGCAGCGGTTTGTTCGTCTTTTAGCATGTTCCTTCTCGCAAAAAACAACCAACACACCTGTAAGCGAAAATGGCTGTGACGGAGAAGCGAAAAAAAAAAGAGCAATTTTCTACTCTATTCATCGGCCCAACTAACTAAAAAAGTCGGGGGGAAAAATACAGAGAAACTGACTCAGTCTCGCCATTTTTATACTCTTCAATTTGAATGGCCGGGATTAGGCGCGCGGGAAATGTTCAAGAAATCAGTGTTCCACGGCCCGGCAAGTATGGCAAAACAAGAGTGTAGTTGAGAAGACGTTAGGAAGGCTCAAGAGAAAACGAATAAGGACGAGTGTGATGGAGACAATAGAATTATGGCAAAATATTGTTGGATTAGGATTAGGGTAAAATGGGTAGAAGGGGGGGCATAACGCGCTTATTTGGAACATCAGGCTGCTCATTGGCGAGACGATCACAACTGAATTGTTCGCGAAGAAAATAAGGCGGTTTCGCTGGATCCCATGCGAATTGGAGCCGCAAATATGGTAAAGCGCTAGAATGATATCAGCGCTATACGAACTCACTCACCAGGGAAACCTTTTTTGTCTCATTTGGAAAATTCTGAAAACAAATCGAGGTGGTACTATAAGAGCGCTATAGTTCGGTGTCATCGGACATCAAACATCTCGCCGGATTTCATGACGCATCACTGAATAATATATTTACAATAGTACAAAAATGGGCTTGTTTACAGGCTTGGCTCAAAATATCGAACTTTTTGGGTCTCCAAATCCGACTGAAACTTTAGAACCCTCTGTCGGATACGTGACAGTTTACTTTTTTTTTTTAAATTGATCCAAACATCGAATTCACACTGGCTTCCATCATTTTCATCAAAAATGCCGCCAAAAGCCAGTAAGTCCTGCTCTCGTCTTTCGGGGACCACAATATTCTTTTATTGCAGAAGCGTCGGTGGCGAAAAAGCGGCCGAGTCGCGGAAAAACGCGGAAGAGCAAGGCGACAAAGACGAAGACGAAGGCGACGAAACGGAACACGAAGGCGAAGAAGAGAAAGGACAAGTACAGGCAGAAGTGGGTCACCTATCGTAGAAAATTTACAGTTTCACCATTACCACTTTTATAGGTCAATTAATAGTAGAACTGATCTCATTCTAGTAGGAATTGTCACTTTCAGACCAGAGTTGAGCGGAAGAACTCACGGAAGAATTTTTATCTTTTTTAGAAAATTCTTTCATGAAGTGTGATCAACTGACGAAATGTATAGCAAAGTGAACTGTGCTCATAGAAAAATAATTGTAAATTTAGCTTTTCATACAAAAAAGTTATTCAAGTTGTTCCGTGAAAAAAGGGCAAACGAATAACAACTCGCGTAACGTTTTTGTATGAAAAGCAAAATTTACAATTATTTTTCTATGAGCACAATTCACTTTGCTATACATTTCGTCAGTTGATCACATTCCATGAAAAAATTTTCTAAAAAAGATAAAAATTCGTCCGTTTTCTTCTGTTGAGTTCTTCCGCTCAACTCTGTTTCAGACAACGAAAAGAGCGCAAAAAGACGGAAAAAGCGAAGAGAACTGCGCGAAAAGCGACGAAGAAGACGAAAAAGTCGAAGAATACCAAAAAGAAACGAGGTGGGTTCGAACTTTTGAGAACTGTTTCAAATCTTCAATATTTAACTTTATTTAAAGACAAATCATTAGTCTTTGGAAAATGCTAAACATCCTCAATATTTCAAACAAAAAACAGTACTTCAGCTCCGAAAAAGGTGGCTCCGAAACCAGTGGCTCAAAAACCGAAACAAGAAGAGCAAAGTGAGGAGGAGGGAGAGGGAAATGAGGAAACTGTGAAGATGCGATTCATTGGTCTCTCTGGTGAACTGCTTGCTCTGAAAAAACACTCTGAACGAGCATTTCAGTGAATCAAATGCAAGATTTGCGCAAAAAAGTGATCGAATTGTCGAAGGAGGCGTTTTTGGAGCAGATTAAGGTGAGCTTTGGTTTTTTCCCGAACATTTCTACATGAAATTCCATCCAGACCTACACGGAGCATCGTCGTGACGAGGCCAAGTTCCAGGCGGCGTACATGGGAACGCCCGAGAACCGGACCAAACTGTTTTTCGACTCGGAAAAGCCCACCGACTCGTCTGCGGGACCGTTTCAATCGAATCGCTTCGGTGCGATTTTCTTGCTCCCCGGACAGCAATGAACTTTTGTTGTTTATTCTCCTTATGCTGAGTTTCATCAGGCAAAAGAGGCAAAAATAATTTTTATATCAGATTGCTGTTACGGTAAAGTGATGTCTGATGATTTCACGATTTGAGGCTCCGTTTTCTTTTCTTTTGTCTGAAAACTTGCGGTCGTTGTTGCTTCATGTGATCTGTTCGGATCCGAGAATATCTTTCTTGAAAAGAGACGTTCTCGGTCCAAAAATTCATTGTCGAACAACCGAGAAGCGCTCATTCATTTTTGTACGCACTTTGAACCCATCTCTTTATTTGCCTGTTCTCTTATCACTTTCAACAAACACCGAGATATAGTGTCGTCCTCTCGAAACGTTCATAAGATCATAGGTATGAAGACTTTTCATGTTTCACATTTTTCCAAAACAAAAAGTGTCAAAGTGGAAAGAAACGCGGGCGGTCGAATAATTTGTGATGTGTGTGTGTATGTGTGACACATTTTCCGTCAGATTGCAGTGAACAATCAATGTATATCTCTAGTGGCTCTCAGAGCAAAAATTAGAGCAAACAGTCCGTCGAGCGGTGGTGGCAAGAGAGAGAGAGAGAGAGAGAGAGAGAGAGAGAGAGTACTCAGGATTTTCCGCATTTCACCTCCTCCTCCTCAGACACATACCTTCTTCTTTTATGCGAGTGAGCGAAGCGTTTTTGAACTTTTCGATCATTCCTTTTTCGATATTCGAACCAATCGGATCATCTGGACTGATTTTATGTGTTTTATGTCGACTAGAGCCCTAAAAGCAAAGTAGAATTGAAGATAGGAACCAGAGTTGAGCGGAAGAACTCAACGGAAGAATTTTTATCTTTTTTAGGAAATTTTTTCATGAAATGTGATCAACTGACGAAATGTAGAGCAAAGTGAACTGTGCTCATAGAAAAATAATTGTAAATTTAGCTTTTCATACAAAAAAGTTGTTCGAGTTGTTCCGTGAAAAAGGGGGGCGAACGGAAGACGGAAGGAATAACTTTTTTGTATGAAAAGCAAAATTTAAAATTATTTTTCTATGAGCACAGTTCACTTTGCTATACATTTCGTCAGTTGATCACATTCCATGAAAAAATTTTCTAAAAAACATAAAAATTCTTCCGTGTTCTTGCGTTGAGTTCTGTGAGAAACATCGGATAATCCGTTGAGATCCCGAACGATAATCGATAATATAATTACGTCTCGTCTCGCTCCGTGTAAAACCGATGGATGTTCCAGAATCAGCAGACCGAATCAACAGACGTGTCTATTTATGATTTATGGAATATTGTTGGCTAATACTACACATTTCGCTGCTTCTGACACTCGGAAAAGATGCGAGCAAGACTGAGGGTGAGTACGAACAAGTTGCAGCCAAAACAAAACAATCAATCATTTTAGGCGATCTCTATACGGAACTGCTAGCCGACTACGAGCCACTGGAGCGTCCGATTGAGAACAGTTCGGAGGCGGTTCTTGTCCGAATGGGACTCGTCCTTCAACAAATTGTCGACGTCGACGAGCGCAACCAAGTGGTCGATGTGAATGCGTGGCTCAAGTTCTCCTGGACCGATTACTCGTTGAAATGGGAGCCGGACGAGTACGGTGGTGTCACAGATCTTCGATTCAAGAAGGGACAGTTGTGGACGCCCGACGTGTTGATGTACAATAGTGCGGATCCGCAATTCGACTCGAGATTCGCCTCCAACTTGTTGGTTTATCCGAACGGATTGGTCAATTGGATGCCGCCAGGCCTCTATCGTCTGTCGTGTAAAATCCAAGTGGTCTGGTTTCCGTTCGACGTCCAGGAATGCTTCCTCAAGTTCGGCTCCTGGACCTTCGACGGCACCAAACTGAATTTAGAGATTGATGAGAACGGTTTCGACGTCTCCAATTACATGCAAAACGGAGAATGGACGTTGGAAGGTAAAACCATTGGAAAAGGCCCGATTAACAATAGTGATCATCGATTTTGAAGGCACAACTGTGAAACGGAACATTCAGTACTATCAATGTTGTCCCGAACCTTATTACGACCTCGTATTCACATTTGTGATACGGAGAAGGGCGCTGTATTACGGTACGTGTTTATTATAGGGGCACCGGACAGAAAGGGCGCGCTATTGAGAAGAGCCCGCGAAAACCTGGGGGACTCTAAATTTGAATGGTGTGAGAGGAGAAAGTTAGTCCGCGGCCACGTAGGCTGCTGCAGAAATTTTTGTTTTCCTTCTGTTTTTTCGTTTTCGTTTTAATAAATCGATTGTGTTCTCACCTTTTTCGTAGTGAATTTAATTAATTTTTTCTTTTTCATGTTCGAAATATGCGTTTCTAAACAGATTCAATCAACAGTTTGCGGAAAATAAGAGAAAACATTGACGACGTGCACCATTTTTCGACTGCGATAGCTTTTTATAGGAATTCTAAGGTGAGAACACAATCGATTTATTAAAAAGAAAACGGAAAACAGAAGGAAAACAAAAATTTCTGCAGCAGCCTACGTGGCCGCGGACTAACTTTCCCTTCTCACACCATTCAAATTTAGAGTCCCCCAGGTTTTCGCGGGCTCTTCTCAATAGCGCGCCCTTTCTGTCCGGTGCCCCTATAATAGTTGACATTTCAAATCGAATGCTATTAGACTTGCTGCATTTGACCAATTTGACTGTATTATCGATTTCTTTGCACTTTTTTCCAGCTTTCAACCTCATTCTTCCATGTATTCTGATCACTATGCTCACCCTGGTCGGCTTCACTTTTCCTCCGGACGCCGGAGAGAAAATGTCGCTTCGTAAGCGCGTCTTTCAAAGCATAAAACACAAAACGTTTAGAAATTACGATAATGCTCTCGATTTGCATTTTTCAAAACTACGTCGCCGAGCTCTCGCCGCCAACCTCTGAAGCTGTACCGTTTTTGGGTACGCGTCAATATCGATTTTTTGGTGAAAAACCTACCTAGTTTCCAGGCGCGTTCTTCGCAGTTTGTCTGTTCACATGCGCGTGTTGTGTGACTGCAACCACTCTGGCGCTCAATTTCCATCATCGGACTGGCAAATCGCATGAGATGAGCAATACGGTAGGTGGTATTGTATCACGGCGACCAAAAGTGTAGAAAGGGGCGTGGCCTAATCTGAAACGCGTTTTCTGAAAATTGCCGCAATTCCAGCACACTTTTCCGATATTTTTGTGTTTGATATCGACGAAAGAAGAGCACATTAAAGAGAGAAAACATTGAAATTTTTGTGAAAACGCCGCGTTTGAGACGTTTTTGGCATATTTCGCAATTCGGAATTTTCATACCGGCCGATGTGGATAGTTTTGAGACGAAGTGAGTGTTTCGGAAGTGATTAAGCACGTTAATACAAGTGTTTTAAGCGTTCAAACGGCAAAAAGTATCGGCGAATGACTGAAATTCGCGCATTTTCAGCACAACACTTGAAAATCGATTCAATTGATTCATTTCTGAATGAAACGTGCTCGTTTTAAGCTCAAAAAGTGCGCGCGATGATTAGTTTAAAAAAGTTATTTGGCAATTACATCGTCGAAATCGTACAAAATTTGGGTAATTTTTGACGAAAAACATGAAAAATTTGGTTAAATTTCGAATTACGCGCCAAAATGGTGATAAACCGTGCACGCTAGGCGCCACGCCCCTTTCTACGTTTTTGGTCGCCGTGCTGTAGCACTTGGCTTCTATTTGAAACGTCACTTTTCAAAATGACGCTCAAAACATCTCAGTTTCGTCTCGTGATGCTCGAATGGATTCCATGGCTGCTCATGATGCGTCGTCCCGGATACGTTGCAAAAGGCGGGAGTCTTGTGAAAGAGGAAGAGTCGGACGATGAGTTCGAAGAGCGTCAAACTCGTCTCGATCAGCAGAGGATCGCCACACTCATCTCGCAGATTACTGTCGAATCGAACAAACCGACGCCGTCGTGAGTGAGAGCGCAGCAGTCCCAGAAAAGCCGAATCTTTAACGAATCTTTACACTAGCACAAAATAGAACAGTCAACTATTTATCAGCAATAATAAGTGTCTCATTGAAACTGTAAATGTTGCAGATTTCCTCGTCGAGTAACAATTGTGGACGAAGTGACCAGTTGCACTCAAAACCCAGACGATGACGATGAAAACGAAATGGTTGAAGATCCAGAAGAGGGAGAAGATGAAGTGGCTCCGCTGGTCGATGAGAACATCTGGAGATCCGGCGCCTCTCACCAGACAACCGCATCCGAACCCCAGCCTGCTCACTTGTGGTGGAACGCGTCGAATCGGATGAGCAATCGGGTTCCGGTCGAGCAGATCGCTCAACTTCTCGTATTACAACAAGTTCATCAACATTTATCTGTTAGTTTTGAACAAACACGCAGGAATTCATGTGAACACGTTCAGGAAATCAACAAACACATTCGAGAGAAGGAGAAAGGCAAAAAAGTTGAAGACGACTGGAAGTTTTCTGCTATGGTATGACAAGCGGGTACACTTCACACCAGAGTTGAGCGGAATAATTTTTATCTTTTTTAGAAAATTTTTTCATGAAATGTGATCAACTGACGAAATGTAGAGCAAAGTGAACTGTGCTCATAGAAAAATAATTGTAAATTTAGCTTTTCATACAACAAAGTTATTCGAGTTGTTCCGTGAAAAAAGGGGGCGAACGGAAGATAACTCGCGTAACTTTTTTGTATGAAAACTTAAATTTACAATTATTTTTCTATGAGCACAGTTCACTTTGCTCTACATTTCGTCAGTTGATCACATTTCATGAAAAAATTTTCTAAAAAAGATAAAAATTCTTCCGTGAGTTCTTCCGCTCAACTCTGCTCCACACCTCCTAGCACTTTAATTCTCTATTTGACAACGGTTTAGTGCTACTACTTCCGTGAAGATACTCGTCCATAAGTGCTCTTCCTGAAACATGAACATTTTGCAGGTCGTTGACCGCATCTGCATGGTCGTCTTCACCTCCTTCCTCTTCGGATCCACAATCGCTCTTTTCGCTTCAGTTCCTCATATCACCAGATCTTTCTGATTTTCCGCCTCCTCCATTATATTGAATTCACTTTCACTTTTCGGGTACTCTTCTCTGTTTTTCAATGAAATTCTCCTATTCTTCCCGGTTCAAAGTCTCTTGACATTCGGGAACATTCCCGGTGACCCCCGGAAGGCCAGGCCAAGTTCAGATCAAAGTTAAGAAGCTCCCGGGAGTGTTTGTTGCACTTCAGCGCCTTCTGGAACGATTGAGAAGAGTACGAACAATGAAAGAAAACACCGTTATTCGGATGGAAAGTCAAATGGTTCGTGTTTCTCGCGAAGAAGCTGGCGTGGACTTTGAACTCGCCGCCGACTCCGCTTCGCCGCTTTTCTGTATCCCCCTTCCACAAATTGTGAGTTTTTGTCACTTTTTCACTAAAAAAAACATGCGCTCATCTTTCAGTACCTCCTCCTCGGCCTTCAGGTCTTTGTCTGTGCGTTCACAATTGTTTTCCTGTGCGCCGGTGGCTACTACAGCTACTATTTCGGATATGTGCGCGCATTTTCTCACTCTCAATGCATATGTATATTTATAAACCGTGTTTCCAGTTCTTCTTCACCATCCTCACCGCTCTCGCCATTTTCCTGCCCGACGCGCTCGACAACTGGTGGCACTGGCTCATTCAGAGCGTCTACTGGTTCATCTACGCCCTCCTCAACATTGTCTTTTTCATCATGATCCTTGTGGCGTGTAACCGCGAACTCGACGATTGTGAAAAGTTCAAGGATCGGCTGCAAAGAATTGGAAGTGAGAATGCTGCAAAAACAATCGATTCCCGGGGAAAAAAAAGAGTGTTTCCAGCGTACGACGAGTTGCGCAATCGTGCGTACAACATTCGAACGTGGGTGAGCATCTACACGTGGCTCCTTCAGCCCGTGCTCATCATCATCGTGTTCATTCTCGTTCGAATTGCACTTTATGGCATTAGAAATCGATAAACTTGCTCTGACACACGAAACGGGTTTTGATATTATCGGTCTGTTTTAGGAGCCACATGAAACGGGTTTATGATTTAAAAAGTTAAAAATTTGATATGAGGGGTCTAAATTTGTTTTAGGAGCCACATGAAACGGGTTTATGATAAAAAAGGTTATTAATTTGATATTAGGGTCTAAATTTGTTTTAGGAGCCACATGAAACGGGTTTATGATTTAAAAAGTTAAAAATTTTATATTATGGGTCTAAATTTATTTTAGGAGCCACATGAAACGGGTTTATGATTAAAAAAGTTAAAAATTTGATATTAGTGGTCTAAATTTATTTTAGGAGCCACATGAAACGGGTTTATGATAAAAAAGTTAAAAATTTGATATTAGTGGTCTAAATTTATTTTAGGAGCCACATAAAAAAAGGGTTTATGATAAAAAAGGTTATTAATTTGATATTAGGGGTCTAAATTTGTTTTAGGAGCCACATGAAACGGGTTTATGATTAAAAAAGTTAAAAATTTAATATTAGGGGTCTAAATTTGTTTTAAGAGCCACATGAAACGGGTTTATGATAAAAAAGGTTATTAATTTGATATTAGGGGTCTAAATTTGTTTTAGGAGCCACATGAAACGGGTTTATGATTAAAAAAAAGTTAAAAATTTGATATTAGGGGTCTAAATTTGTAAATTCATCTACATTCAACACGTTTCTTATCAGTTCTTATCAATTTCTTATCATTTAGACACATTTAGACACACACCGTTCCTATAGTCAAATATTGTCAATTCATCAAATTACCTTCAGAGCTTTACAATTCTTTTCTTCCCGATTTTCTAGTAAACCGTGACCTCCCCCCCCGCTTTTCTAGAACGAGAACAAAAAGTTGCGTGCCCTCGATAGATAAGATCTTCTCCTATAAAAGGGCTTCAGCGCCGGGCGCCTCCTAATCAGTTTACCCTCCGAAACAGCAAAAAAACGATGAAAGAAGACACCGTTATTCGCGTGGACACCGAGAAAGAGGTGCGTTGCGGTGTCGCGTCGCGCGGCTCAATCTCGTCTTGTTCAGCAATCTTCTGAGAATGCGCCTGCACGTTCGGAGCCTCGCAAGAAAGCCGGATTGGACTTTGAACTGGCGGCCGACATGAACTCGCCGTTCCTGATGGTCCCGTTCCCGCAGATCTTCCTGGCCATCGGTCTGATGGGCTTCGTCTGCGTGTTCAGCCTCATCTTCCTCATCATTTCGGGAGGCTTCTACTACTACGGTGGATACGTCAGTGCCTACTTGCCCTATTACTCCCCCTCCGTCACCGCAACACCTTTCAGTTCTTCTGGATGATCTTCGCCATCCTCGGCGTCGTCGTGCCCGACATCTTCAATTGCTGGTGGCACTGGCTTCTCCAGGGCATCGTCTGGTGCTTCTACGTCGTCGGCAACTTCATCTTCTTCGTTCTCGTCTACGTGGCGTGCGATCGAGCCGAAGACTATTGGGAGAAAAGCGGCGCGTTGAACGGTACGCCGTGCCGCGGAAAAGTGCTGGAAAAGAGAGCTCGTTTCAGACGAGAACAAAGCGTATCTGAGTCGCATCCGAACCTGGAACTTTGTGAACACGTTTCTCTGCGAGCCGGCGCTCATCGTCATCGCCTTAATCATGCTCCGCATCGCCGTCCATGGAATACGAAATAGGTGAAGCGTTGGGAATAGATTTCAAACTCTATTTGTGTATTTAATAAATGTTTGGTATGTGGTTACCTGTTGGAACTCGTTGGAAGTCACTGGAACCTCTTGGATCGTTGATGGTCGCGCTGCGGTCGATCCTTGAACAGAAATGACACTCGAATCGCTCCTTTTATAGCCGAAATGTTATCAGCTTATTTATTGACCGTACAGTATCAGTAACTTATCACCATCTTGAAACTGATAATAATATATTACTGATTAAAGGAGACCGTTCAGTGAAGCTTTTGAAACGATGAAGAAAGATGCTGATATTTGTAGGGAACAAAAATGTGTGAGTTGGGGCAGTTCTGCGGCTCAAGAAGTTCATAATAGCGGTTTGTTTCCAGAATAACTCCGCGACACGTCTGAGAGCAGGAACGGACTTTGAAATGGCCGCCGGAATGAACAACCGTCTCCCGCTGCTGCCCTTTGCTCAAATCTACGTCCTTCTTGCTCTTCAAGCCTTCGTCTGCCTCTGCACAATCGTCTTTTTCCTTGTCGCCAGGGGATACTTCTTTTATTTTGGATATGTAGGAGAACCTTCGAGAATCATCGAGAACCACTCACTTTCAGTTCTTCTTCACTCTCTTCGTGGCACTTACCATTGTCTACCCGGACGCTTTGGATATTTGGTGGCATTGGCTCATTCAGAGCGTCTATTGGGTGCGGCTTGTCACTGTTTCAATCATACTTTTCCCCAACTTTCAGAGCATTTACTCGGCCCTCAACATTCTCTTCTTCGTCATGATCCTTTTGACGTGTAATGGAGCGCAAGCGGATCCGAACTACTCGAGTACGTTACATTGCCCATCGAACTTGTGGGAGATGTGTCAAAACCGGGTTCCAGAACGCGACAAAGCGTACTATGGGAAGTTGAAGACGTGGATCTGGGTGTTCACGTTCGTCACTCAGCCGATGCTCCTGCTCATCGTGTTCATTTTGATTCGCATCACACTCTGGGGAATGAAGATGAAACGGTTGAACTCGTCGAGCTCTGAGGAGTCGGATAAATGAAAAATTGTTGCGAGTGCAAAATGTGTGAAAATGGCCCCGCCCCTTCAGCGTTCAATTATTGCAAGTAGCGCGCGCAGTTTTTGCAACGCTGCCGCACACATTGCTCTAAACACCGAATTCGTGAAAATTATAGCATTCTTTTCAGAAAAAAAACACTAAAAACCGACAAAAAATGTTTTTTTCACTGGGTTTTTCGCTGTCGAACTGAAAAGCAAAATGCGTGCGGCACCGTTGCAAAAACTGCGCGCGCTACTTGCAAAAATTGAACGCTGAAGGGGCGGGGCCTCATTTGAACTTCGCGGGCTTTTCTCAGAGGGCACGAGCGGTGAATTGATGATAATGGGGTTATTCAGGCTGTGAAAAAAATAATTTTTTCCGTTTTTTTTGTTTTTTTACCAAAAAAACCAATTCAGCGGTGTAAAAAAACGAAAAAAACGGAAAACAAACATACGCTGAATAGCCCCATAAACAATATCAGTTGTAATCAGTCGTCACGGTTATTTTAATCAGTTTATCCACTAACATTCGCTTCTAATCAGTGGGGGTCAACTGATAAGTTGTCTCTATAAAACGTCCGAACGCGCCCAACTCGAATCAGTTTAACTCTGTCCGATTCGAGGAAGACAAGAGAAGAAAACGATGAAAGAAGACACGGTTATTCGCGTGAAGAACGAGAACGGGAGGCTTGGACTTCAAGAAGAAGAAGAAGAAGACACATCGGACCGTCAAAAGGCTGGACTGGATTTCGAGTTGGCGGCCGACATGAACTCGCCGTTCCTCATGATCCCGTTCCCGCAGATCTACCTGGCCATCGGGCTGATGGTCTTCGTCTGCCTTTTCTCCATTATCTTCCTTATCATCGCAAAAGGCTACTACTACTACGGAGGATACGTGAGTCGCTTCCGAACCGTCTAGACCATACACGCCTACATGTTCAGTTGTTCTGGACGATCCTCGTCGTGCTGGCGGTCTTTCTGCCGGACATTTTCGATCGCTGGTGGCACTGGCTCCTTCAGGCCATCATATGGGGCATCTACGCCTTCTGCAACTTTATCTTCTTCATCCTCGTCTTGAACGACATCGGCACGATTGAGGAGGCCATTGAAAAGAGTCCTGGAAGCTTCACGGGTAATTTTATAGGTTTTTTTTGTTATTCAAATGCTCATTATACTTCAGACGACCAAAAGAGTTGGTTGGCTCGTGTCAAGGCGATGAACTACGTGAACACTTTTCTCTGTGAGCCGGCCCTGCTCGTCATCGCCTTCATTTTGATTCGAATCGCCGTTCATGGGCTCAGAAACCGATAAACTGTTGAATAAATGTGTTTTGTGTATTTAAAAATGCTTGAATTCAACAAAAGAGAACACAATTTGAACCGGTAGCTGTTGAATGGCATTTTGAACCCGAGAGTCTCCTTTCGATCGATTATTTCACGGACAACAAGTTTCTTATCGCGTGAACCTGAAACACGCTTTTCATTAAGATCTATTGGTCTAACTTGAACGAACCTGAAAAAACGCGGTGAAGAGAACCAGCGAAAACATAGTTGCCACGGGCCGGGCCGGGCCGGGCCGGGCCGGGCCGAAATTTCCAAAACTCCGGCCCGGCCCGGCCCGTCGGCCCGGCCCGGCCCGGCCCGACCCGGCCCGGCCCGGTCGGCCCAGTTCAAAAAGCGGGAATTCAAAAATTTGAATTATTGATCGCATGAAGCCATTTTTTTTGTAGAATTAGGGGTTTTTGCAAGCATCGAACATTGAAAAATAAATGTATTTCTCATAAAAAATTCATAATAGCAAAAAAACATTTATTTTTCAATGTTCGATGCTTGCAAAAAAACCCCTAATTCTACAAAAAATGGCTTCATGCGATCAATAATTCAAATTTTGAATTCCCGCCTTTTGAACCGGGCCGACCGGGCCGGGCCGGGCCGGCACTTCACCGACCCGGCCCGGCCCGGGCCGGCACTTTACCGGCCCGGCCCGGCCCGGCCCGGGCCGGCCCGGGTCGGCCCGCATGGCCGGCCCGAAATCTGGCAAGTCTGAGCGAAAACTTCAAAATATGCCAAAAGTTGATCATCTCGAACGCCGTCTCAATGTGGCTGCGGTCCTGCAAACACGCGTACACACCGTGCATATAAATGCCCCGAGAGGCGCTGTTCCGCCGGCGATCTCGTGGTGTAGTGGTTATCACATCTGTCTAACACACAGAAGGCCGGCGGTTCGAGCCCGCCCGAGATCAAAACCCTTTTGCTTACTATTTTCTCCACGAACGCTCGTTTTGCCTGCTCTGTCTTCATTGTTTTCAACTTTTCATCAATGTTTAGGGTGATTCGTTCGAAATTCTGCAATGTCATTCGCGTTTCATCAAATCCTTGTTTTATCCGTTTCAAATTGCTGGCCACATCAATGTTATTCGCGTTTTTCTCGTAAATCACGACGATTAGAGACACCTAAACAGCACCGTTCATTGAAAAAACTCCTCAAAAAGTACCTGTACAGGCTGTCGAATGTGTCTACTGGTCACACAAAGTTGGAAATCTCCAATTTCATGAAATTCTCCAGACGATGCCGGGAATTTGAAATAATTTCGTCCAGAAGCGGGTGTTTGATGAGCCAGTGAGCCGGACGGACTGAAAAGTTCCACGGACAACGGATATTCGGTGTTCAGAGTCTAAAAATGCCAAAAACTTGGGCAAAACGGGGGAAACGTCGCTTACCGACACCGAAATATCCATTTGAGAGTGTGGTTGATGGACTTGAAAGAATATGCAGTCTTTCTGGAATGAAACCATTTTTTTTTTTTGATTTTTAAATGATAGTTGAAACAGAAAACAATTGTTTGTACATAAGTTGGCTCACCTCGGATCTCAACAGAAACCTCATATCCACGTAGGCGTCCGAGAATATTGCACTTGCAAAATGCACAAAATGATAGAGAACGAGCAGAAATCGCATTTTGAGCGAGAAAAAGAACGAGAGAGTGGCAATTTGGAGTGGTGACTCAACGAGGCGACAGATGGTACAAACGGATGATATATTGTGTGGAGTGGGAGAGTCGGAGAGAGAGAGAGAGAGAAGAAACGGATTGTTTGCTCTCTGGCAGATGGTTGTTGTAGACGATTGTAGTTGCGAACGGAAAAAACCGAACTTTAAAGGGCCGTAACTGTACTCTACTTGTCTAGTTGACACTTTTCGTGTGCGACGTGTCACTCGACGGTGTTAAAACATGTTTCAACAAGACCACAAGTAACAGAGAGAATGGAAGTTCGTCTGCTAGCCCTGTTCTTTTCAAATTATAAATCCTAATCCAATTTTCTGTTATACACGGTCTCCAGAGCTCACAATATGCTAAGGTAAAATTTCAAACTTTTCTTAGCTATTTTCAAACTTTTCCAGGCGCCACCTAAGAAATTCTTGGAAAAGTTTGAGAATTTCTGGAAAAAGTCGGAGAATTTCTTTAAAAAGTTTAAGAAAGGCTTCGAAAAGTTTTTAGTGCTTCACAAAGTTTGAAAAGGTCTTGGAAAAGTTTTTTGTCTTGAGAAAGTTTGAGAATGTCTTAAGAAGAGCCAAGAAAAGTTTGAAATTTTACCTGAGTGGCGTTTTCATGAATTGAGCAGGTTTTCTCTGATTTTTGTGTCAACGGCGATGAAAAATGATTGTTCGACATGAAAACACACTAATTCTCACAGAATTAATGACGTTTTGGCGCATTTTTCGCGGATTTCGCTTTTTCGAAATTTTGTTTTTTTTTCCCCTAAAAACCGCACTTCTCATTTTGCGCTTTCTTGATCGTTTTCAGACAGAATTGGTTTTGAGAATGATAAATCACGTGAATACAAGCATTTTAAGCGCTCGAACCGCGAAAATTACCGAAAAGCAACTGAAATTCACGCAGTTTTAGCCAAAAACCTTCAAACTTGACCAAATTTAACGCTCTTGCGCTTAAAAAATTCGTAATTGCCTATACAATCGATAAATCGAGAGAAAAATGAGAAATTATCGGTTTTCCGTGGCTAATCTGGCAAAAAAACAGAAATTTTGCTTTTAAAAATTTGAATTTCGTGCGGGGCGCGGGGCGCACTTGCACCCATTGTCAGCTCTGGAGACCGTGTAATCCAATTTTGTGTTTCAAAAAGTGCTGAAGCTTACTACTCGGTATTTGTTTATCGATAGGTGTTTAATGTCTAGACTTTTGACATTTCCTCGGAGGACTGTTTCAGCCTACTTGTATGATGTCTACAGACTGCTTCACCTCAGAAAAATATCACTTTATGAGGGTGCACACAAAAGTAGGTAAACGTCAAGGTGTGCTCTATTTGATAATGAGAACAATGAAGCACATAAAGAGAAGCGAGAGACCGACATGGGAAAAGTTTTAAAAAAGTTGGAGGGGAGGGGGGTAACATGGATCAGGTCATTCCGAACTGCGACATCTGATTCTCCCACGACTGCGCCACCTTTTTCTTGATCGTCAGCACACAACAGTCCTTTTTGAGCTTCCAGGTGATGTCGTCGATTTCGGCCGGGAATCGTTGAATCTACAAACGAATGACGCTTAGAAATGTAAAGAAGAAAGGCGTAGGAGTTACCTCGTAAAACCGTCGATCGATAATCGACTTCTCCGGCGGCGTCTTCTTCTTGTCGACCTTCACAATTTCCACAACACACTTCATGCTACTGCAATTCGACGCTTTTTCGGGACCTCGAACGTATAGTACTCACAAAGGATCACTTTTGATGTTGACCTGCGTGTTGGCTGCTCGGTAGAAGCTCTTCGGTCGGATTCCGGGCACCACTAGCTGAATGTCCAGGTGCAGCGGGTGATCATCGTAGCGCGCTGAATCGGGCATTATACACTTTATACACGCAACCGCTCATTCAAAGCAACGTATCTCAGCTGCCGAAGGAGATATCAAAAAGTGGTCAACTAACAAGTTGTTTATCGAGAAATTTTGCACATTTTACCACTTGACCACTTTTTGACATCTTCACAAACAGCTGAGATATAGTGGTTTGAATAGGGAGCAACCTTTACAGTTTCAGAAGGGTTTTTTTTAGCACTTTCAAACCCTTTTTTAATGTTAAATAAGCGTCGCTAAATTGTGAAAATCCATTAAAAACTCACATCCCAACGGTCCGGGCGCACTGTACGGATCCTGATCTTTCCACGGTGCTGATAGTGAGGAGGACGCCATTTTAGATCATCGATCTGCAAAAAAAAAAATAGGTGCCTAAAAATTAAAAAATCATTTTCAGCTGCTCTCACACCAGTTACCATACTGACATGAAACCGAAAAAAAAAATTCCTGCTTCATTACAAACAGAAAAAGTGAAACAAATGGAGCATATTAATAACATTTTTGCTAATAACGCAAAATTCGATTGGAAATGTACAAAAACACCAGAAAAGTGGCGGAAATCATCAGAGAACCGTTCTTATGAAAATTATTGTCACTCGCAATGACTCACAAAGAGCGGGAAGACGGGGTGAGCGGGGTTTGATGCACTTGAGATTGTGTATTCTTTCTCTCTCTCTCTCTATCTCTCTATCTCGCTCGAATTTCATTGAAAAGACAATAGAGATGACACACTTTTTGTGGTGTGTGGGAAAAATTGGCGGTTATCGGTGTTTGAGACGAGTTTTGTGCAGCGGTGTGTGGAGATATCAAAAAGTTGTCAACTAGTGAAATGTGCACCGACTCGCAATGAACATTTGATTAGTTGGCAACTTTTTGATATCTCAACACGCAGCTGAGATATATGGACTTGAATTAATGGTATAGAAACGAAAGTATCAAAAATATTGATTTGAGCGCGAAAGTTGAATTGATGAACTGTGATATCGAAGTTCTGAATCAGTAAACGCGAAAAATTGGCGGATTTTAGTGCAAAATGACAAATTTCCGTGCGGAACGACTAGAAAATCAATTTTGTGGAAAACTTGAAACGGAACAAAAACTGGTTCAATATTATGCAGAAACACTACAGGAATTCCGTACTCGAATGCCACAAACACTTGAAAACTTTTAGAAACGGAAAAAAAGTGATAGATAAAAGCGGTTTCACAATATTCCGAAAATGTGCGCGTCGTATTGATCTCGTCCTCTTTCTCTTGTTTCAAACGGAGAGACGCGAGAGTTTGGGGGCAAATACGAGACGCAGAGAAGAGAGAGAGAGAGAGAGAGAGAGAGAGAGAGAGAGAGAGGAAAAGGAGACGGAGGGGGGAAAAGATGGAGTTGGAGTGGTTGGTTTCGAAGGGAAACCGAGGACGGGCGAAGAGAGAGAGAGAGAAAGAATGAGGAATAGTCAAAGTTTTGAAAAGTGTGAGAAAGTGTGAAAGTTTATGACAAGGAAAATACGATTTTTCAATATTTGGCTCAATAAATATGGAAATTTTAATTGAAAGCTTCGATTTGAGCGCTGAGCCGTCAAAAAATATGCAAAATTGAGAGCGTTGAAGCATCAAAGGTTGAGGAAACCAGCAGGCAAAGCATATCTATGCACTCACAAATCGAGACCACAAAACGATTGAAAAGCATGAGAAATTTGGAGAAAATCACATTGACATGTCTTATTTCCGACGAACAGTGATAGTATTTATATATCCACTGCCTTCACAGAATCCATTCGTAAACAGGGCGCACCGGAATGAGCGGAGTGTCGTTCGGGAGGGCGCGCGCGCGCGAAAATCACTGTTTCGCTTCTCTACAACAATTGTTTTCAGCACACTAGTCATTTTCAGTCATTTTCCAGCTTTTACCGATTCAAAACTTTGATATTATGATATTTATATTTTAGTTTGATTATACTTTGATTATACTTTTTTATACTTTGATATTGATATATATAGAACTATGGTTCTCCAATATAAAGTCTTGCTTCTCGTGTCGTTTCTATTACTTTTATTCAAAACGATGTATGTCAGCTGTCTGTAGAGACATCAATGAACCGAACTTGTTAATTAACAATTCGTCATTTGATAAGTTTTCGATATCCGCACCGAGATATATCATATTCATGTTTCAAGTTGCTTTAAAGAATCAAACTGCATCACATCACTAGGCAATTTGTATGTATTATCACTTTCAGAGAAATTTGACGGCTCCTAACTCTGATATTGTCCATCAAAGTTGACGTTCGAATTCCGACCGAAAACTGTTCGTTCCATTCGGCGTCTGCATTCCAACCAACCCGCCCATAATTTGACTTTTGTCGCCCCCTAAATTTCCAAAACTGTCGATTGCGATCGCTCTCGAATTCGCCCACTCTCTTCCCGTCGCGCATGACCTTTCCACTTTCATCTCTAGCCCCATTTTACTGATTTTTTGTCTTCTTTTTGCCCAACAAACGCCAATCTTTTGTGGTCAATGACTCATGAATATGCCGCCCGTGTGTTCTTCAGGGCGTGTCCCATCACGCTGCCCATCGACGTCGGAGAAAACGATGAAAATGGATGGCAGACGAAGAACAAGGCAGTAAAGGGGGGGAGAAGCGTGTGATATTGTTCATTTCTCTCCTTTTCAACACTGTCTACACCTCTGTCTATGTCATTTCATCTATTTTTGGTAGAAAAAGTGGGGGCATGAGGTTCGGACAAATTTTTTGCAATTTTTCGGACTTCCTGATAGTTTTACTGCTTCAAACTCGTTTAATGATAAAAATTATTGATAGATTTAGTAACTTTTACATGTCCAAGTTCATCCTTACAACTATCGTTTAGGTATCGTTTATTCAAATCGATGTATCTCAGTTGTGTGTAGAGATATCAAAAAGTTATCAACTAATAAATTGTTCATTAAGAAATTGTGCACATTTTGTCAGTTGGCCACATCTTCGTATCTTCACAGACAACTTGGCAACAGACATTATTAGACAATCTTCCTCGGTTTCCATTCATTTGTCCTCATTGAAACCGTAATTCTTTTTGACCCCCCACCCCTCCTTTTTTGTGTACAAATTTTTTTCTCGTGTGTTTGTATTGTCCCCATTATCATCTCATCAACTTCTCTTCATCATTTTCTTGCCCACCTTTGACCACCTTTTCCTCTTGTTTACAACACACACAGACAACTTGATTTTATTGTTGTCTTTTCACACAAATTAACTGATTCACATAGGACGGGCCCAAAACGTGGCAAAAAACTGAGAAAAATGAACAATAATTGGAAAAAAAAACGTTAAAAACGCCAGAAAAAGTAGTATAGAGAGGTACCGCAACGGGTTTCACGAAACTCGGAATTTCTATAAAATTCTTGTTGGAATGTGTTCCCCTACTCTATATGAGTACGCTCCCAATTTTTTTTTCGAAAATTTTCGGTACATCCCGAGTTACACCACTCCAAAGTCGCCCTGTTTTCTCTCAGGTCGGCGGCCGACGAGGGGGCGGAGTCTCACTAGCAAGTTTGCCGCACGCGTTTTTTATCCTTGTCTGGTGGACCAAACCAAAGAGTCAACATTTCGAATGAGCAGAAATGATGTTCTAAGAAAGCAAAATAACTTTCGAGGTCAAAATTTTCGAACCCGGCACCTTTAGATTGCCGAGTGAGCACTTTCCCACTGCGCCAGCCGGGCGAAGGCGCGCCGGCCGCCAATGTCATAGAAAAGCTGGCTGCGCGCGGTCCACTTCTAGGTGTCAAATTAGTGTTTTTGCGTGCTCAAATCCAAAACTGTTACACTTTACAGTCACTTTTCAAAAAACGGAAACTAGATAGATGGAAAAGTTCGACATGGATCGGTCGGAAATTTGATGCTGAATCCGATTTTGGGAAAATTAGCCGCGTGTAAGGTACCTGTGACCCTCAAAACCCCCAAAAACTACAATTTCGGCCAAACTGGCTCTATTAAAATGAACACAAATCTGGTCCTAGACTGTCTAGAGCTCTGAAAATTTGTATTTGGGTTCTCAGAGAGTTTATCTATGGATTCCAAACATAAAAAAGTATGGTTATCGCTGAAATTTTTGCATAATTTTTTGTGCCAGTTTGAGGACCTGTAAAAAAAATCGGAAACTAGATTGTCTGATTCTGACTTAAAAAACGGATTCCCCATCCCTTAAACTGTTAGAATCACTTGAAAGTAGGCGCGTGTAGCCATAAATGTGGCCACACGGGCTCTCAGACTGTCTTCCATTCTCGTTTTCGCCTTTTTTTGAGAAAATGGTGCGTTTTCGTGGGAAACGGAGTTGTTCATTAGATTCAGCATGGTCGATTACATAAAGTAAAACATTACGAGTATGGTACTTGGTCTGGGGACCTCGGTACAGGTCCTCAAACATGCGCGCGCGGAAATCAAGAGAAAATTCGTCAGGCCACGCCCCCTCCTTTGCGCCCCCTAAGTATAGTGTCACGTAGTCACCCAGTCTTTTGGTCTTCTGAGAAGAAGATGAGGGAGAAGGAGGAGGAGGAGAACCCGTTCCGTTTTTGGTCAGTTTTTGAGAAAATCAAAAGAAATAGTAGACGGATTTGGGAGAGTGACAAAGATAACGGATAAGAGGAAGAAGTGTTACCCAATGCGCGCGCCCGTTCTCTGTTTCTTATGATACTTTTTGGACGGACGTCTCTTTTTGTTTGAAGCAATTTATCTCAGTTGTCTGTAGAGATAGCAACAAGTTGTCAACTAGCAAAATGTATAGAATTTTATAATGAACATTTTATTAGTTGACAACTTTTTGATATCTCTAGCGGCAGCGAAGATAAAGCGTCTAGAATGAAGAGTATTCGGAGGATGTGGTTTTCTGTTTCACAAACTTGTCTTCTGCTCATCATCTAATCGTATTTTTATATAATTCTTGAAGATATTTCACTTTTTTACACACCAAAACCCTTATGATGTCATTCAAGTTTTGGTGATTAGTCACAGATGTTCAACATCAAATTAGCATTTCGAAACATGGACATTTGAATTGAAACTTCATTTCTCTGTTTCCAACTCTCCTAAACGCACGTTTATGAGCATTTTGCAAGTCAAAAAATGTTAAAAAATGTTTTCAGAATGCTCCGCCTGCTCCTCACCTTCCTCTGGCTCATTCTGATCTCGCAATCGAAGCTCGACTCGTGCGAGCAGTGGATCCAACAGCTCGGCGATCTCGACGTCTTCTCGGAAGCCCAGATCCGCACGGTTTGTATGCATCAGCGGCAGTGGGTGAAGGATCGAGACGAGGAAGCGGGCCGCCAGTTTTTGGAGGTCACCACTGGTGAGCTATCCGCTTCTAGTCGGCCCCCAATTTATTTACAAGTTTCCAGAAAACCAACTGAAATATCTTCGACACGTGGAACAGTGCACTCGCGAGAATTGTGTCAGAGACGCGAGGAGGAAGGTGGGTTTTTGAGCCACGTTTCATGCCGCGTCCAAAGTCTCGGAAACGCCGCAAATCTCGCGGATTTTGCAGTCCAAAGTCGGCAGAAAATTGCGAGAAATTCCGGGGTGCGCACAGCTGAACGAGTGTTACCGTACACCATAAAAACTACGGTATTTTTTTTGAAAAATTTACCCAAGAAATTTGAAATATTTCAAATATTCTCTCGAGAAATTCAAATTTTTTTCAAAAAAATACCGTTGAAAAATTTACTCAAGAAATTGGAAAAAAATTTCAAATATTCTCTCGAGAAATTTAAATTTTTTTCAAAAAAATACCGTTGAAAATTTACCCAAGAAATTTGAAAAAAATTTCAAATATTCTCTCGAGAAATTTAAATAAATTTTTTTCAAAAAAATAGTTTTATGGTGTACGGTAACACTCGTTCAGCTGTGCGCACCCCGGATTTCCCGCAAATTTCTGCCGATTTTGGACAGCAAAATCCGCGAGATTTGCGGGTTTTCCGAAACTTTGGACGCGGCATTATGATTGTGTCCACAATAGATTTATTTTTCTCTCAGAAGCGTGCGCCATCCAAATCGATCCGAAAAGAGATCCGAATGATGTCGCCGTCGGAACTTCGCGACTTGGGATTGGCGATGAACGGTCTCAAGAGCCGACAGATTGACAATATCACCGCGTGGGACCTCCACACCCTTGTACACTACCCGGATAGTGCTCCTGGTGCCCACTGGGGACCAGCTTTCCTCCCATGGCATCGAGAATTCCTTCGACAATTCGAGATTGCTCTGCAGACAGAAGTACCCTCGGTCACTCTTCCCTTCTGGGATTCCACACTCGATCAGGGTGAGTTTTCCGGAAGTTTTGGAAGACGCTCTGACGTGAATCCGACATTTTTCATCTCAAAGTGCACCGTAATCGGTTAGATTGTTAGTTTTGCGCATACTTTCAGCCTCCTCGCCCTTTTTTTGCACCTTTTTGCCCAATTTTCAATTAGACATTGCCGCACTTGCTCAGAGAAAAAATTGCAGGCCTTCCGGACGAAGCGGATAGTGTTCTGTGGACGGATGAGTTGTTGGGCAACGGGAACGGATACGTGAAGACTGGTCCGTTTGCCAATTGGGACACGAACGTGCTGATGCCGTTGAGCCAGATTCCGGTGAAGAAGTTGTACAGGTTGGTTAGTGGTGCGACAGCATTCGCTTTCAATTATTGTTGCTTTTTATAACGGCAATCACTATTCGATTGATTGCAAAACATTTTCGGTTCGATTCTTGGTACATCCACGGTCTCCAGAGCTGAAAATCAGGCATTTTCATGAATTGAGCAAGTTTTCTCTGATTTTTCTGGTTAAAGGCGATGAAAAATGCATGTTCGACATGAAAACACACTAATTCTCACAGAATTTATGACGTTTTGGCGCATTTTTCGCGGATTTCGCTTTTTCGCCTTCGCCGCCGATCGCCGCCTAAACCGCACTTCTCATTTTGCGTTTTCTTTACCGTTTTCCGACAGAATTGGTTTTGAGAATGATAAATCACGTAAATACAAGCATTTTGAGCGCTCGAACCGCGAAAATTACCGAAAAGCAACTGAAATTCACGCAGTTTTAGCCAAAAACCTTCAAACTTGACCAAATTTAACGCTCTTGCGCTTAAAAAAGTCGTAATAGCCTATATAATCGGTTTATCGAGAGACAAATAAGAAATTATCGATTTTTCGTGGCTAATCTGGCAAAAAACACAAATTTTGCTGTAAAAATTTGAATTTCGCGCCAATGTATCGCTCTATTGGGCGGGGCGCACTTGCGCCCATTGTCAGCTCTCGAGACCGTGGTAAATCTAAAATATTCTGGTCCTTTTTTCAATTCAAAGTCTCATTAGTTTCCAGATCAACCGGTGGAAGGGAACAGGACCGTTTGATGACGCCGAAGGACGCGAATTGGATTGTCACTAGGAAGAATTTCAGGTAAACTTCCAGAAAATTGTGCTGTTTCAGTCTGCCTTGATGATGATGTCTCGAATCCACTAAAAACAGTTCCATCGCATTAACTTTTTCTCTTAACTTTTTCTAAGCTCCTCTCATTTGTATTGTTCAGAAATCGGCACATTTTGAGGTGAAATGATCAACTGCAAAGTTGTAGAGCACAACATTTACAGCAACTTTTCGCAGAGATGCAGGCTTTCGAAAATAATTCAAAATTTGCAGTCAACTAACGTTCTGTCACGACAAGACCTTTGAAAGTATGCACGGATTGAGCCACGTGTGGGTCGGAGGATTTATGTACGTTATCAGGTCAGTTAGTTACCAATCAACATCTAAAAGGACGGTCATGTGTTCAGAGTGAGTCCGAATGATCCGACGTTCTACATGCACCACGCGTTCATCGACAATCTCTGGGAACAATTCCGACAGCACAGTCAGACGAGGGAGGAGCGCGAGACGCAGTGGGCGACAGTAAACACCCGTTTCTAGGCGGTGTATAACCATGTTTTCTTGAAGAAAAACTGCAACGACAACCACGGCTACGACGTGCAAATGAAGCCGTTCACGATTCAGAATCGTGATGGGCTCGCGAATCAGTACACGGACGAGTGGTACGAGTACCAGCCGGTCAGGCACTGCTCCGCGCACGATGCCACCTGCGATTCGGCCTACTATTGGTGCGATCGACAATTGTGGAGATGTCGGAGCAGGGTAAGAAACGTAGTTTGTGAGACAGACTGAAAACTCAACAACTACATTCAGCAGACTTGCCAAATCCCGGGCCGGCCCGGAAGTTAGACCTCAAAAAAAATATGCAAAAAAAATATGAAGGAAGAGGAACACGCGTGCGGCAAAATTGCTAAAATGGCGTGCCAGAGTTGCAATCAATCGCTCCGCCCACTCTTGAGAAAATTTTCGTAATTTTTGTGAAAATTTTGCGACTTTAAACAGCAATTTCTATCTTTGAATTTTTAGGTGCATCCTCCCGGGCCGACCGGGCCGGGCCGGGCCGGAAAATTTCCAATTTTGGCCCGGCCCGGCCCGGCCCGGCCCGTTGCAAGTTTGACATTCAGGTTGTCTATGGCGGCAATTGCACCGGATTCGAGGGCACTCAAATCTGCTACAACTCGGTGTGCAGCCAGGGTAAATGTGTAGTGCCGCCGAGAGTTCGAAGTGCGACAAAGACGCGAATCGAAGAGGGAAACGAGCGTTCGGAAATGAAAGAGCGATTGTGGACGAAGACGGTTCTGTTGGACGAGAATGCGAATGGGATTGAGGACGATTTGTCGAGGGTTGTCATCACCGATCTGGATACCAATCACACGTACATTGTGTTCAATCAGGGCGCCGCCGAGTTTCCAGAGATACCGGTTGGTTAAAGCAGAGTTGCCACGGGCCGGGCCAAAATTTTCAAAACTCCGGCCCGGCCCGGCCCGTCGGCCCGGTTCAAAAAGCGGGAATCCAAATTTTGAACTATTGATTAAATAAAATGTTTGTTTTTCGTAGAACTAACGAATTTTGCAAGTATCGAGCATAAAAAAGAAATGTAGTTCTCAAAAATAGTTTTTATTGGCATCAAAGCAAAAGTTTTAATTTTGATCCCCGCAAAAAAAACGAAAAAATAGATTTCCCCCAAAAATTTGAATTCGCGCCTTTTGAGCCGGGCCGACCGGGCCGGGCCAGCAAATTTTCGGCCGGGCCGGCCCGTAATCTGGCAAGTCTGGGTTAAAGTCACTGTACCACGGCGACCAAAAGTCTAGAACGGGGCGTGGCTTAATCTTGCCGCAATTCCAGCACACTTTTCCGATATTTTTGTGTTTGATATCGACGAAAAAAGAGCACATTAAAGAGAGAAAACATTGAAATTTTCGTGAAAACGCCGCGTTTGAGACGTTTTTGGCATATTTCGCAATACGCTCTCCGCGGCCAATCGCCGCCGCAATTTCCGAATTTTCATACCGGCCGATGTGGATAGTTTTGAGACGAAGTGAGTGTCGGAAGTGATTAAGCACGTTAATACAAGTATTTTAAGCGTTCAAACGGCAAAAAGTATCGGCGAATGACTGAAATTCGCGCATTTTCAGCACGCAACTTGAAAATCGATTCAATTTATTCATTCTCTGAATGAAACCTGATCGTTTTAAGCTCAAAAAGTGCGCGCGATGATTAGTTTAACAAAGCTATGCAATTACATCGTCGAAACCCGTACAAAATTTGGGTAATTTTTGACGAAAAACATGAAAAAATGGGGTTAAATTTCGAATTTCGCGCCAAAATGAGGCTTTCTACGTTTTTGGTCGCCGAGCGCTCTGTTGGAAAAGTCGAAAAATAAAACTTTTCCAGGGAACGGTGTACCTGAGCCTTCCGAAGCCGCGAGCCGGTAAGATGAGCCGAGTTTTACTCGAAGCCAGGGACCAGTTCGGAAGATATTGTCAGGCACAGTGTCTCAACGCGACCAGCGAGAGATATCAGGTCTGTCAGCCGAATCTCAACGTCTCACTGAACTCGGATCTCTCTTCCCCGATCGCATTCACCCATTCGGCGTCTTCGAGAACGTAAGCTCTCATTCCACACAGACCGCAGACCTCAAACTTGTTTCCAGATTCCTCGACATTGACCTATCGGTGCATCCGCGTCTGATCCGTCCCGAAATGCCGTACGTCGTGTTCGTTTGTTCGCGTAAACTCGTCACCAGCGCCATGATCAAGCAGGCGACGGAAAGTGTGCGAGCGCCGGTCTCCACGGAGAATTACGTCTTCTTCCGGGTCGCCGTCTTCAGAGCAATCGATTCTAATTATCAGGTAAGGAAGAGGTGGAAAAAAAATAGAATCGGAATTGACAAACCTAGCGCATTAATTATTGATGTCTGGAACAGAAAAGAAGCTTTACGATCGGATTGAAGTGTGTCAGGTCCAAAGCCTTCTTGTACTCAATATCAGTGTTGAGCGGAATTCCGTCTTCCGTCTTCCGTCTTCCGTCTGCCGTCTTCCGGGATTTTTCTTATTACCGTAAAAGAGTAATAGCTTTTCAAAAGCCATTTACTAGTCCCGAAGAACGCGAACTTCCACGGGCAGTACCCAGATCCAAAAGTTTTGTTGCTTTAGTTATTTAAAAAAAAAAAAAAACCGGAAAAAAAGGCTCTGAATTGACGATTTTTTGTTCCGTATTCCGTCTGCCGTCTTCCGTGAGAAAAATTTTCTTCCGTCTTCCGTTTTCCGTGTTCCGGATTTCAAAATTCCATTTGCGCTCAACTCTGCTCAATATACTTCAATCCACTGGCCCACCCTTCAAATCTGTTTCTGCTGATCAATCATTTTCAGATCGAAGTATCGCCCTCCTCTTCGGACATTGGCCCTCCATTCTTGTCGTCCATCGAAAAAGCGGCGTCCGCCTTCGACCCGAACATTGTGTTCGTCCAGGCACCGAATCCAGAGCTGCACCGCGGCGGAGTACGTGTCCGGGTCTCGATTCTGAGCAACGGGAATCGGATCAACTGCCAGGTCAAGTGTACCGAGGTAAGCGATCGATTTCTGTAATTTTGAAACTGGAAAGTTTATTGGCAAATGTTCAGAAGGACGGCTCAATGCACTCGTGCTCGGGAGAAGTGGACCTCCACTCGGAATCGCACTTGTCGCAAGAGGACGTCTTCACTTCGGACGCGCATTCGTTGCCGGTCCTCGGCTGGAACATGCGCGGACACCCCTCGTTTTGGAGACACAAAATGCCGTTTTTGTCGTTTCATTGTTAGAAATCTCTAGAGCCACCGTCCTCTGCTTTCTCTGTTTGTTGATTTTGTGAATTGTGAACGAACGGGTTGAATAATTTGTACACTTTTTGAAAACGTTGTTTTTTGCTGCTATGCCAGTTAGTTGCAGAGTTGAGCGGAAGAATTTTTATCTTTTTTAGAAAATTTTTTCATGGAATGTGATCAACTGACGAAATGTATAGCAAAGTGAACTGTGCTCATAGAAAAATAATTGTAAATTTAACATTTCATACAAAAAAGTTATTCGAGTACGGAAGACGGAAGGACATTTTCACGGAACAACTCGAAAACCTTTTTGTATGAAAAGCTAAATTTACAATTATTTTTCTATGAGCACAGTTCACTTTGATATACATTTCGTCAGTTGATCACATTTCATGAAAAAATTTTCTAAAAAAGATAAAAATTCTTTCGTGAGTTCTTCCGTTGAGTTGTTCCGATCCAGTTGGCCTGTCTGTTAAGATCCAAAGCAATCAGATGACACCTTCGGGCGGCGGCGGCCAGGAAATCCAGATTCGATCGGTCATAATCATAACATGAAGTGGTAAAAAGAAGAAGAAGAAGAAGAAGAGAGATAAAAGATTGATGTATGTTCGAGACGATGATCGTTTAATGGAATTAGAGACACATGTGATAGCGTTCCTCTTCTTTTTCGTCTCTTGTGATCTCACTCTCAACTTGTGTCCATCTTGTTTATTTGATTCGATTCGATGACTATTCCTCGAATTCGAGTGTGTCTTTACGTCATCCATAAAAAAAATGGTGAAAAGTGTTGTTTTTCCGCCCGAAAATCGTCTCCTAATACCTCTAAACTCGCCGTGAAATGACCTTTGGGGGCGAGACACATGTCCAGATGTTATCTGGGCCCCCTAACCCTTCGAATTCACAGTTTCTCTTCCTTCCCTCCACACGATTCTCAACCAAATCGCTGGGTTTTTCGTGTTCAACTGCGATATTGTCCGATTTCTGTTTCAAAATGTTCGTATAGCACTTGTATTATTGTAGTTCGAAAAAAGCCTAAACATTGCCAACTTTGAACGCGTATATTTATGTTCAAAGACATCCTAGAGCTCTAATAGTTTGTTTTGCAAAATCTCGACGCCTTGCACGACATTTCGTCAGTTGACAACTTTTTTCTACCACCAAAGATAGGCGTTCTATGGGTCTTGAAAGATTTTGACCCAAATTTTGAAAACTCCAACTTTCACGAGCTACAGTAGGCTTAGAAAAGGTGGTACAAAAAAGGTGTCAACTGGAGAAACATAGTGCAAGCCTAGTACTACATTTTTTCAGTTGACAACTTTATTCTATCACTAAAACTGAGCCTACGGTATCTCTTAGAAGTTTGCATACACCTTACAAAAAAGTTGTCAACTGGAAACATGTACAACTAGGTTTCAAGATTTTTGGAAAAGTGTTTTGACGTAATTATAGAGAAAGTTGAAGAAATTTTACAACAAAAAAAGGTGAACGTCATCGAATTGAACGAAAATGAAGATGGTAGATGGCATTTGATTGTTCGCACCCGAATTCTCCGAATACCTCGCCTCCAATTAGTCACTCATTCACTCGCATTCCTCCTTTTTCTCCAACTGAAGAACAAGAACACGAAAACCTCCAACCCTTCCTCCTCTCGCATCACCGTTTTGACCACTTTTATAAAATTGGCCGATGATAGTAATCTGACAAAATGCCTACCAGTTCCTCCCTATTATCTGATTATTGAATCTTCACAGATTCTTGATCCTTTGGAACTATTTTCACTTTCCACACTCATTTTCTCTTTCATGGTCTTCACTCATTTCGACACTAATGGGTTTTACCTTTGCTGGTCTTGTTTGTTCACTTCTTTCCAACAATACAATAGCATCTAGTTCATTCATGTTCCAGATGCGGTGGCTTCTCTCCTTTTCGATCATTTCCTGCGCGACGATCAGAAGCACATCGAGCAGAGGTCTTTCGAAGGTTCGTCGCTTTTAGTTGAGCCCTCTAGATGATAGTTTTCAGCAAATCGACGACAAGTTCCACAATCGATATTCGGATCTGGTGGTGGAAGAGAAAGTGCCGTGCGAAATGCCGGCCATCACCGACAAACTGCCGACGAGGATCAGGTCAAAGTTCGTGTTTCAATAGTTTTCTCAAAAAGTTGTCAACAGCAACGTTGTTGCAAATTGTATGATGTTCCGTTTCAGACTTGCCAAATCCCGGGCCGGGCCAGCAAATCGTCGGCCCGGCCCGGCCCGGTCGGCCCGGAAGTTAGACCTCAAAAAAAATATGCAAAAAAAATATGAAGGAAGAGGAAAACGCGTGCGGCAAAATTGCTAAAATGGCGTGCCAGAGTTGCAATCAATCGCTCCGCCCACTCTTGAGAAAATTTTGTGAAAATTTTGCGACTTTAAACAGCAATTTTTTTCGGCCCGTTGCAAGTCTGTTCCGTTTCAAGTCAACGCTAATTTCAAACTGACAACGAGTGATTCAGAATCGAACTAATCTGGCAAAACGTGGAAAAGAACGGCAACTGCTGGATCGAAATGGCGCGAACACGGAACGTTCTGCTCCGTCTGACGCCCGCCGAAAAGTCGCTTTTGCTGAGAAAAGAGGGAAAAGAGTGCCGCGTTCCGTCGGTTGTCGACGCGCTTCCGCACAAAATCCAGAAAAAGCTCACGGATATCTGGACGAAGAGTGTGGATAGTGTGAAGAGGGACAAGGATTGTTGGGAGCAGCAGAGGAAGACCAGGTACCTTTCAACGTTTTATGTTTCGGTACTCTTTGAAACGGTCTTCTCTCGGCGCCCAGTGAACCGACACGACGATTTGCAGAATGCTCCTGCTCAACCTGCCGATGCGCAACAAATTCCACCCGCCCGCGTTCGACTGCGCTCTTCCGCACTTTTTCAATCGGCTCGAGTCGAGTCTACAGGTAAAAACGGTTTTATCAAGTTGCCTCGCGTCGTTCTTCGTCGTTGTTGACCATAAATCAAGTGCCGAACGAAATGGGGCACTTCACATTCGTCTCGTTACCGTTTCAAAAGTGTCATTTGCCCGCGAACGAAATGACCTCCAATTACATCGTTCTCTCGCAAACTTCTAGACGGGGTCATGGAAGTTTCGGATGCCCCCGGGGAGGCATCACGCCCTCACTTTTTGTCGCGAAATCACGAAAAATGAGCAAAATTGACTAAACAAGAAGCGAACGCGGCGCCGCGTTTTCGCTGGAAAATGCCGTGAGTTTGAAATTTATTGGGACCGATCAAGAATCGCTCCGATTTCTGATCCTTCACCCCTTTTTTTCGCCCATCAACACGGTTTTTCACGACTCGACGTGACACATTCTCGTTCGGTTAGATGGCAAATTGTGATAGTGCACATTTTTCACGCGGAATTTCCGCAGATAATATCGAGAAAAATGGAACTTTGTTCCGAGAAACGCAACGAAATCTGATTGCACTCATTTGCAGGAAAAATTGAACGAAATTTGGAGCGGATACAAGCCGGGAAGCGCTTGTGTGGAGGTACGCCGAAAATTATCGATTTTTTGGAGGGCAAACTTGTGATTTTCAGCAAATTGATCGGCAAATTCAACTGCTCGAATCGAACGATATCTCTTTGAAATCGTTTCAAGTGAGTTTTTGAGAGAGAGAAATTCACAAACTTCTATTCAAAAATGCCAGATGCCACCGCCGTCAATGTTCCGGAAGCGGGAAACTCGTCGAAAATTGCGGCGCCGTGCAAATGTCGCCTGATTTTGAGCCATTTGATTTTGAGCCTGAAAACTCGACAATGTTTATTGAAAATGCGGGACGTTTTCCATTTATTTTACATTTCCACATTCACATCGGTGTCCTCTCCACTTTTTTTGTACATAAAACTCAATGAATCAGTTGTAAATAGTGCATTTTTGTGATAAAAAATTTTTGTCGGTTATCTGAAACAATTTTTACCATCATCAGAACACTACGTTCGTGTTTCCGTTAAAATTTCAGGTCGTTTTCGTGAATTTTGGCCAGGTTTATCGATTTTTCCCTCAAGACTAGAAAAACGGCAAAAGACTTACACTTCTTGCTCTTTACTTGGACAAAATCAATGTTCTCTTCATAAAACATTTGAAATTTCAGAAATTTGTCATTTCCGAATTTTTTCCCAGGTTTTTCGTCTCTTTCAGTCGTCGTCACCGGCGACCGATCGATTTCCGTGGCATTCATCCGATCGGAGGGCTTTTTCAGCAGCGTTTCCCCGGCAGCTTCACCCTTAATTTCTGAATCAGAATTTCTGGAAATTGCTGTGCACACGCCTGAAAATCTCTCGAAAATAAACGGGTATATTGTACCGAAAACGTGGAAAGAACACGAGTTACCGTTGAAAATTAATTAATCGGCCGCCGCGTAAATCGACACAGCCCGCCTGTTGCAAGTGCGCCCCATTGAAATCGTTCGCCGCGAGCGATCGTCGAGTTTGTCTTCAACATGAGCGTCTCGGCCGGTTGTTTCAGACGCTTTTCCTCCTTGTTCGCTGCAATTGGATTGTCCTCGTTTTCGTCCTTGTCGACGTCGACGCCTTCCGTCTTAGACATCTCTCTTAAATGAGCTCTACGGAAGTTATTACAGGAGCCTTTAATGTGAAGATATCAAAAAATGTATGAAATGTCTTAATGAACATGTTAGCTAACAATTTTTTATATCTCACACGGCAACTGAGACACATTGCTTTAAAAAGACAGTACCGAGCTAATTGGCACAAAAAACTACGAGTAAGCTTACATTTCGTCGATTTTATTCCGTTTATAGAGCAGAAAACATTCGCGCATCGGTGTGTGTGTGTGTGGAATTCCCAAACGAAAAACCGTCTCTGTTTGTTTATCTACGACTGTTTGGCGACTTTTCGCAGGGCTCTCTCTGTCTCTCTCTCTCTGAATCATTTCCGATTGGCAACACACTTCAGAGATAGCAGTGTGCTGGCATCGTGGGAAAGTACTTTTCGGAAAATATTTCAACGTTTCATACTCGTATTGATTGGGGTTTCAATTCAAAGTTGAACACAGTTTCAGCCGAAAGCAAGGAATTGTTTTTGAAAACGAACAGCCCGTGATATAGACATTGTGAAACTGTGAATCGATGCAAACACACCCATAATACTCATTGCGAATCTGCCCGGAAAATCAACCGATTCTCCGCTTTTTCCTTTCTATTCATTTCCGCTATTATTGTCTCTCGCAAATGGGTGTGGTTAGCACGTTGTTATTCTTTGCGCTTTTGTTGTCATTTTTGTACTTTTAAACATCACGTTTTCTTTAAATCAGCGATCTGTTGTGGTTCCTGTGCTCAAAAAAGTCGTGCTGAAACGGGCAAAAAAAATTTAGAAAAGCATTTTTCATATTTTTGAACGTTCTCAAGAATTGTATCTCTTTAGAAAGCTGTTATTAGAAGTTTGCCACGTTTTCCGGTCATTGAACAACAGCATACCGTTCAAAAACATGAATGTGCAGTCAGAAGACGAACATTATCAGAAACAATGGCATAACTTGAGAATAAAGCATTTTAGCGTAAAATGATCAACTACAAAGTTGTAGAGCATAAAATTTGCAACAACTTTTCTATTGACAACTTTGTCATAAAACGTTTGGTCCCCGAGATAGAGTCCAATCAAAGTCAACCACTTCCCGCTATTGTCCAATCATTTTTCAATTCGGTAATCTGAATGTTGCACGCACATCCGTACATGCAATTGTTCGCCATGACTCACCGGTCCGCCACTTTTCCCATTCCCACTGGCCCGAATTGATGTACGCGCGATGAGAAAAGGTGTTGAGCAAACAGATCTGTTATGCATAACATAATACTTGCGGGTTTGGATTGCATGACCTTGTTCGCCGCGCATCTTCATCTTCGTCTTTATCCTTGGTCCTATTGGTTACGGGGGGGGCTTCGGATGGCACTTGAGAGTTATTGTCCAATTATTGTAACCGAGATACCTCTTCCGTTTCTTATTGCTATTGTCGGTTCATCATAATGACAATTTTCAACGTAAAACTTCCTGAAATCACTAAAACAGTACCCCGCATCGTTGGCCGCTTCTCTAGTTCTCTCTCCGGAAAACAAACAATCTCCGGGCTTTCTTTTCCGTGAAGCCCTCATAAACCTCGCCTAATCTGTTGTCGATTTCTATGTGTTTACCCCCCTTTCCCCTCACTCCTTTTGATCTTGTTGTCAAAGAGAGAGAGAGAGAGAGAAAACGTTGTTGTACAAAACCAATAATAATAGCACAGTTTACGAGCCCGAGCCGTTTGTTTCTCGTATCGATTATTCAAACGACTATACCTCGGTTGTCGGTAGAGATATCGCAAAACTGTCAACTGATAAAATTCTCGTCAGGAAATTTTGCACATTTTCTCAGTTGACAAATTTTTTATATCTCTACCCACAACCGAGATACAGGCGGTACAATATCGCGCCTCTTTAAAATCAATCGATAATTCGCATCGCTTATCATTTTTTTAGTATTCGCCTCCCTCCCGCTTCTCCTCCCTCCAAATTTTGGTGACTCATAAACATACACTTTTTCCGCTCCTTCTCTCTCCCTCTCTGCTCTTCCCGGGGCGGGGAAGACGACAATATTTACCTTTCGTTTCGCCCCGAGTATTTTTGGTTGAAATTCAACACGTTTCTACTTCTACTTCTTCTTCTTCTCCTTCTTCTTCTTGTACTTTTCCTTCTTTTGCCAATTTTAAAGAAAATCTCACACAAAAGTGTACAATATCCATGTTTTCCTCTCTTCTTTTGCGCTCAGCAAAAAAATAGTGAAAAAGTGTACGATTTTTTGCGAAACGAAGCAAAACACACCGCGTTTTTACGATTTTATTTCTTTCTAGTCAAGACAAACTGAAATTTTTACAGAGTTTTAATTGAATAAGGTTTGAAACTGTTCCGATTAGCAAAAGGAGCACAAAAAGGAATTATAGGCGTTCTCTCAACTTTGAGAGACTATATCTCGGGGACCAAACGTTTTATCAAAAAGTTGTCAACTGAAAAGTTGTAACAAATTTTATGATCTACAACTTTGTAGTTAATCATTTTACGCTAAAATGCGTTATTCTCAAGTTACGAGCGTATTCATAAACAGTCTCTAACAAGGCGATGAGTCACGCACCCAATCAAATTTGGCCCCCATCCTCTTCATCAAAACTTGCTCCGTACATAGTGATTCACCCAAAAACTATGAATTTTTGAGCTCTAAATGTGAAAATCAATGACTCATTCCGAGAATATGCAAAATGACGCCCACACATTTCGAGTATGAGTCAGTTCTTCTGCCATTCTCTTTTTTTTTTAGAAATATCTCGGTTCAGGTGCGTGATCATCAAAAACTATCAATTACAAAGTTGTAGAGCTTGAAATTTTCTATCGATTCGTTTTTTAACACTTGAAAAATCTCGAACTTTGACCGAGAAAAGTCAAATTGAAAGTGAATGCCTCCCGCCCCCCGCTATTGTATTTTCGCCGAGATGAAGCCAATTAGCATTCGGTCTCGTGTCACCGCCATTCATAATTTCTTCATCCTCACACATGTACACAAAAGAGAAAGAGATGTTGCCGCCGAGAATCCACTTGAATCGCTCGATCTTCCGCCACACTTTTATTTACTGAATTTACATATTTCCAGTGGACACACATCTGTCTATTACACCGCTAACTGAGCCGGTCTTCCAACTCTAGAGCACTTTTTTAGTACAATTTTGTCAAAATTGACCGCTTCAAACACTAGACATTTTGGCAAAATTTATCTGAAAATGTCTAGGCGGCCGTACACATTTTCGCGGATTCTAACCCAATATTTGTCGTCGGGGGGTATCCATTTCGTTTGCCTTTTTTCCTCAAAATGTGTACCCTGTGTGTGTGTGTTGAAATTGGTGTCAAACCCATTAATATCTCACTTTTCGAATAGGCAAACCTTTGATGATTGGAAAAGTAGATAAGAGTGAAGAATGAGTACCGTTCTTCTTCCCCTTTTTTCTCTTTTACCATCCGTTTGACACCTCCCAACAAGGCTATTGTCGGTTTGCAGAAGAATGAAGACGCGACGAGCGATTCCGATTCTTCTGCTTTGCTCGTTGGCCTATGCACAATACAATTTGAACAATCAGAATCCGAATCAAAATCCGTACGCGAATTTCGGGTCGCAACAGCAGCAGAATACTGGATACGGGGTGAGTTGCTTGAAAACTCGTTTATCTCAGCAGCCAGTGGAGATATCAAAAAGTTGTCAACTGATAAAATGTTCGCCAAGAAATTGTGTACATTTTATCAGTTGACAACATTTTTCTATCTCTACAAACAACAGAGTTATATCGCTTCAAATCTGAGCCAAATACATTTCAGGCGCAATCTCAAAACTACGGAAATGCGAACGGCAACGCGAACACGAACACGAACACAAATTCCAATTCTTGGGGATCGTCGGCTCAAACGCAACTCGGACAGGCCAGTCAGAATGGATACAATCAGAACCGCGGAGTGTTCAACAATCAGGCTCCGTTCGGATCCACGAATAGTACGGTACGGTCATTCGACGCGTTAGACAACTTTTTAACGACATTTTGCAGACTGGCAGCTCGACGAAAGGTGTGACGATCCAATTCCAACTGCGCGGCTACTCGAACCCCTCGTCGGCTCTTCCCAACTCGCAGACATGCGCGTGTCCGTCCGGTCACTCGTGCTCTTTTCTCAAGACCAGTCCGCGATGCTACTTTGCGTTCACGTTCATCGTCTCCTCTCCAGAGTAGCACCAAAATTGATGTACATAGATCGACTTTATTCATTTCAGTGAGAGCGTCCGCTACCAAATCACCGACTTCTTCTACCTGGACACCAACGGACAGCTGCCACAGTCGTCGCAAGGACAATGGAGTCAGAACTATGTGATGAATCTGCCCTCGAAACCGGTAATCTCTCGGAAAACTCGTCGCAAGCGCTACGACGACTCGTTTACAGGCCGCTATCGACGTGTTCGCACACCATCTCGGAGCAGTGATCACCCAGTCGGGTCAGCTGGTGCAGGATGACACCCTGACCCATGTGGACACGTTCGTCGTTCCGCTTTCGGATACTTTGCCAGCGGTGGAGGGCGTTCAGAACATGAACCAGCAGAGGACGTATCAGGGAAAACTTTTGGGCACCAGGTGAGCGCTTTCGATGTCAAATGTCGCCACGGAACCCCAGCGCCTTCCAATAAAAAATCCGCTTGGCGCAATTCACGTGCGCTAAACAAGGCGCGTAACGCGTAATTCCGGAGCGTCGTTGTAGAGTTTCTCATTTCAATTTTCTGCTTTTTTTGCATTATCTCCATCTTTTCAGAACCAATCAGTGTCAAAACTTATGATAATGATTAGAAATGAATAAAAAATGAAATTTTAACTGCTTCGTCGTCAATTTCGAAACGTTTTATGTGCAAATTACAGAATTTTTTTCCTTTTGGAATCGAAATTATCTCAATTCTGTATATTTTTCGACAGTTGAGCGCTTAAAAGATGCGCAATAAACTCCTTGTTGACTGGACAGTTCGAATGCCAGTGTCCGAACTCGATTTTCGGCAAATAATCGTTAAAACTCCGTTTTTTTCCAGTAGTTTTCGACAAAATCCCTCAATTTGGTCAATTCTGAACGAATCTGCTCCGTTTCGCGCTTAAATCGATGCTTTTAACTCAGACAATCGCCCTACGGTTCGCAAAGAACAAAATTTGAGTGTTTATTAAGAGAAAAACGAAAAAATTCTGGTCTGGTTTTCAATTGAAAAAAGAAACTCCGAGTCGACGGTGGATGCAAGCGCGCCCCCTTTGACAACTCGCTTGCGCACTGAAATGCTGGGGTTCCGTGCGTCGATAGAGTCTGAAAACTGATATTATGACGTCACTGCATTCACAATCCACAACGCACCATTCGAGTAGAGTCAGTCGATTAGAACGCAGGGAAGAAAGACGATAGTTTGAGTAGAAAACCCGATATTATCTCCAATTAGTTTTGACGAACGAATGGTAATTGTGAAGTGATCTTCAATCACTTCCAACTGCGAACTTTTTTTTGTGTTTCGCGGGAAATGTCACGTACATTCTACTCGTTTTTTCAGCCTCTCCATGTCCTTCTCGATCTCCTGCTCCGGCTCGCTGATCGGTCCCAACTGTGACCTGACCTGCAAAGCTTCGCACCTGAACTCGAACACCGCCGCGTGTGTCTCCAACTCGACCGGCTTCTTCTCCATCTGCAACTACATCACCGGCGGTCAGGTGGACAACTGCAAGAACTGTCCATGGGGCATCCGAGACGGAACCTACTGTCAGGACGAACGCGGTGCCGTTCTCGATCCCAAGGAGGCGGTGAGTAGAGTAGCCTAAACGATATCATCGATTGCTTTTTTGCAGGGTCTCGTCGGCAGTGGCTGGCAGACGGCCTCGATCATCCTCGCCATTCTCGCCTTCATTTTTCTTCTACTTCTTTGTGCTGCTGCTTTCTTCACATGCGCCAGGTAAGCATCACTGTTTCTGATACGTCTTTTCATACTTGTACTGCTTCCAGAAACCGCCGAGATCCCGTCGAGAAGGAAATGACTCTGCTGGGTCCTCGCCAGCCATCCGGAAGTCCTCAAGACTGGAAACAAACTCAGGGCCAAGCGGTGTACCGACAGGACTCCACTGACAGAAGGGCCATGTTGCCGCCCCCGCAAGACACCAAACCCATCAGTGAGTTTCCGATTTATGTCTACGTACCTGACAAGAAATACCATGATTGTCAACGGATAAAATGTCGCAAATTTCTTGCTAAACAACTTGTTAGTTGACAACTTTTTGATATCTCAACCCGCAGCTGACAGATTCATCGTTTTTAAAAGACGATCGCTGCGATGAGCGCCAGAATGTTGTATGTTGTTAAAATCGCCCGTTTTTGTAGACGAACCCTTCTTCACCTCTGTCTAAATGCTCTCAAATCCATTGGTAAGAAGACATTCAAAAGTACCCCTCCTTCCTTTCTGTTTTTTTGTCGTCGCTGTCCGTATTCCCTCCCTCTCTTGTTATGCCAATAGGGAATCGTTTTCAAGGTGGATGGATTTGAAAGCATGCCGGACTGGAATGAAGGGTTTTTTGTTCGATTTCGTCAAAGTAATTGTATGATTTTCAGGATCGGCGATGCGAAAACCCAACTATTCGCCGGTGGGCGCCGGCGACGATTCGAGCTTTGTCAGTGACGCGCCGCCGCGACCGAGTCGCAGTGAAGTTGTGTAACTTTTAATCAAACTCCTTCTTCTTTTCTTCTAATTTGAAACCCAGTTTTTTTCTGAATATTGAAAAATCTATTCCGGTTCTTTCCTCAACTTTTTTTTTTTGGTTTTCCTCTCCATTCACTATCAAGTGCCAACTCATGACCTCCCAAAGTGTTCCCATTCACATATTTATGTAATTTTAATAATGAAAGGTTGAAACTGCAATTTAGCCGACTCTCCGGTGTGGTCTCGCCACGATTCCGGTCGGCAATTTGAGCAGGAGCAGGAGCAGGGCAGCCGTAGTTGAAGCATTTTCGTGGAATTCTCATTAGCCAGGTTATTGCACACCGTCGTTACAACAAAACAATAATAGTTCTTTATTGCTCTTGCTCACAAACATTCTCTTCTCTTTCGCAAGACGGACTCTACTAGTCGGTCAAAAACTTTTCGCCGAGACCGTCCGGATCAAAGTACACGCGGTTCCATTGGATGTTCTTGTTTTTGCCGTCCCAGCGGCTCGCGTACAATCCGTGATCGGCAATCAGACTTCCCGGATACGCGTCGTGGCACGATCCCAACCTGACGTCACTGAAATGTCGGATTCGATTCATTTTCTCTGATTTTCGTGATCGAAAGCAATAAAAAATGATAAATTGTCATGAGAACACAATCATTCTCAAAATTTCTGACATTTTGGCGCGCGTTTTCGCAGATTTTCGAAACCGCATCACTTATTTTGCGCATTGCTGTCTTTCAGACAATACACGTAAATACAAGCATTCAAAGCGCTCAAATTTTGAATTTCGCTCCAAAATGTTCAAAACGCCATGTGCGGAGACCATTATACGTTTAAAAAGTGTGCTTACAAGTTGCCGATTCCGTCAATCTTGATGCGCTTGACCTGAATGTGCACCTCGTGGTCGAATTGCTGATCTTTCAGCTTGTCCATGTCGAGCAGCTTGCTCAGCTGCATCGACGACTCCTTGTAACGGTACTCGACCTGCGAGAGCATCATCTCTTTCCGGGCGGTCACCGACAAAAGAAGGACCAAATTTCCGCCCGCTTTCGTCTGAAAAAGAAGAGGAATTTGAGGTAGAAAAAAAAGAGAGAGAAAGCAAGAAACTAACGTCTCCGACACCGCTGCACGCCGTCTTGAGCGTTTTCTTTTTGGAAAAGTCGCACAGAACGTTGCCGATGATCTGAAAGTGAAGCCCTCAAATGTCAAACCTATAAAGCAGACTTGCCAGATTTCGGGCCGGCCATGCGGGCCGACCCGGGCCGGCCCGGGCCGGGCCGGGTCGGTGAAGTGCCGGCCCGGCCCGGCCCGGTCGGCCCGGTTCAAAAGGCGGGAATTCAAATTTTCGCGGAAATTTTTTTTTCGTTATTACAAAAAAAATTTTCGAACTAAAGTTTTAGTGTTTCTTCTTTGTTTTTTTGCTATTATGAATTTTTTATGAGAAATACATTTGTTTTTCAATGTTCGATGCTTGCAAAAAACCCCTAATTCTACAAAAAATTGCCTTCATGCGATCAATAATTCAAATTTTGAATTCCCGCTTTTTGAACCGGGCCGACCGGGCTGGGCCGGGCCGGAGTTTTGGAAATTTCGGCCCGGCCCGGCCCGGCCCGTGGCAACTATGCTATAAAGCCAGCCACAAACCGTTCCATCAGCGCCCAAATTGAGGATGCGTGCGTGGGTGACCATCAGAAACTCGGCGCCTTTTTTCGTGTACTTGTAGCACGCGTCCTTTTCGTCTTTCAGCAGCTCCATTTGGATGCTGATCGCCGAGACGGTGACGTGAAGGACGGCCAGCAACAGACACACACTTTTCGAGTGCTGGAACAATCTGAACGTTGCTCCGAATGTTCTCTTTAGTGATGCTTACCATTTTAGTGAAATCGGAGACCGGCTCAAACTGTTTGACTGTCTGATTTCTTCGAGAATAATCGCAAATAGAAAAGTTACCTTCGAATTGGTAATGCCACGTTTCACTCTACTTTCGCATATCTTTAAATTTAGGGGGACACGTCAAACAACGCGTAAACAAGAAGCGGACACGTTGGACACTTCATGTTTTTGATTGTTGACAATGGCCATTTCATTTACACGATCGATAGAAATTTACAAAATAATTCATGATTTATCGCCACAAGCATCTTCAACGTTTCTTGACGAACGAGAAAGTGACATCGGAGAGAATATACGCGGCGATGGCGAGAAAGGGCAGTGAGGAGTGGATGAGCGGTTACGTGGTGTTCTTCTCGATTTCCAATTGGAGTGTTTCGAATTCTAAACGAACAGTTTTATATTATAGGGGCACCGCACAGAAATGGCGCTGTTGAGAAACTCTTTTTGCAGTGCAAATTGAGCGACCTCGGGGACGAGTTTGAAAAGTTAGGCCACGTTTTCAGTGGAAAATTGCTTCGCGGCCTAGAAATTCTGCCAGATTGCGAACAGCGCGCCCTTTCTGTCCGGTGCCCCTATAATATTGAAACTTGAACGAATCCTCACCATTTCCAGTCATTTTCTGCTGGTCGGTCAGCGTCAAAATCGTCTCGTACGAGTGTGCGATCCTGTTGAAGAATTGGTAGACGTGGAGGGAATACCACACGATTCCAAGCTTCTGCAACAATTGAATTATCGACTTATTCAAATTTTCTCTCGATTCAGTTTGAATAACTACACTATTGCTCACTCGCCGCGCTCCGCTCTAATCAGCACTTCTCCAAATGCATTCCTACAATTTGTCTCGAAAGTTTATTCAAAATTATCGTTTTTTCCACTTTTCTAGTTTTGAAATCACACAAAGAACACATTTCTGAATGGTTGTATCGAAAAACTTGCGAAAAATCTTGCATTCAAAACTTGAGAACTACAACGAAAATCATTGAATGAGGGTTAGCAATAATAGAGTACGAACCGTCAAAAATGTCATTAATCCATAACACAAAGTCCGACCCGAGTGAGGAGGAAGGAGTCTCCAAAGTTTCTTGACGAACGAGAAAGTGATATCGGAGAGAATGCACGCGGCGATAGCGAGAAATGGAAGCGAGGAGAAGTGGACGAGCAGCTTCGTGGTGCTCTTCTCAATTTCTTGTTGGAGCGTTTCGAATTCTAAACGAACAGTTTCATCTTGATATTTGGACGAATTCTCACCATTTCCGGTCGTTTTCTGCTGGTCGGTCAGCGTCAAAATCGTCTCGTACGAGTGTGCAATTCTGTTGAAATGCAGGTAGACGTGGAGGGAAGACCACACGATTCGAAAGTTCTGCAACAATTGAATTATCGGTTTACAAGCCTGGTTTTTGCAATAAATAAGTACGAACCGTAAAAAATGTCATTACTCGATAAGAGAAAGTCCGACCCGAGTGAGGAGTATGCAAGGGAAGGATTCGGAACGCCAAAGAGAAGTTAAAATGCCAGAGCCCCTGCAAAAGCTGGCATTTTCTCGAAAATCGATCTTTTTTTACTTACAGTGGCGAAAGAATTAAGGCACTCATGGAACTGAAATTCACCGTACAGACGGCCGTACCGGTAGTCGTGCACGAAAGCCGTCGCTTGGATGAACATGAGCATGAAATAGGAGAAGGCTCCAAAGTTCTGACAGAAATTTGTTGATTTTACGGAAAAAATGATGTATAAAAATAACCGATTCCTTGGCGGTAAGCGACGGGTGGTTTTCGTGTAGACAAAGCAATTCATGTTCGACTGACATTTGAGATTCTGAAAGTTGAGAAACATTGCACTTTCGGTGCTCAAAAGACGCGCCAAAAAATTCGGAACAAGCCAAGAGTTAATCCATTTAAAATAGCATCACATTTTTTTCCGACCATTCTAATTTTTGTCTAAAAGTTCGAGCTCAAAGTGTTTTGGTCGTCGGAAACTTTTTTGATCAAAAATATTTGCTTAGTTTTTTAAAGATTGTTCTGTGGGACACCATTGCAGATTTTTTTAGCTTTCAAAGGAGCAGATTTTCATGTAGCCTTGAAAAATTTTGCCGCCTATCGATTTTTGCGGTCAATTTTCTGAAAATGTTATAAAATACGTTACAAAATATGCTTTTAATCAAAAATGAACTCGCAAATCGACTGGGAAAATGTAAGCACAAAAAAAAACGGAAAAAAATTTTAAGCACCGCGCGGTGAAAATAAGACCAGAGTGCGGTAGAGCGCGTCTGCTGCCCGGCAGATCAAATCCGTTCTTTCATTTAATTCTCATTTCTCCCCCAATCCAATTCCAAAGCTTTCCCTCTTCTCTACCTAATAATAACCGCCGTCAACCACCTGGCCGCCGTTCTAATTCTCTGCGTCTTCTCTTCTCTCCCCTCCACCTGTCCTTGTTTCGAGAGTCATGGCAACCGAGCAATTCGAGGAAATTGAGAAGCTTTTTCCTAGACATGCATCTTTTCTGTTTATTTTTCACAGACATTGGATGAATTTCGGCTGAATCTGTGTAGACGTCTCGACTCCCAGTGAACCGATTGGAACCGAACTTGGACTGTCCGCCTTATATGATTTCTGGATAATGTTCCTTAAGTTGTTTTTCTTCTTTCTTTTGCTTTTCTTTCTGTCTCCCCTTGTCTCCCCCTTTCCTCAAAAAAGGTCAAAAAAATTTCAGCAATCTCCCCCCCAGAACTCGGTCCTATTCGCAGATCCTTGTCCGTTTTTCTGGAAGAAGTCTACCGCACGCTGTTTGGGGGGCGTGTCCTTGGCTCGCTGCCAACTCTGATTCGAATGTCGAACCTTTTTTTTCAACAGTATATCCCTTCAAAGTTAATCAATTTCTGGGCAAAAGCGATGTATCGAAACATCGGCAGAACAACAAAGGAATAAATGAATCACGATTAATGAGAATGGCCAAATAGACTTTAAATTCCTGGAAACGCGCAATTCTGCTAGTTCCATTCAAATATTATTCCGAGAACTCCTTCGTTTCCCCTTGTTTTTCCTATCCATATCCTTTCTCGGAACTTTCGCTCGTTTCTCCGCCGTCTCTTCGGTCTGACAGCTCTTCCGGCGCTCTCGGAAAACACGACGCTTTTCTGTGAACTGCAATGGGCGTTCCTCTCTCCTTTTCTTTTTCGCTTTCCGCCTTTTTCAAGTCGCACAAAAACACGCTTTTTTTTTGGGGGGGAACCTCACAACGTTGTTGCATCAGAATGACAGATGATCGAGTGACAGCCACGGCCATCGCAATCAGTGCGGATCCACCCAATTGGAAGCTGATCGGTGAGTTTGACATTTTGAGGCAAAAAGCTGATAGCAGTGAAAAACCGTTGAACCGTCAATTCAAAAAAATGTATTGCGCGGGGCGCACTTGCGCTCATTGTCAGCTCTGGAGACCGTGGGCAAGCACGATTTTAACAAAGACTTGGCCAAATAGTTAGAATTCACATGACATTTCCAGATGAAATCTCGATTCCCCTTCTGGAGACGGGCGTCGGAACTCTTCCGATTCTCCAGGCGGCCCTTCCCTCCATCCTCTCTATCGATTGTTCCGACGCGAAAGTGGCGGAACGGTTCCGAAAAGTGTTCCGCATTGCTCAACTTCAAATTCAGCATTTATTGGTGAGTTCTCGCGTGTTTCTTGCTGATTTAAACTTTGCAGCGTTCCCAACAAGACCTTTTGAAGCATTTGGAAAAGTTGGAGGCGGAGCAACTGAAGCCACAAAGGATAAACGAGAGAAAGACTTCGATATCGGAAGAGTTTGGAAAGTTCAAGGTGAACACTTCATTTTTTTGCTTCTTGTTTTGAAAATGCCTTACTTTTCAGTGCGACGATTGCGGAAAGGTGTTTCTGAACGAGAATTTCCTCACGTCGCACTTTGAGAGACGTCATCCGAAAGGTGTTCAACACTCGAACTCCGAATGACTTCTTTTTTTGCTAATATTCTAACTTTTGGGTTGAAATGGTGGTATTTGAATAAAAATCTAACAGAGTTCGTCTATTCTTGTCTGTTTTCAGACGAGCCGATTCAATTTTCAAAACGTTTCTCTAAACCTCCCAACTTTTCGATCTTTTTTCCGTTCATTTCCTAATGATCTGGGTCAAATTGTCGCCGTTTTCTCTTCATTACAATGTGAACACTTTCACTATATTATGCGAATCCGATTACGTCTCTTAACATTTCTACTCGTTTTACTAGTCATTTTACCCATTTTTTGCATACTTTTCGGAAATTGGCTCTCTTCCGACGATTTAGATAAAGGTATGCTTTGTTTTTGAAGAAAAACGTTGTGAAACACTTTTCAGACACTCCGACCACATTGAAATCGGTCAAAAAGCCTGAAATCTCCGGTGTAATTTCGCAATCGATCCTTTTGGGATATTCGAACGCGGATCGCCTCACTATTTTTTCGGCGTTTGCTCAGAATGAACAAATTACAGTCGTTTTGTCGTCGTATGGGTATTTGAAGTGAGTTTTTGATGAAACATTGAAAAAGTATCGCTTTCTTCCAATTTGACAGTCGTCGCGTCTACTGCCGATTGTTCGACGCGGAAAGGCGCGAACTCTCGCAAGAGCCCGTCACGGTTTTCCCCGAATTCACTGTAAAATGCGCAGAAACAAGGTCGGCAAAGTTTGTGGCGATCACAGTGAACAAAAAAGATGGTGTCGAGAATTTTGAAGAAATTAATCTTCCCGAAATCGAAAATGGAAAGGAGAAGCCGGAGTTGGCAGTGTGTTTGGCGCCGCTCTTCGGCGAAACGCCCAAGGAACTGATGATCATCGAGTTCTTCGAGTACTACACGATTCAGGTGTGTGAATACAAAAAAAAGGCAGCCAAAAGTTGCGCCTCGACCGAGATTTATGCTCTTGTCCCTGGAAGAAAACTTTTCAGGGCGCCGACACTTTCTTCGTCTACACATTCGATGTTTCCGAAGAAACCGAGAAACTCCTGAACTTTTACAAAGCCCGAAAATCTGTAAACCTTCACGTAATTCCTATCGGAAACCACACGAAATGTCTGAATCGTCATCGGTGCCGACACGAGATGCAGTTGCAAGATTGTGTGTTTCGGACGAGAAGTTTGGGTGCGAAATGGGTGGCCACCGTAGATTTGGACGAGAGAATTATGCCGATCGACGAGGAAACGAAGATTTTAGACTATGGCAGGTACAATTTGAGAGAAGAAATGTTTTGAAATGTTTTCCTTTTTTACAGAAAAATCCATTCTCCTTCAATTTCCGAGCTTCGTTTCCGGTGCCAATGGACGTTGCGCTACTCTGAAACTTCATCGGGCGCTCTGAAAATCGAGGATTTGCCGATGATGACGTGGCACAATACGAGCCACGTGGCGCCGCAGAATCACACGACAAAGTCGATCGTTCGGCCGCAGAACGTGGATTCGATGGGTGTGCACGGCGTGCTCAAATTCAAAAATTCGAAATTCGCGGTCAAATTGGTTGACCCGGAAGAGGCGGTCGTCCGGCATTACCGACTGGTTCATGGATGGAGCTTTTTCTTGAAGGAAGCCGAATCTTTCGGCGATTTCAGTCATTTTCAACTTTCCGCCGGTTTATCTTCTAGAATTAGAGAAAAAGTCGCTGGAATTATCGGTGAATTGACACGGTTTACGGGTTGAATAAAGTTTTCTAGAGTAAATCTCATTTAAAGACGGATGCATGTCAAGAGTTAAGAAAAACGCTGATTTTCAGGGTGAGAATAGGTGGATTCAGTGGTATCAGCTGGAAAACATTGTTAATAGCATGTCGGTCGCTCAGTTGTCCAAAAAATCTGAAAATTTCCACGTTTTTCCGACACAATTTTTTTTAATAAATAATTCTCAATAGAGCGCACTTGCAGCATTGACAGGTGACATTTCCGACGCTTGTCACCATTTTGCACTGTTTTCGCTCTTTCTCACGCGATTTTCGGCACATTTTTCTGTAAAACGTTAATTTCAAAGTTACTGCTCGTCTTCTATTGCTTCCCTTCTAATTTCTGATAGTTTTTGCTAATTTCTCACTAATTTTCTCACTACTCACTGCTAAATCAAAAAAAATCAATAGAAAAACCTTCCCAGTCACTGTACCTTTAAATTTGGGTCTCGCCACGAAAATATTGATTGCCATGTGTTCGATGTGTGCAAAAACACGCAGTCCGTACATTGTCGTCCTCTTTCCCATTGATTTTTGCTATTTTGCGCTAATTTATTGCCGTTTTTCAGATGTCTTTTCAAGTGAACGTGGCCGTCAACGACGGAGCATTCCAGAAGAAAAGTGTGACACCGACGACAACGGTATACCAATTTTTATATCGAAAAAATTGTAAAAATGTAGTTTTCAGATCGCTGATCTTCACGACGATTCGATCATTTTGATGTGGAAGGACACGACTATCGTTTTCGACATTTCCGATGATTCCAACGAACTAGGAGCTGCCATTACTCTTCTGGTTCGTATTGTGAAGCATCTCAACGTGAAAATCGGGCAAAATGCACAATTTCTTCAAGATTTCTTCAAAAACCCTCAATTTTGTTGCAGCAACTCGGAGTGACCCAACTGTCGATGCTCTACGTCTACACAGTCGACTTCCCGTGTCCTTCGGGAGTGATCAGCTCGATCGTGCCGGCCCAAGTGCGCCTGATCACCCAATTCGCGTCGGCCGCCTCCAATCTCTTCAACCAGAACGGTGCGAAAGCGGCGGCGGCCCCGCCCTCGAGGGAACAGGGCGAGATGAATCTGTTCTCACGGAACACGCTCAACAATCCGCAAATGATGAAAAAGTTCACCGAGCAGGCGTTCTTCGATCTCAAAAACGAGCCGCACAAATGCACTTTCACACTGCCCGAACTCGTCGAGCGGTTTTTGGCCAACAAAGACCAGACTTTCAGTCAGTTTATCTGGAAAGCTGCATCTTTAGCTCATTGTTTGTATTTTCTAGAAGAATTCGAGGCAATGTTCCGTGGATACATCGAAGAAGAGGTGCACAAAGAGGAAATCATCCGGAACAATCCGAATTCGGCGGAAGCGAAAATGTTTTTGGAGGCCAAGAGGAACCAGGAACTCATCGAGGAGCAATACTTACAGGTTGGCTAGAAATTGAATGTTCAGAAAATTTAGCAAAATCGTTCATTTTTCAGTCGATAACCCATCACCCGGAAGACATGATCGCCGTCACGATGCTCTACATAAATTTGACGATAAACGGAGTGGCCGTGAAGGCGTTCATCGATTCGGGCGCCCAAAAGTCGATAATGTCGATGGCGTGTGCGGAAAGATGCGGTCTCAACGGACTCATCGATCGCCGCTTCCGGGGAATGGCCAGAGGAGTCGGCGGAACCGAGAAGATCGAGGGAAAGATCCATTTGTGTCAGTTTTGTGCAGAAATTTGAGGAAAATCTGAGAATACAAACATTTTAGGCGACGTGAAAGTGGAAGACGCGCACTTTTCGTGTCCGTTCGAAGTGATGGCTCGCCGCGAAATGGACCTGTTGGTCGGACTGAATGTGCTCAGAAAGCACGCCTGTTGCATCAATCTCAAGACACAGCGGTACACGTTTTCTAGAAATTTCTGCAATTTTCGATAATTTTAAGTCTGGAATTCGGCAACGGAACTTCGACCCCATTCCTCCAATCCAACGAAATCGACACGCATCTGAAGGAGATTATGGCTCTTCCTGAAGAAGGTTTTTGACCTTTATTCCCGGAATTTTTGAAGATTATGTTTTCCAGAAATGCAAACCGACCAACCGGGACCGTCTCAATAGATGAAGCCGTTCAATTTTTTTTGCGATTTTTCCAAAAAGTCGCTCATTCTCGCCTTTTCGCATCATAATTTAAATACTTGTATTTACAAAGACTATTTGTTAAAGATTACTCGAAATTTGTTCCTTTCCTTTCTGCACATTCGTTAGTATTTATATACGGAAAAAAAGGGTTTGATTATAAATTTATTGACTGCATTATTCTTGTTTATCACTCTTCTAATATGGCGATTTTATGGTGAGAATCACCATGGAAACCGGATTATCTTTGCTGTCTTTCGAGCTTTTTCTTCGGAAAAGTAATCGCTTCAGTCGAAAACAGAAATGTTCACACTGAAAAATGGAGAAGAAATGCCGAAATTGGCTCTTGGGACCTATTTGGCCCATGGCGAACAGGTAAATGTTTTTTGATTAAAATTTTTGTACTGTTTCACGAGTGCTGTAAATTCACAACAAGCCACTTTTTGTAGTGCAAAAATTGAGTGACCTCGGGGCCGAGTTTGAAAAGTTAGGCCACATTAGACTACTTCGTGGCCGTGAAATTCGGCCAGATTGCGAACAGAGCAGAGGAATACCGCGATAATAATTTTACAGCTTTTCAACGCGGTGGATCAAGCGCTAAAAGCCGGCTATCGCAGTTTTGACACGGCGAAATATTACGAGAACGAGAAAGAGCTGGGAGATGCTCTACAGGTACGGAACACTTTTTTTTTAAATCAGAACTGTTCCGAATCCGAACCCGTCACAACATGACTTTTTGTAACAAGAGCCACCCGCAGATAGGTTCTGATCCGGGACAGTTCTGAGAAGTACACGCGGATATCGATAATTCTGTCTGAAATGCGATTCTGACGCTGATATTCGACATTTTTGGGTCTATTCGGATGAACTCGAGGCTACCAAAAACGGAAATCGAAAATCTTTGTGCACCACACTCTAGAACTCGAAAATTCGCTATTTTTACAGAAACTGCTGCCCCGCTACAACCTGCGCTCGGAGGACCTCTTCCTCACTTCGAAAATATTTCCGTACTCGTCTCGGGACGTAATTGAGAAAATCCACGCCGACGTCGACGAATCGCTGTCGTTTCTGGGCAGAACGTACGCGTTTTTCCGCAGTTCAAAGCGCACATTTCCGCCAGTTTTTCATGCTCAATTTGCAGATATCTCGACCTCGTTCTCGTCCATTATCCGCGTCCTTTGGACTCTTCCGATAAGGATAAATGCAATAAAGTGTACAGGAAGAGGGCGTGGAATGCGTTGGAACAGTTGCAAAGTACGGCTGAAAAGTGCTGAAAACTAGTTGTTACAATTCAGAATCCGGAAAAATCCGTTCGATCGGCGTTTCCAACTACGAAATCAGGCATATAGAGGAGATGGGGGACTATTTGAGCATCGAGCCGACCGTCAATCAATGCGAATATCATCCGCATTTTCAGAGAAAGCCGCTCAGAGAATACTGCCAAAAGAACGGAATTTTATTCCAGGTGATTGTGAAATTACATCTTTTAAATCAACGTTAGATTTTTATAGGCCTTTTCCCCGCTCGGTCGCCAAAACAAACAGCTTCTGGAGGACGAGAATCTGCTGAAAATCGCGAGAAATCACGCAACTACGACAGCGGTTTGCAGATCATTGATTGTAACTCAAAAATGTGTAATATTTTCAGACCGTAATTCTCGCCTGGATCATGCTCGGCAACGTGGGCGTTGTGGCGAAATCGGTAACCGACTCGCGAATTTTCGAGAATTTCCAGGTAATTTTTGAGCTTTTGTGGAAAATTGCCCATTTTTCGACAGTCTAATCCTCGGATTTTTCTCAAATTTCACTCGGACCAATTTGTGCACTTTCTCAGGCTCTGAAATTGAATATTCCGACGGAGACGCTCGAAAAAATCGACAAATTGGACCGTGAGCAGCCGTACGTTGAGGACAACGGATGGGAATGCGATTAAGCTCCGTTTTTCTGTTACAAATTGTATTTTTCGTCGACATTCCTTCATTTTCATTGAATGTGTCTATATAAACCAACTGCAATTAAAATGCCATTGTTCGCCTATGCTCGGCCCATTTTTAGTGCCTAACAACAGTTGAAAAGTGAGCGACAGCTGCTCAAATAGCCCTCTTTTTCTATATTCCACTCCCCAAAAAAAAAATAAATGACAGAGAGCGGAGAAGAAAGGGAAGCAGAAAGCAGGAAAAAGTGTTTATTTCGAGCACAAATGTTCTTTTTCGTGCTCGATTTGTGCGGCTCCATGCGGCCGGAAAATCGCGAGAAGACGGAAATGATCGAAAATTAGTCGATTCTCCTGTTTTTCCGCGTTTCTGGGGTTTGTTTTGCTTTTTAGATGGTTAATCTAATTCCGGAATTCGATAAAAGTGGGAAAGTGGGCGCGGCCTACGCGTTTTTCGAAAACTGCTTCAACACATGCTCATGATCAAGAACGCTTTTGATTTTGACTGGTTCGACCCCCCCAAAAAACGAAATTACATCTGTTTTCAAACAGCATTTCCAACCCGAAATACCTTTGTATTAGGTATGAATGCCTAACAACATTCCGTTTCCCATAAACGTCTCCAAGGGCGGCCATTTAAGTACGTCAGAGGAAAATGGCCGCGCCGGCGACTAATATTTTTACGAGCAAATTTATATACTCGCCCACACATAACACAGAAAAAGGCGAGCCGTTTTTCGTGGCTTCTCCTTTTCCACCGAATTGGAATGCATGTCCCTCCCCCCCCCCGGCTCGTTTTCCTCTTATTTTTCTGATTAATTCGCTGCTCACCGCTCTTATTTTCCCAGAGTTTTTGCGCGAAGCCTTCCTTCCATTTAATGCATATTAAATTTAGTTTTCTCTTCACATTTACTCGTCAAGAATTCTTGAGAAACAAATCACAAGACCGGAAACCGAAGGTGACCTCCTCACTTCCTTGGCGGCGAATTTGCGAAGTGATCCGGAAACTTTTGAGCTTTTGAGTTGGACGGAGAGAAAGTCAACTTTTTTTCAAAGTGTACGACTCAATTTTATCACTCACGCCGAATATTTGTGCTCATGCTCGGGATCTCACGCGTTGACGCTTTAGTTTTTTTTTTTTGCAAATTTCAGCTATCCCAGCTGTTCTTCTCCGATTTTTGTCCTTTTTGTAAAATCTTAAAATTTTGAACGCCGCTAGGCCGCGCGGAGCTTGCCACGAATTTGACCGTCCTTCCAAACATCTCTCTGAAAATTTCTGTTTTGTATGATACTCTGATTTTCCCTCCCCTCATTTTTCCAATATTGCATCTCTCGAAAATCTTCTCATCATCCAATTCGAAGCATAATAGAAGCGAAAAAAGGAGGAAGAAGAAGAAGAGAACAATATGAATGAGCAGGAATGTTCCACGTCTTTGTTAGTCTTGTGCTGTTTGTGTCAGCCTCTGGCAACACATCTTTTATCCTATTCGCATAAATAATTCGAATGGAAAATGTTTCAAAAGAGTGGAAACTTCTTCTCTCTCTCTCTCTCCCTCTCTCCAGCTCTTCTAATGCTCTCACTCTAATAGGAGCTCCATCCGAAAAGTGGGCGCGGCTTCGGCTCTGCCCGCTCTCTTCTCTGTCTTTCCTGCCTCGTCAAGTGCTCATTTCGTTGGTGTGCGTGTGCTTCAGAAGCAGCAGCAACAGCAGCAGCAGCAGAAGAGCGAATAGAAGAAGAAGAAGAAGAAGAGAAGCTCAGCTCTGTGTGTGTGTGTGCCCTTTCCACGTCCGCTCCGGTGAAACAAAGAGGAAGAAGAGTCGAAGCTATGGGCACTCTCAGGTAAGCATATACCTTTACTGGGCAACTTTGAGACATGTTTAGAGCGAAATCCCTACACCAAACACTAAAAGTGATCAAAACATTTTAGAACCATAGAATGTCTTATGCAGTTTCCCTGCTCCGTCAAGTACATGTATTGAGACAAAATTTAATAAAATTCGTGCGCCGCCAATTGTGCACTTGTCGAGCCGCGATGAAAGGCGAAAGGCCAGGTGGACTTGAATAATTGCACCAGGAAATGAGCAATTTTGGAGCATTTACTTCTTTTTCGGCTCCGTCAAGACGAGGAATGCGGAATTGGATTAGCTCGCTCATTTTCCCGTCATTTTTTGACAGGAAAATGTGTGTAAAAGGCCGCAAAAAATAAATGCAGAGAGGCATTGGATTGAAATTCGAGGCGTCGAACAGCAAAGTGAAAATTGAGAAGTTTGCGTGAAAAACGAAAATTCGGACCCACGGCGACAAAACTTGAAAAGGGGATGGCTTATGCTGAGACGCGTTTTCAGAAAACTTTTGCTAATTTTGTGTTAAATATCGATGAAAGAAGACATTCAAAAGGAAGACAATTTTAAAAATTTTGTAACAACGCAACGTTCAAGACGTTTGTCGCATATTTCGCAACAACCCTTCGACGCCGCAATTGCGGAATTTCCATACCGACCGAGCCGAACAGTTTGCCGATAAAAAGAGCGTCGGTAATACAAAAACACGTAAATAGAGGCATTTTGAGCGGTCGAACAGCGAAAATGATTCAAAATGAATGAAATTCGAGCAAGACTCGAAAATCGATTCATCTTTTTCATTCCTTAATGAAATCTGCTCGTTTTAAGCCCAAGATGTGCGCAATGCATCACTTCATAGCTGAATGCAAGCACAGCGCAAAAGGCGTGAATAATTTGGGTTGTTTTTGACGAAAAACATGAGAAATTGGGTTGAAGTATGAATTTCGCGTCAAAGTGATGATTAACGGCGGAAAACAAAAAATGCGGACCCAAATTTTTGGCGTACTTTTGTACTACAACAAAATTTCCCATCTCTGGTGAGTGTGTCCCATTCATCGGAACGAATTGAGTTGCCATCTCTTTTTTTCCGCTTTTCCATGCGACATCTAAAGAGGGGGGACCATTGGAAATCTTGATAAACGAAAGTGGATCCAATTCATTCTCAGAAACATTGGCCATCACATCGCAGTGTCGGTGCGTCGGCTGCTCAAGTCGCCGCGGAACAGTGTGGCGAAGATTCGGCTGAACAATAACAGCGGAACATGCGGGACGCCGGAGCTTAAGTGAGTTCAATTCAAAGTTCGGCTTTGTGGCGACTCGCATGCTTGGTCGGTACGGAGTTTGAAAAATTTGCTCATTTTCCTGAAAAATCCTGGACAAGTGTCGAAAAACTAGCGAAAATTCGGGAAAAATCTATGAAACCATTCAGAAATGTGTCCAATTTTTTCAGTGGAAACGTGGCCGAACTATTCCACTTTTCTTCAATTTCGGCCCCGAGGTCGATTGAAGTGAAATGCCCCCATAAATACTTGTTTTCCAGCACTCCCGACTCGTCTCGCAGCGTCTCTTTCACCGAAGCCCTCACCTGGCCGTACATCGATGAGGACGTCATCGACGAGTGACTGACGAATCATCGAATCACTTCCAATTGTTGTCTACCGGTTGTTGGCCGGTGTGTCTCTCTTCTCCCCCTCCTGGTGTCTTCTGTATATACAAAATCTTTTGCTCGTCATGGTTTCCGATAAACTTGTACATACTCACATACTTTTTCGCACTTTTTTGCATGAATTGAACAGTGGCAGTAGTGACTGCAGCCGCGTGACTTTATCGATAGAATTCGAAATGAATAAACCATCTCGCCCGCTCTTCGAGCATCCGATTATGATATAGTGGGATTCTAATGAGCGAGGACTCTGAGAAGCCTGGAGAAAAGAATAGAACCATGCTGCAAGCAAGC